TTTGGAAAGTAAAAAAGCGAATTATAATAACATTTTTTTTACTGAGTATGACCATTTATTATAGGTAATTAAATACAGTATGATATAATATGTCATTAATGATATTAAAATGCTGCTGGTTTTTTGGTTACCATTTCGATAACGGTTTCTTTCGGGATTTCTTTCTTGTTCGTGGAGCAAAATCTATTATATATGGTGTAGGCCTTGTGAAAAAAGTGTAATATGCCCGACAAAAATGTTTTGAGAATAAGCGTGTGAGAGAAGTTGTCGGTCTTTCGGGGCCCCTTGAGAATGGGGGCCCTGGGCACGGGCCTCGTGTGCCCTTATGGTAAAGACGGTATTGCCTAGTGGTTGAAATTAGATCAAAATTTTCCGATAACTCAATATATAAATTTAATTTACGGGTTACATTGAATCATTTTAACAAAAAAATATTCTCAATTCGGTACTGTATTTTTTATGCATGCTACCTAAAAGCTTTTCTAGGTGAATTGATTTCGATCATTCTTTTTTTATTTGAAAGTCAGTATACTACTTCTAATGCAATCCCATTTAAATATTATCAAGATCTGACTAGTATTCTTTTTTACCTTAGATAACGTGACTTCGACTACATTTGTCATATTCTCCTTTTATTTTGTTGAAGTCTATTTACTTTTTTTTAATAAAATTTTTTCGTATATTTCTTGGTAGATTCAAAATACATTCACGAACTGCTTAGGACTTTTAAAAAAAAACTGCCGACCAAACAAACCAAAAAACTTAAAAAATACTTTTTAACTTTGCCTATTTATTTATAAATTAAATTATTTACGGCAGAAACAGTGCGACTTTTATTTTTAGAAAGGATATTATGATGAACGTTTTAAAAAAATTAAGTGAGTAACCGTTATAAAGTCTAGATAGAGATTGTACTTCTATTCATACTGTTTTTGCGGCTGTGTGGGCGTGATTGACGACTTGTCATTACTACATACAGAACATTGAACTTCATTGAGCTGTGAAACAGGCTGTTCACATTAAAAATATGAACATGTTTGCTTTTTTGTATAGGTACGAAAATGATTACCAGAGCTCATAGATATCTCAAAGTGAACGCCGACACCTATCTTGGATGTGAGCTTGAAATGTCAATTGTATTATTATTATTGCTAGCCCGTCAGACTTGGCTGTTTCTGACAGGCTCAACACATCCTCCCGGATTCACGTAGCTAACTCTACTAACAGTAGTTAAGCAAATTTACTAATTTAAGTATATCCGACTCAGTACTAAAAGATCGCGTTACCACTTAATATCGCTGATAGAAGAACAAAATATTATAGTTAAAATTTTCTAAGGGCTGTCTGAGTAGTTGGTTAAAAAAAACAAAACGTAATTACCGCCGATTCTGGATTTGAAATCGGAACTTGCACATGGCGATGCATAACCTCAATGCTATTTCAGTTTTGCAATAATTAATTATGCAAATATCTAAATATCCACAACGTGCTAATAAAATACTAAACTATTACGTTAAGTTCCGAATGATTCATTTAATATAAATATTTATGGAATTCATAGACAAATTCACCTTAAACAGTAGCTATTCAATGTCATTGCCAAGAAACTACTTACGTACCTGACTATTTTCCTTCGAATACATTTTTTTCGAAACTACACGTATGAAATCGGTAATGAAATCGAAATTAATTAGCATTCGGTCCGTTAATTGTGACAAATAGTGAGATGCATTGTGTAAAATAAAGATTGAGGGACAAATAACAATGTAGGCATTAGAGAGAACATTAAAAATATTTATAATAAACATTAATAAAATTTTAACAAAGGAACCGTATGGGTTTCAAATAACTAATACATATTGTAAATGCGAAGGTTTGTTTATTACGCTTTTGCTATTTAACCCAATTGATAATCGTGTAAATTTCGATACAACGTTTTCTGTAGAACAAAAAAGAATACACGTTATCACAAGTAAAATTGCGTGTAAATCTAGTCGTAGCATTCATTCTATACAATTTTATGTACATTGTCCTTTCGTTTAAAATTTAAAGTTTCACGACAGCTCAATGATTCGTTCAGATGGATATGTGATATTTGAGACGCATGTAAAACGAAATAGCATTTCCGATTCTCATTTGTGAAGTCGTAAAATGTTAAAATAAATTGCAATAGAATACGAATGAGTTATTGAAATTAATACATTGAACTTAATTGAGCTGCAAATAATATGGTATTACTCATGATGCCGTGATGTAATATGTCAGCGGGCTTATTTTCAAGAACTACGAACATTATTTTGATGTACAAAGTTAAAAATGAAGGTAGATTATCTAGAAAAGAAAGAAATTTGCCAACCCAATTTTATTTGCCATTTTAATATAAAAAACTAAAATATAAGATATTATAAACAAAACAATAAACGATATTATTTATAAATATAGTCACTACGACTAATCCAACTAAGGAATTAGCCATTTCACCTTGCCGACCGGAAGAACTGGTGGTCATGGCGCCGACAACCGCCGGTCTGGCGTCCCGAGGGGAGGCTGATGGGAGAGACGTGCTCCGCACTAAACGCTTCACTTTCCCCCCCCTTTGTCTTTTCATGAGTTCTGTCTCTTGCGAGGTGCGGACGTGGATTGTTGAGCGACAGGAGATTTTAGTCAGTGCGACTCCGACATGCCCTGCCCTCCATCCCCAGTGCAGACCGGAAGTCCGGCGATTTCCTCCTAAACAAAAAAAAATGCCATTTCACTCGCGTTCATCCATGTGCTCTTTCTACAATCGTTAACCTAGTAAATTTCACTTTAACTACACTAGCCCGCCCTTTACCCTACCATACAAGATTTTACTAGTTTATCCGGCAATGAAAACATATGAATACAAGCTGCTTAGACAGGATCTGACACAATCTTGCTAGTTGTCAGCTTAACTGCCAAGTCATGATATTTTTTAGCACACAGTACAGAGGCATCGGTTCCGATTCAATAATAATAACAGGCAGAATAATAAAAATATTAATAGTAGACAGGCCTAGAAATTGCCATTGGTTCATTGATGAAATACATCAAACTAATCATAGATCGTACACGAGTAAATAACTGTTAGCCACTTAAGATGTCCAGTGTTTTAAAAGATTGAAAATATGTAAAAATCAACAAAATCGTTCATATTTCATAAATGAAGTGATTTATCGATGATTTTAATTTAATTGAAATCCTTATAAACGCATTAAGAATAGTTTTACTTTGGATTCCGTATTAGTTACGCGAACGAAGCATTCTTTGAGTTATTTCTGAAAATTCCTCCATAAAACTTAATGTTCGTGATGACCTACGACAAAATACCTCACAGCCTCCGCACTACTGACTCATGGTTGCTCGTGATGTTTCTGTTTTAATTACTGTTTACATGACCTATGACATAACTCGGCAGATGTCTTAAGGTCTAGTTTTGTAGGGCCTCACGTTTTTACAATCACGACTGTGTTACGTATTACTCACTGTATTATATTTTCCTTTTCGATATATATTTTTATTTTTTATTACTTAGATGGGTGAACGAGTTCACAGCCCACCTGATGTTAAGTGGTTACTGGAGCCTATAGACATCTCCAACGCCACCCACCCACCTTGAGATATAAGTTCTAAGGACTCAGTATAGTTACAACGGCTGCCCTACCTTTCAAACCGAAACGTGTTACTGCTTCACTGCACAAATAGGCGAGGTGATGGTTCCTACCCGTGCGGACTCACAAGAGGTCCTACCACCAGTATTATAGCTACAAGTATTCTCTAAATAAATGACTTTCCAGTTGTTATGAAATTGTTTGAATAAAATTTGAAAATTTTTGTACGTGTGGCTCTATGATAATGAAATCAGTGTCTGTTCTTTCCCGAAGTAAAATAATGAATGAAAATGTCTTCTTTAATTTTTGCACAAAAAATTTATATTTATTTTTATAAATTATTTATAGATTTCGTGTTTTTAGATTCTTCTGTATTAGTAAGAAATTTTTATAATACAGCACGTTGAAATTTAACTATAACACAAAATATAATAATATATTTGAAGTTTAATTCCATTGAAACGTTATTGTTCAACGCCTCTTCTAATTGAGATTTATCAGTAAACTAAATGTCGTTCGAATAAATGTCGCACGTTTTGAGTTTACGTTATTACACTAACGGTGTCGCCGCGAATGTAGAGACCTTAGTTTCGAATATACATTGGAAATACACAAAGGATTGATCATATTCAACAAAAATGCAGTTTCTTATCTTGAATGAAATTAATGAAAAAAATAATTCTATGTAACTTTTTTTTCTTATTTTTATTTTTTTATTTTAGCTCTAATTGGATGATTGGCTAAATGGAAATGGTTTCCATAACCGGAACTCTAATAGTACCGCCTGCAAATTAATAAACATTTTATTATTTCGAATAACTCCAGTAAAAGACTATTTATTTAATATGCTCGTATTTCAAGAAGCACAATAAAAACCTCGACTTGCGATATGAAATCGTAGACACTAAGTACTTACAAATTTAAAGATGTAATATAAGTATGTATGTACATAATATGTTGTATAACAAAATTTATTGGTGATAAAAAATCAAAGTTTTCAATCGTCAAATCACTATAAGTGATAAACAGAAATTAGAATCATCATTCAAATACATTTACATTATTTTAAATGCATCCTACTTTTTAATTGTACCACATCCGTTCTCTAAAGATAGCAACATACAACTTAACAAATATTCCGTTTTACATTATTACATAATTCATTAGAGTTCGATAACATTTCTCTTAGTAAGAAATTATGAATGCCCAAATTAAAATATAGAATAGTATTCGCTCAGCGGTCGATAATCAACTATGGACGCTAACGACTCAAGTTTAGGATTAAATCGGATAGTGAACATAAGATACAATAATATTACTTAAATATTTCGTCTTTGCGTATCTTTAAAAAGCTTTTCACTTTTTAAACAGGGCATCGGTCACGTGTCTGGAGGACACATCAACCCCGCGGTGACAGCCGGTCTCTTCGCGGCGGGAGACATTAAGCTGCTAAAAGCAATCTTCTACATCGTAGTGCAGAGCCTCGGAGCAGTAGCTGGAGCCGCCTTTATCAGGGTAAGTCATTTAAATTTTTTTTTTTTTTTTTTTTTTTTTTTCTTAGATGGGTGGACGAGCTCACAGCCCACCTGGTGTTAAGTGGTTACTGGAGCCCATAGACATCCACAACGTAAATGCGCCACCCACCTTGAGATACAAGTTCTAAGGTCTCGAGTATAGTTACAACGGTTGCCCCACCCTTCAAACCGAAACGCATTACTGCTTCACGGTAGAAATAGGCATGGTGGTGGTACCCACCCGCGCGGACTCACAAGAGGCCCTACCACCAGTAATTACGCAAATTATAATTTTGCGGGTTTCAATTTTATTACACGATGTTATTCCTTCACCGTGGAAGTCAATCGTGAACATTTGTTGAGTACGTATTTCATTAGAAAAATTGGTACCCGCCTGCGGGATTCGAACACCGGTGCATCGCTTCAACACGAATGCACCGGACGTCTTATCCGTTAGGCCACGACGACTACAGAAAAATAATCTGTATTACGATTACTTGGATTATTAATGGTGGTAGGGGGTATTGTGAGCACGCATGTACGCCGGTCTTGTGCAGAACTATGACGGCGATTTCACTAAAGGTAATTTCAAAATTTATCAAAAAGTCTCAATATGAGTCTTTTTACTGGTCGCAGGACCTCTTGTGAGTCCGCACGGGTAGGTACCACCACCCTGTCTGTTTCTGCCGTGAAGCAGTAATGTGTTTCGGTGAGACGAGCGGGGCAGCCGTTGTAAGGTAAAAAAAAACTGAGAGACAACCCTCGTGCCTCAACGTGGGTGGCGGCATGTTGATATCTATGGGCTCCGGTAACCACTTAACACCAGGTGGGCTGTGAATTCGTCCAAGTATCTAAGCAAGAAAATGTGTAAATCAAGATTACGAACATATTAAATTATTAGATATTTGTTTGTTTGTTGGTGTATTATGTTGTTACTCTTGTGGTTTTTCGTTCTCTCAGAGTTATACCTCACTTAATCAACTCCAGAGTTATAAGTAGATTCCTCGGTGACATCGTTATGTGAGTGTGCCCTCCATTGAGAACAGTACTCACAGAAGTCAGAAGCCTTAGGGTCCTAAATTTGTGCGACTAAATCACAATGTTTTAATGATAATGTTTTTATTTAGTCTGTCCTCTGATATATTCGATATCAAATGTAATAATTAACGTGTAGGTGCCATTGGTTTTTGTTTAGTTTTCGCGAATAGTACACATAATTAAAGTTACTTTTGCGACGATACGAATTCAATACGGAAACGTCAGAAATAAAATAATGTAAGTAAAAAAAAACACACCGTAAAAGTAAGTAAAATGTATCATTGATAAAGATAAGTAAAGTCAGAAGCAAATGATCACACACTTAATCTTACATCATAGTGCCTATAATATGGATATATATGTATATAGTATAGTTAATTGCAAAAAAAAATGTATTCACACAAACTGACCTTCCTCATTACCATATGAGTTAATTAACTGTATTCCTTTACTAACAAGGCGATTTGCGTCGACATTCTAATCCCCTTATGCTTTACGAACCGATGGCTCTCAAATTGTTATTAAAAATAGTTATGCTATTACAGAATTAGACAGCCTTGCATTTCTGATGTATTTTTTTTAAATACCTATATTTGTAAAGACGACGAAAATTTCAAATAGATTCTCATTTCTAGCTGTTAAATCTGCATTCGTAATTTTATAATTAAACTAGCCGTACTCGCCCGCTAAAATTTAAAATTAACATTATTATTTATTGTCATTATTATTAGGGAGTCCAACTCATATAAATATTAGCCTATCCATTAAGCACATGTATTTTCTACATGGATACCAAGTTTTAAGTCGACCGGATGCATGGTTCAGTAGTTATAACGGAACATCCGTAAAAACCACTGTAGATTTATATATTAGTATAGTAAAATCCTTAATGAAGTACTAAAATTGTACCAAAAAAATTATACTACAAATAGAAGCATGATGTTACAGTTTTCAGTAATATTTAAAATTTGAGAATCACTGCGCTAGACACATGGTGAGTGTGGCTTACCCTGACATCGCTCTCGGAATAAAGGAACAAATTAGAGCTGAGACCTTCAGCTCTTCACAACATTCGAATGATTTATCGATTTAACACGAAGCTTTTATAAAGTATAGTGTGTGAGCCATCCCGATTGATGACCCTCATTTAGTATTTTATTCTCTCATTTACTGAGGAATGTAAATTAGATTCTGTATTTATTTCAATAAACATTTGAGTTTTGATTATCGATGAATAGAAGGACGAAACTTTTTACATGAATAAGAGAACTACACTAAATTAATTATTATTTTACGGTAATTTTATGACAGTACATAAGTCAGAAATTTACAAATTGAAAAATATGCTTTTATTTAAAACTTTAATTGTTTTGTAACTAATTAAATTACTAATTAGGACGCCATTCTTCGTTGCGAATATATTAATTTATTTATATGTATTATCTAGAAAGAAAGCGAATTTTTAACCACATTTAAATATAAACTCCCACAGTATAATATTTGACTAATTAAATACTTTAATCGAAAATATTGTGATTTAGCCATTAAATCGTTGTTGACATAACTACAACCTTTAGGCTGTTGTGCACATAGCTCACTATTGAAAATATCAAGTTTATTTGATAAACAACACGCAGATATATAGAAACCCAGTTAAGGCTGTCAAAATTTTAAATCCCTAGTTAAATCCGACTACGCTTCACTTTGACTGAAATGGTATAATATATGATATGCACATTTATTTATTTATTACACTTCATGAAAAATTTACATTGGCGGACTTAATGCCTAAGGCATTCTCTACCAGTCAACCAAAGGTAGTGCAGAGAAAATAGTGGTAGGTGCAATAAAATTTATTAAATTAAAAATACATATACAAACATACATATATACATATAATAGTTTATACAGTGTTCAAAGGAATATATTAACAAATTATTATTAGATAAATCATAAATTATGAATATTTAGTGAGACTGATGCGATTTTTATGTTGATAGTACCGTAAATATTACAGCACTACTACATTTTTCGGTGACGGTACTTAGGCGTGTACCCTCATGATAAAAAGCCTCAACACATAATTTCTTCAATGACTCATTTATGAAATTTTTATAAAAGTATCTAAAAATTACCAGCGAAAATTAGTTTTGTAAGTAATTATAAAATAATGAACAAAAAACAAAAAATAATTTAAATCAAGTGTCACGGCCCTATCTAGTTTTACTTATTCTGATCTCAACTTGAGAATACCGACCTGGGACATTTGTCTAAACTTCTGTAATACTTTACTAAGTAAATTAATTCAAAGTTCAATCGATAAATTTGTCATGTCGACAATATTAAAATGGTTAGCCCGAGGTACATTATTCCAAAGATATTTTTGTTTTGACAGTCGTCTAAAAGCTACAAATTATGTTAAACCCAAATTTTTTATTTATGACGCCTCTTTAAGAACGCTATGCGACATGCCTTTCTAATTTGAATTGGACGTAGCTATTCCAAAGGCAATAAATATATATGGATGTATATAATTTTTTATTTTTTTTTACCATATAACTCGATTCATTATTATCTACTAATGTCGAGAAATGTTTTATATGTTTGTTCAAGAAGTTATTTAACGTCCGTAAACATTTATAAATTTGAACAAAGAAAAAGAAAAAAAACAGTACATTTATCTTTGACGAAAACGGAAACATAATAAGTTTTATCGCATTGGTCCAGCTTGCAATGTTTTTCATTGTAAGCTTTGTCCGCTGTTGAATTTTCTCAGTTTTCGATATTAGTTCTTCATTCGACAAAAATCACGAATACTACAACAAAAACATTCTATGAAGTTACAATGGCTCTTTTTTATTTTTGTTTTGTATTGCTTAGATGGGTGGACGAGCTTACAGTACCACGTGTACCACGTAAATGAGACCTTGAGATTTAAGTTCTAAGGTCTCAAATAGAGTAACAATGTCAAAGTATTCTAATTTGGGATACCAACATTAGGGTATAGATATTGACGGGAGAAAGGCTATTTGGTCTAAGCGACATTTATCTTTGTAATTCAAAGTGCGTTTTATTTGCTATTAGGATCAACAATTCGATGTCTTTAATTGAACTTCAATTAAGTTTGAATTCATATAGCTGAAGAAGTTTTTTTTGTTATGATATTTTTTCCTAGTTTGAATCAACAGTTCGACGTCTTTATTTGAACTTCAATTAAGTTTGATTCATATAGCTGAAGAAGTTTTTTTTGCTAGTTTGAATCAACAGTTCGATGTTTTTAATTGTACTTCAATTAAGTTTACCCCATTCAAATAGCTGAAGAAGTTTTTTTTTTGTTATGATATTTGTTCGAAATTTCAAACTTTAAATGGCTCTACTGTAATATGGCTTTCTTGTGTGACTCACTCCTGTGACTCTGTGACTCACTCCAACATAAATGATGGCCCTCACTCTGCGAAACATCGTGCCTATTGGCGTCGCATCGCGAGAGCATCGGTATCGCAGGATCCGACTGATGCATGACCACGACCACTCTGTCAAGAGTGTACGAATAGGAAGGAAGTAATATTGCAAAAATGTCGTTTAAACCAAATATCCTTTCCCACCTCGATATACACGGGCATACATTACATAAATACATTAATAACATACATACTTGTGTTGTAGTTGGCGATTCCTGCCGACAGCATCGGTGGTTTTGGTATGACCCTACCCGGACCCGGAGTTACAGAAGCGCAGGTAAGTTATGACCCTATTTTCTTTTTCAACCCATTTTCTTAGATTGACCTTCCCCTACCTAATGGCTGATAGCCTAAGGGGCTATTCTAACTACTCGCGGACCAGTAGGTGAGCAAACGGGCTTAATCTGAGAGAGTTTCCTAAAAATGGCCCTAGCAAGAGCAGTGCTTCGCTGAATCTACCACCGGACGGACGGACCGGAATTACGACGAATTTGTTTAAAACTGTGACGAATTATTATAGTATTTGTTACGTTTTCGCGAGTCGTAGGCATGATTAACTCCTATTGATTGTCTCCTAGTACAGGCTTGCACGCTTAAAAGGAGACTCCAATCATTGTATTGTTTTGACTCGCTTTTAAAAATAAAGTTTTTTTTTTTCTAGTGAATTGCCTATGAGATGGCAAAAGTGCATAAATAACAAGAGAGCATATTAAAAAAAATATGAAAACATTCATTATGGTTTGATAATTAAAATTCTAATTACAACGCTGTCTGTTTATTTACACAGAGTCCGATTATTTCCGTATAATGAATTCAAATTCGTAAAGTACGTTCGATACTTCGATCATACAATTAAAACTAATTTTACGGTTTAATCTTTCTTTTTTTAAATAAATTATCATTTTGTTTACCGTTTCGAATAGTTGTGTTGTTATCACGGACGACAGTAACAATTGCGAGATTAAACAGTAAGAGCAGTTTTTAATATGCCTCATGTTCCAAAACTTGGTATCTTAACTACATATTTGTATTAGGTAAAATAACTAAAAAGAAAATTAGCGCGGGAAGTGCTAGGATCCGGAATGATAGAAAAATAAGTACCTACTGGAATAATAGATAAAAATTTTAAAATAATAAACGTAATATTGTATTACTGTCTGGTGTAGTGGTAAGTGACATGGTCACTACACAAAGGGTCGCGGGTTCGAATCCCGCCAAGGGAAGATATTTGTATGATAAATACAAAAATGTCTTTTCCAGGGTTATATATTTATATTAAATATATGTACGTGTATAATAAAAATCTTACATTTATTTCCGTTATCTGGTACCTGTAACACAAGTTCTTTGCGAACTTAGCACGGGACCAGTTAACGTGGCGTGATTGTTAGTAAATATTTATTATTATTATTTATTACTGTTTATATAATAAAATGCTATTCGAACACTTTAAATTTCAAACTGAATTTCACGATAACATTGGCGTAGAAAATATATATTCACAATACACGATTACATATGAATTTATTGTCGGTTAACATTTATTATTATTTGGGTATCATTTAGGCCGTGCTGGTGGAGGCTCTGATCACGTTCGTGTTGGTCATGGTGGTGATGGGTGTGTGCGACCCGCAACGTAATGACCTCAAGGGTTCCGCTCCCCTGGCTATCGGACTCAGCATCACCGCCTGCCACGCTGCTGTCGTGAGTACAACTTTATACTAATTTGCAGACAGTTTTTTTTGTTATTGTTACCGACGTTTTTTTCTTATAAAGGTGCAAAAAAAAAGAAATTCTAAACAAAACCATTGATAACATGAATCTCGTCGATTTAAACAAATCAAAAAGATAATCACTTCACAAACAGAGAAGAAAATGGTATTTGTTTGTTCTGTCTACCTTCATTTATATAGAAACATAGCTTAGTGGCAGGATAACAGTGAATAAGTATTTCCATGAGCAGCTTTAAGCTTTATTAAAATCTAATGTAATATAGTAAAAAGGGCAATGACATGCCACGGGAAATGGCAAGGAAAATGAAAATCTTTTAAGTTTCCAAGCATCGTTGATCCCCCGAATGTGTATCGCAACAAAGATGACGGTAGCGGCAGATGTGGTTCCTACCTACTGCTATTTTTTTTTATTGCCTTTGTAGGTAGACGGGCATACGGCCCACCTGATGGTGAGTGTTTACCGTCGCCCATGGACTTCAGCAATGCCAGGGGCAGAGCCAAACCGCTGCCTACCGCTTAATACTCTCCACAAGCCTCGTTTGAAGAAGGACATGTCATAGCGCTCGGGAAACGCCTAATCATCAAATTACCAAATCAAAACCAACCAAATAAATACATAAAACATAATAGTTTTGATTCGAAGAGATCGTGTGATTTATTTTCATATCGTTCAGTCTAGAATTTAAATTGGCAACAGACAAACTATTGCGATAACCAAAAATGGATAATTGGTTAGTTTATGTGCTGTCGAAATGGGAGCGAGAGGTATACCAGCGAAATCTATTTATAACCTACTAAAAGACCTAGCCTAGTTAAGAACGTTTAAGGACTACTGGGTTCCTATCAAATTTAGTTAGGCAGGGATAGGATATTGGAGAATGAGGGCGATCGTAATGCGTATTGATAGATGGCTCTTAAACTTACAGTAGGGTCGCAGGTCCACCGGCACTCTTCAAATTCCTCTCACAGCAGCACAACAAACCAGGCACACGGTGAATTAACGGATTACCAAAAAACCCTGCCTATTTCTGCCGTGAAGCAGTAATGCGTTTCGGTTTGAAGGGTGGGGCAGCCGTTGTAACTATACTTGAGACCTTAGAACTTATATCTCAAGATGGGTGGCGCATTTACGTTGTACATGTCTATGGGCTCCAGTAACCACATAACACCAGGTGGGCTGTGAGCTCGTCCACACATCCAAGCAATAAAATAAATAAAAAAACTCGACTCACACACTGAGCGTTTGTTAATGTTCTATAATATTATTTATTATTATTATTTTCATTCTTTATTTAACATTTGAATCTGACAGATACCTTTCACGGGATCCAGCATGAACCCGGCCCGAACATTCGGCCCAGCCTTGGTGATCGGCAATTGGACATCTCAATGGGTAAGAAAATTCGTATTAACTCAAAAATTTGTTTATTTCATTCCCTGAACTAATAACGGAACGATTTTTGGAGATATTTTTTACTGGTGGTAGGACCTCTTGTGAGTCCGCGCGGGTAGGTATCACCACCCCGCCTATTTCTGCCGTGAAGCAGTAATGCGTTTCGGCTTGAAGGGTGAGGCAGCCGTTGTAACTATACTGAGACCTTAGAACTCATATCTCAAGGTGCGTAGCGGCATTTACGTTGTGGATGTCTATGGGCTCCGGTAACCACTTAACATTAGGTGAGCTGTGAGCTCGTTCAATAATCTATGCAAAAAAAGAGTAAAAAAAAAAACAGTAAAAAAATTTACATTAGTCAAAATTCGAATCGAGTTTAATCAAACATCATTAATTTAATCCGATTTGATTTGGTCGATTAATAAAACAAACGTCGTATCATCAGATTTACAAAAGTTATTTGCAAAATAAATAAAGAGATCGAATATCAAATTCTTGTTTTAAAAATTCACACATACATAACTAGGTAACGGTTTTCGAAAACGCTTTCGCAAATAAAATATACTAACAACATGTTTCAGACGCGTTAACGTATTAATAGCTTTATATTTTATGCGAGTATTTATTATCGCCGGATGCTGCTGATAGATTATTAACTATTATGTAAGTCGCCTTTCTCTGAGCATCTCGTGAATGTCCTGCCGTGACCCGCCTACGTTCTGACTTGTTGTAACTCGTTGTGGAGTTGTAACGTTAGATATGGACGTTAAATTGAGCACTACTCTTTTGATTTTACTGGTGTTTCAAAACCGGTATCATACGAAATTGGTCTATGATTATTACGTATTAACATTACGTTGAAATGTAATGGTTGTTGTTAGAATAGTTGCTGAAGATCTGCGATTAAGCGTCATAATAACAGTCATAATAATAATATAATGTAACCATTTGTTAAAGTTATTGATAAAGATTAACCCAATAAGTAATAATAATTGTTTCATTAAATTTACGACGCCCAATGCTCAGCATATTATAATAGAATGGTATAATATTCTTTCAAAGGTATTTATTTGTCCATTGTTTTAGAGATAAAAAAAAAATGGTGCTCTTACAACTTGGTGCCCGATAAAGAAGTGAAACTTCTTTTGCGGTGTGTAGTACTGTGGTTTTCTTCATCTTTCATCATTAAATCAAATTTCTCTATAAGAGAATAAGAGAAACAACCTAGTTCGCTTTGTGCTTTCCCTCTCTCCGTGGTCGAGTGGTTCACGAGACACTGTCTATTTTCTCACTCTCGCTCTTCCTAAATTGTATCTTTTCTCTCTAGCCGTAACGAATCTGTCACGAGTTAAATTTTACTCTCAACGCGCCTTTAGAAGTTTCGTTAGAAGTTTCATTTCAAAAATCTTGATGGGAAAGACAAAAGAAAGAGAAATGTTTTGATATTCAATTAGCAAAAGTAGATTAGAGAGAGATAGAAGAGAAGCAATTCATTAATAAATATTCATTAACAAATAAATATATTACAAGTCACCTTGAAATAATTAAATAAATATTTAAACACTATTTTTACTATCATCTGTAACAAACATGGAGTCTGTTCTAAAGTTAAGGTAGAAAGCGTTTCCGACCAATCTGATATTTTATTTTACAAATAAACATAACAATTAATTGAATTGATGCTTTCTGTCGCTATAGTTAATAAAAAATTATGACCTATTAAATAGTTCGTAAAAATGTACAATTTGAGTGGAAATCTCACAATTTATATTGCCTTTAAAACACATTCGTTAACAAAGACCGCGTAGTGTTGTCAGCCTTAATAGTCACTATTAATATTCAGGCCGTATTAGTTTTGAAGCGAAGTATAAAAAAACAATTTTGTGTTTAAAAAAAACAGCACAACTAATTCGTTACGGAAACCGTCTAGGATTATGTTTGGATTGTTTGTTTTGCTGTGTAGTCCTCTTCCATTTTCAAGTTATGCTAATTTTATAGCCACGTTTTTATGACAACATTATATATAGCGTTTTAAATTACTTTCATTTTTCTTGTAGAATGGTGTTTTATGTGGAACTATAAATATGGTGTAACGTTAATTTTATGCATATATGCATACATAAGTTTTTCAGTTATCATTTTATTGCGTTAAGCTGGTAGACGGAGACCGCCCTTTAAACCATAGATAATACTTAATTTATCTATGGCTTTATATAAATACTTAATTTAGGCGGTTACTGAAACCTATGGTCATTACAACGTAAATATTGTCACACTACTTGAAAGTCGAGATTGAAGTCGTGCCAAATATGGTGTGTGTGAAAATTTATACTGTCGAGATGCTGACTGAAATTTGTACTTATTCATTTCCCTGCCTAATCGTGGTTAGCTTAGGGGGCTATTCCAACTACGCGCGAACCGCTAGGTGATCTCACAGGCTTAGCCTGCGAGATTTTGCTGACACGAGCCTTAACAAAAGCACTGGTTCGCAGAAACTACCACCGGATCCGAATCGCGGCGACTGAGAAGATCCGGCGAGACTCAGTTAATTAGTTACTGAAAGATATACTGTGTTCTTAGCGCGAGTTTTTTAATGTTCGCGATAGCGTAAAAGCTTATTAAAATTTTTATGCAGTCGGAACAGTGCCCAAGCGGCAAACGTAGGCAAACGTTTCAACTCGATACAAATTTGAGTTTACTTTTACACTATCGAGAACGTTAAAGAACTCACACTAAGCACACTGTTGTACTGTTTTAGCACTTTAATCATTATTAATTTTAGGTTTACTGGGTGGGTCCCGTCGTGGGCGGCGTGGTCGCTGGACTACTCTACAAATTCGTTCTGCGCATCAAAAAAGCCGGAGACACCGGCTCTTATGACTTCTAAACAGCTGCACGGGAACTCTTCGTCGTTTTCAAAAGGACGTTTTTTTAAATAAAATGATCTATATTACTTTGTAATAGAAAACATTTACAATACATACGTTCTTTTGGAACCAGCGATGTCACATGCACCTCACCGACCGCTTCGTGTCAAAATCGACCGTTTGCCTGACGCATACGATTTTAAATCTTGCTATCCGAAAATATTTCTATGGGTTAGATTAGGTTTCTTTCTTACGAAAACATGGTATAAGAAGAATAATCAAATGCTATGTGAGAGGCAAACGCAAGATAATTGTATTTGTTATTATAGATTTTTATGAATGCTTTTAGCGCGGACCAAAACCTTTTTTTTTATATTTACGATTTCAATTATTTTGTCACTCCGCCGATGTCGTGGAGAAATTTTTAAAACATTAAAAAGTAAGGTACAAAAAGTTGAAGTTTCCGAATATTGAAAACCGACTACGATATATTATCCAAACACGAAGATAAAGTTTAGAATAATTCTATGTTAATTTTAGTATGATAAGGTTATTTATATTGTGAATAAAGTATGCTAAGTTAAAGTTATCGATGTGGCGGCTGCACTTTTAGTATGAGGGCCAGGATTAAAATTCTAAGCCTCGCCAGAGCAACGAACTGCTCGATCAAAATTTTATTAAATCAATGAAACTAATAAATAAGACTCCCACGTAGCGTCTTATTTGAGGGCATTTAAAACCGACTTTAACGCATTGTATCAAATTACCTTTGAACATCTGAGCTAACGTCAGATCGTAATGAGGCAATGAAACAATAAAACTTGTAAACCTAAATTAACTGATGAAGGAGTATACAAATAAGGTTAAGTTAAAAAAAGGTTGCAAAACAATTAAAAACGGCTCTTTATTCGATGTCGGTCAATTATAACACATGTAATAATTTATCAGAAGAAAATCTGCTCAGATTCATTTTGGAAATATTTATAAATGCTAATTCTATCGGTTCGGACTTAGGATTATCGAATCTTTGTGTTGTTTTGGGTTTAACTGAGTGAACGGCAGTTTTTTTTTGGTCTATAGGCCCTTGTACTATAGTGGCTGTTGCTGTACGCGTTTCCTTTGCGTTACGCAAAATAAAAATGTCCATACTCGAGTGCCTATGCTAATGACGTGATAATATGAAGTTATTTAAAAAAATATATTTAAGTTACAAATATTATGTAAATCACTTGAAAATGTTTAAAATAAATATTTTAATAAGAAATTATGCTGTTTTCTTCATTTATAATACATACGATCATAATCCAACCAATTCCATAAGCTGTCATCTCAAATTGATACCGGTTCAGGAAATTACACATTTTTATTTCAATCCGAACATTTCTCCGAATTAATGTAGTGGCAAATAATTAACCTCAACTGCAAAACGGCATGCCATTGAAATTGAACTTTGTTGACGTTATTAAAACTTGAAAATTAAAACTCGAATTGCAATTCGTTGAAAAAAATTGTACCTACAACGGAAAACCTAAATAATCAAACCATAGACATATTGTGTTCATTCATACTTTTACTATCATAGTCATACACTAATTTCAAGTGCAATGTCTGCAATTAAAAATGTTAGAATTCAAACAACAAAATATATACGCATAGATAAATATGAAAATGAATGTTCTGTATACACAGTGTAAAACTCAATTAGTCTTCACAATAAGTGTCCTTTGTTTGTCACTTATACCAAAACCAACTTTCACAATCATTCACAATGCTATTTGCCAGACGCGTGCCTTAAGCATACAACAATATTCGCATCTGTCACCTAATTGCAATTTGCAATTATTAACCCACATGATTTACAAGTATAATTTGTAATTTTGCAACGTCGTTTCATTGTCACAGCGACAAACAATGAAATGGCTAATGAAATGTTATTGGAGTATGAGATAATGTGATCGAGATGTATGGAACACCTACGCGACCAGTGCACTCAGTTTTATTGAACGTTTATTAATTAGTACAAACTTTAAAAATGAAACTAATACACAGCAGGTAGACAGCAGCATCCCAACACCGCTGCATTAGGTGGGTTGCGGGTATCCTATGTCATTGTTGAAAAAAACAGCAACACTAGTGTTAATTTTATTTTGTTATTATCTACAAAATTCCAGTGTAAATCAATAGTACAATAAATCCTTAGCATTTAATAGATTTGTTCATCTAAATCATGTCCTTTTATTTCGCAATATCGTGACTGCGCATGTCTAATCGCTGGCAACACAATCGGCAGCTGCGCCTTCGCAACAAATTCTGTTAAAGTTAAAAATGATTCGTTGACAAGTCAAGGGCGCATCTGCAGCATTGTCACGCCGCGCGACAAGTGAGCTTTGACCTACTTACGAGAGAGCTTTTAAAGTCAGGTGTAATGCACTCGTGTAATAAAAGATGCGTGTCAGTAAATGTTTGTTGAGCTGTGACATCAACTTTAAAGTTTTGACGAACCTTGACCGCGAACGTGGGTCGTGGGAATACTTGTTATCTTTTATGAACTGTACGTTTTTCGTATTTAGTCGCTAAATTCTTTAATAAAATCTTGCGTGGCTCTGACTTAATGCTGTGGTTACACGCGCGGTAACTCGTTCGCACGATTGGCCTGTTCTTAATTTTTTTTATGATTGATTACCTACTGGTGGGCTCGGAGTTCTTTCCAGTTTTACCAGGACAGGTGGGTGAGCAAAGGCTCAGCCAGGAGGGGTGGAATTTGCTAACAGCTACCTGAACGCTAACAAGAGTAATTTCTTCGCGAATGAATCTACTATGGTATAGGAATCGCTACCCGCTGAAAAAATCCGGCAAGAAACTCAGCGGGTTATGTTTAGGCTAGGTTGCGCGTCGAACTCTTTGCCGAGTTCGACGAGTACGGTTACCGGGGTCTCTAAGCCTGCTCCTAGTGTTAGAGCTAAAGGCGTCTAATGCCAAGCTTATTGGATCTGATGGATCCGTAAGGACGTGTCTAGGGCGTCGACGGTGACTGGCTCCTGCGTGATCAGGATTCAAGGAGTAAGTAGTCAGCGGCGGCACCGATAAGGCGATTATCATGACGCATAGTCTTATCGAAGTACCGTTCCGACGCTGACTTTATGTGTTTCCGGATTAATTTGAGGCCCAGGTCGTCGTATATGTTCAACGTTCCTTACGAACCACGGAGCCCCGACTGCTAACTTGCAAAAACGGGATTGTAGGGATTGGAGGGCATCTAAGTGTATGCGGGCCACGTGAGCGAACACCACACTCGCGTAAGTCATGACGGGCTTTATGCAAGTTTTGTAAAGCGTCATCTTGTTCCAAAGGGACATTTTACTCCGCTTACAGATCATGGGATAGAGTCTACCGAGAATAAAAGCGGCACGGTCGCGGAATGATTTTATATGCGGGCGGAATTTCGTGGATGCATCCACTGTGACTTCCAGGTACTTGACCTTCCTGGCTCAGGGTATAAGTTGGCCAAAGAGAATGATCGGGGTGAAATTAGTCTCGTCTCAGTGCAAAGATTTTTGACAACTTCACATAATTTATGGTTAATGAGAAGATATTACAAATTGTCTTTTAACTAATATTTAATAAACAATAGTATATTGTCCACCAAGGGAGAAAAGTTGGACTTTTCCTCACGCGTGTAAAATGATGTCCTACTTTTTTCCCGCGGTGCACATACAATTTTTTCTCCTACCAGGACGAAAGTTCGACATTGTAAAAAAACTCATAAAAAAAACAATTGAACTGTTTTTTAATTTTTAAATAAACTACTACTAATTGAATAAGAATTTTCTGATGAACTCATCTTTGTTTAATACTTCACTATTAAATTTTATTGCCTTTTGTTTATTTCACTTTTACACAAACGCAATATTGCAAATTACCCGAGCACAATAATGGCGGAGAATTTTAGGTGCGTGAGAGCAGACGTAGACACCAACGCGCATGCGCCCTTATCAGTACCCAGGGAGGAAAAGTTAAGACTTTCTTCCCTGTACAGCTACCAGTGCAGCAGAAAAATGATACTTCAATTCGTCAGGATATGACTTCGATTCGTTATAATCGTCAAGTTTATTTTCCTACCTAAGGTGATGATGGTATTGAGAGAGCATTTCAGCGTAATCTTAACAAGTAGTAGAGCTCACGGGGCTCAAACCTGACGACGTTGCTAACACTAACCCTAGCAAGAGCAGTGCTTCGCAGAATCTACCACCGGATTGGAAACGCGACCAGTTGAGAAAATCCGGCGAGAAACTCAGTGAGCTGTGTCTGTGGGTTTTTTTTTATTCCTTTGATGGGTGGACGAACTCACAGCCCACCTGGCGTTAAATGGTTACTGGAGCCCATAGACATCTACAACGTAAATGCGCCACCCACTTTGAGATATAAGTTCTAAGGTTTCAGGATAGTTAGTAATTATTAGTTACAACGGCTGCCCTACTCTTCAAATCGAAACTCATTACTGCTTCCCGGCAGAAATAGGCGAGGCGGTGTTACCTATCCGTGCGGACTCATAAGAGGTCCTACCACCAGTAAAAAATTTTTCGCCAAGCCCTTTCTCGTATTCAAGAATTAACAAGAAGAAATCGTAGTATTCTTTTAATCAGCTATCGAGAATATCACTGTTACTGTTTATAATATATGTATATGATCCCTGAAGCAGTCGTGGTTTAGGAGACACGCTAAATGAGTCTCCTAGTCTTTCTCCTTTCAATTCCACAATCAAAATAAAACAAAACCATAAGCTGAAACTATTTATTTGATCGCGATATAAAAAGCAACGATTACATTCAAAGCCCAAATAACACACTATTAATTTTCAAGAATATATGCCGGTTCAACTATATTGGTTCAAACGCTATTGATATAATTTAACGAATATTGTTACAAGTAAACATGTTTTTATTTAGAGAAAGAGTCCCTGACCAAACAGAGAATGGATGCGTCGACGCAGTGCCCGTAATAGACCAGGCTAACCTCAGGACGTACTCAGCTATTTCACGGCTACTGATTTTTAAAACATATCATATTAGTTGAAATCAAATCGATCATGTTTGAGTGACGAGATGGAACGCGCGTGAAATGCTTTGTAATGCTGGGGCTACATTAGCGGGCTGCGGCGAATATTCGTGTAGCCGAGTAGATTGTTGTATTGCGTAGTATTCGGGCGAAGACGATGTACTATCGGATGTACTACAGTGTCGGTAAACTGGCGCGTATCACAGGTATTTGTCGTCAATGCGGTACGAACGTGCTTGTTTTCTTGTACACCATGGAGTAACAAAAAAGTGTTTGAATTCATTCAATTGTATTTAAATTACGTCTCTGTCACACCATAACACAACCCGGCACGATGTATCGCGTAATCTTCGCCCGCTAATGTAGCCCCAGCTTAAAGGTGATTAATGAATCATTGAGTTGGGTTAGCCGGTCATACATCCGTTGTGGCACTGCGTGACCCGGGGCCTTCCTCAAGGCATCTCCTCGATGGTGGCCCGTATGAAGGCGTCAGGGTCGGGCAGGTCGCGCAGCAGGCCGGCCGCGTCGCAGAACTCGGCAAAGGAAGCGCAGGGAAGCAGCTCCTCGGTCAGAGTGGTCACGACGCGTTCGGCCGCCTTCGCGTTGGCCTCGTCGTTGTGGCGGATGTATTCCGCTAGCTTGACGGGCCATTGCTCCACTGTCGCCGCCGATACGCTCTGAAAATCAAATTCATCTTCTTAAAACTGTCTGAATATTGAGAATATTAAAAAATAAAATATAGCAGCGTGTTTTGAACATATATATACCATTTAGGGTATTTTTAGGGTTTTTAGGGTATTTATATTTTTATACTTGTCGCTTCATAATACATCAGTCAACGGCGGATCCGGTTTCAGGACTTAGGTGGACCAGAACATATTGACTTGTATCTATTGTTATCAAAATTAAATTATAAGTTCTTGACTTGACCACGACTATGTGAGCTCCTCCTGGCGCCAAAGCTGGATCCACCCTTGACGTCAGTTGTCACTTTTTACAAATGTCAATGCACATTACGGGCCCAGTCTGCCATGGCTGAGGCGGCCAACGTGTAAAACTGACAATCGATTTTGGGACTCTCATAAAAATGTACATGCAACTATTTATTCAGTGAATTATCAATTGTACTATCGAGAATTATACGTGGCGTGATTACTGCCACAGTTATTTTATCGAAATATCGTCTTCCTACCTGGTAAACCATGTATACCTGAAAATGTCTAACTCTGAAGATGGTCGAAAGATTTCATACTCGATATTAATTTGTACGATAGCTTTACTGCTGGTAGGACCTCTTATGAGTTCGCACGGGTAGGTACCACCACCCTGCCTATTTCTGCTGTGAAGCAGTAATGCGTTTCGGTTTGAAGGGTGAGGCAGCCGTTGTAATTATACTTGAGACCTTAGAACTTATATTTCAAGGTGGGTGGCGCATTTGCGTGATGTCTATGGGCTCAAGTAACCACTTAACACCAGGTGGGCTGTGAGCTCTTCCACCCATGTAAGCAATAAAAAAAAAGCTTTCATTTAAAATTGCAGTTAAGACTTTCAATTTAGATGTCGACGAACATTAACTGACTCGTGTTCGTCAATAATCGAATTTCCAAGAGAGTTCTTGGGTGACTGTGCTTGTGGGATGAACGCTATAGCCGTAACGTCACTAAACAAATGCCGCATTGTACTGTCGGGTACAGTACGGCAGCCGTGTCTGTAAGCTGGCCGCTCGCGGCTTACCAACTAGCTTTCGTAGATTGAGGGAAATTGGGACCCTTTCCAAATCCAACACAAATTTTCAATGGTTTTTCTTAGGTTAATACCAATAAAATTGAGATTAAAATGGTCCGAAAGTTTAAATTTTTATACACGATGCGCTATTTATACATAGTTCATTCAAAATATACACAAAAACTGAAAAAGCTAGCTTGACCCGATTCAACTTGCCTTTGGGGTGAATCAGGTTACGTACCTATGGGAACAATAGTTTTTCGATAGGGCTGTCACTATTTAGTTGTTAGGTAGGCGCCTAACTTTAGGTAATTAACGTTTTAATATATTTCATGAGTTACAAAACTTTGATGACTAAATTAAACTATTTAATATTGTTAAACACCAAATAAAAGTCATTTTCAGTTCACAAAGTTAAATCTAACGACTCAACAAAAGTATTGTGACATCCCAAATTTGTCCCTATTCTAAAGGCTTCGTCAAACAGAACGCGTCTTTAGCGCTGCGTTTTAACGTCGCGCTCTTTTCATGTGACACAAATTGACTAGATGAGCCTAAAGCTCCTTCACGTAAGACATTCGCCAAATCATAGTGCCTGTCGATAGCAGTGTGAAAATTTAAAAGTATTAAGATGTCGAGTGATTCAGATGTGGCATTGTATAAGAATGAGTATTTTCTAACTAATTCTATCAATTTTTCGGGCATTATCCAGTATTTTAATACACATTCACTTGGACGCCAAAATGAAATTTGTAAAAAAATACAACGCCTGACGTCAAAACGTCCTAACGCCGCGATAGCGCGTTGGGTACTGCTAGCGCTGGCGCTCTGTTTGACGGTATGTTACCATAGTAATACAACTCATCTCGGCGTCATAGCGCACCGTTAGTTTAGCGTTCTGACGCGCGCTAAGTACGCGTTCTGTTTGATGAAGCCTTAAGTCTAGTCTCTATTCCCCTCAATCTACTGTACTGCACGCAACTAACCTTGAACATGACATTATAGAGTAGATCGACGACGGCGTGGAACGTGACGTAGGGCTTGTATTCGGCCCAGGGCTTGGGCTCGCGGTCCTCGCCGACGAGCGCGCGGCGCGGCGCCCCGCCCGGCCCGGTCGCGCGGACCTGCCCCAGCAGTATCATGCGCTTCAGTTGGTCGATCTTCTGAGTACGCCATCTGAACAGAGTCATTATCTTTATCACTCACAAATTCAAATTGAGGAATAATTTAAAAGTGCAGTAATAATGTTTATTTGGTATTAAAGTTTTTTTATTTTTTATTTATGTGAAATTCAAACTATGTTTACGGTTTAATCTTGTGTTCATTGCAGGTAGTCACTATATTATTTCCGACGTTTCGTTTATTTTTTTTTCAATTTAAATACATTCATATTGCTTTTAGTGTATGTGTTTATGTGTTCAATTTATATATCAATGCACCTAACATTCTTTTTTCAACATTTATTTTGGTCGACTGGCAACATGAAGTCCGCCAATGTATACATATAAAATGTAATAAACAAAAGCATTTCATTAACACAAGCTCAAGGCCCATATAAGTGATTACCAGAACCTTGAGACGGTGCACCTCTCTTTCAACCAAAATAATTGCTCCGCGGCAGATAACCGTAACTACCAATGTGGGATGACAATCTGTCCCAACACTGATAAAGTTGATGGGGAAATATTTTTAATACGCTTTTATTCGCTTCCGACGTATGTATGTTAGTATGTACCGGAATCTTTGAACATGATTTTGACTCCCTTCAAAACGTCGGATTAACTTTTTTCGAAATTTTGGTATACTTATTATGGACCGATGACAAAACAATATTTAAAGAAATTAAAAAATTGAAATTCAACTAAATAATGAAAAATAAATAATAGTTTAAAAAAACTAACAAAATACGCTTTTATAGAAAGTCCAACTAAAAATAGAAAATAAATTTTACAATACAATACAATCATTACAATAAAATCATTTTATCTTACACTATTTTTAAATCAAATTTATTAAAATTTAATTTCTATTTTTTAGTTGGATTTTCTATAAAAGCGTATTTTGTTATAATTTACGCTTGTACTTACTTGGAATGAGGGTAGAGCGTCAGCATGAGTGTGAGATAGTAGAGCGGGCCTTCGGCTTCGTGGCACGACTCTAACAGGCGGCTGGGCGCACAGCCCAAGTACGTCTCCAGCGCAGACACCTCGCGCGCAGCCACGCGGCTCCTGTGTTCGTAAGCATTGTACAACAAACTACCAATATTTTTCTTTTGCACGTTTTCTTTTTTTTATTGCTTTGATGGGTGGACGAGCTCACAGCCCACCTGGTGTTAAGTAATTACTGGAGCCCATGGACATCTACAACGTAAATGCGCCACCCACCTTGAGAAATAAGTTCTAAGGTCTTAGTAGAGTTACGACGGCTGCCCCACCCTTCAAACCGAAACGTATTACTGCTTCACGGTAGAAATAGGCAGGGTGGTGGTACCTACCCGTGCGGACTCACAAGAGGTCCCACTAGTAAAAAACCAGCACGTGTTTAAATTGCAATTCTTTTGATTTTCTCGCAACCCTCAGGGGCTCTCAAACTTATTTTGTCTAGTGCCCACTTTGAGAATAAATTATGTTTTAGCGCTCCCATTTTTTCACCAACATAAAAACTACTATAGTGAGAGCTCAGTCAATGTCTAAGAGTCCTCCTAGATGAAATTACAAATAGCCTACCAAGCCTCTACACAACGCCCCCATTTTTTCTGGTGCTCTTACCGCCCCCCTTTAGGATTGCAGCGTCCACAAGGAGGCGTTATCGTTCACTTTGGGAAAGGCTGCTGCTGCTCTATCTGATCAATTCGCTTCTCAAAAAAAAATTACATGTTATTTTATACTGGCTAGTCTAGTGCAGGTCCAGGTCGTTTTTTTTTCTATTGCTTAGATGGGTGGACGAGCTCACAGCCCACCTGGTGTTAAGTGGTTACTGGAGCCCATAGACATCTACGACGTAAATGCGCCACCAACCTAGAGAAATAAGTTCTAAGGTCTCAGTATAGTTACAACGGCTGCCCCACCCTTCAAACCGAAACGCTGCTTCACGGCTGAAATAAGCAGGGTGGTGGTACCTATCCGCGCGGACTCACAAGGGGTCCTAGCACCAGTAATTACGCAAATTAAAATTTTTGCGGGTTTAATTTTTATTACACGACATTATTCCTTCACCATGTGGCCAACGTTTTATGCGTTTAAAACAAATGGCTACGTAGTACAGCTACATAGAGGTACATAGTAGGCGGAGTGGGGGTGTTAGTCTTATTTTCGTTAGGTAATTTATTGATTCGGTCGCCGCGCTCAAAGCCCCGCGATAAAGGCTATGCAATAGCTTAAAAAAATTAACATGTAATTTTATAATGACTAGGGCAGGTCCTGGTCGATTTACAACACAATTGGTTGGGGTGTTATTGGACAGCGAGTACGCACGTGTTGATGACGTATAGCGCCATGTGGAGCAGGGCCGGCACGAGCTGCATGTTGGAGAGCGGGCCGCCGCCGCCGGTGTCGTCGTGGAAGGTGCGTCCGCGCGCGAACCGCAGCAGCAGCAGCTTCAAGTCGTGCAGCGTGCCCAGGTGACTGATGTCGCGGTGACCGGTGCACTCCTGTATTTATTTATACTAGTGAGGATCACTGCGGTATCGCAGTAGTCTAAATTCAAATATAATTAATTAAAATTATAAGTTTGAAAATTATTATGGTTCTACTAGCTGACTCGGAAGACTTCGTAGTGCCTCAATCGATAAATAAAAGACAAAAAGGAATCCGTCCGACGGGGGACACGTCAAAGGAAAAACAAAATTTTCATATTTATCTACCTTTTAAACCTTCTCTAGACTTCCACAAATAATTCAAGATCAAAATTAGCCAAATCGGTCCAGCTATTCTCGAGTTTTAGCGAGACTAACGAACAGCAATTCATTTATATATATTTCTATTATCAAAGACTATTAATATACTTCTAATTATAAATTTCGCCAAAACTAGACTATAGACAAATAGTAATAAAGATAAACAAAATGAACCTATTCTCAATTTAACCACAAACTTTAAGCATTCACAAAAGTTTGACAATAAACAAATAGTTTATTTATGTGCGTTTTAATATTAGCACTCTGCACTCCTCTATATTGTCTGTAAGTGTGGGAAAATTTATAGTCCTCCGTCGGCGCAATTTTGGTAAAAAGGGGGACAGCGTTTTTGCTTCACGTATTAATATTACATTTATATGAATTGCCAATCTACGCTCTGTAGGGAATCTATCTTGCAAACTAAATGATTATTGCGATATCTCGTCACAAACTGATTTCGGTAATGTCAATTGTGCCAGAGCCTACGACGGTATAATATCTTAAGAATTTCGTAATTCAAGACAAACATTTCCGGTCAGGTACTTCCGCTTAGTTGTGCCGGGGTGCAATTCTGGACTACCAGCGATATTGAAGAGTGGGTATTGCACTGCGGAGCTTCACGAGTTCAGCTCATAGATGGACCAATTCCAATTAAAAACGTATTTTCACCTGTATATAAGTTGTGTGACGAGCGAGACAACTAGCGAAGGCGGACTCCGGCACGTGCGGCCCCCACAGCGGCAACAGTCCGTTACAACGCGTCGAGGCGTTTTGCAGAGCGGCGCTTTCCCACTCATCTCTACAAATCAATAACATCAATATTACTTTTAACGTGACCTCTCTCAGTATTAAAAAAAAAACACAATAAGTAAGCATTGCACGATTCAAAATAAAAGGTTTACGTCGCAGATACCGAAAACAGCTCTCTTAATCACAGAAGTGTCACTTCTCACAAATATAACTACAGAAGTTAAACTTCGATACATTTGCTTATCAGCAACGTCAATTCATATGATAATGTTTTATTTTTTTATTATAATTTTGTTTACAACTATATAATCACATGTGTACGTGCTAGGATTTCGAACAATCATTAATTATCCTTAATATGTATGTATGTATGTAAGTAATTATTTATATATATTGACCTGGCTCGTGCGAGTCTAACGGCGGCCATGTGGCACTCCACGTGCACGATGTTGTAGTGGGAGACGGTGGTGTAGCCGAGCGTCTTGCGGGCGCGGGCTTCGTACTCGTCGATCGGGCAACGCTTCGTGAATGTGTAGATACCGAGCACCTATTAACGAATTTATTTATGTAATATTCATGGTCTAAGCGATGACATATCTGATGTACTTATAACAAGTGATACGACTACGCCTGTCCATATCACGTAGCCGGACACCAATTTTTCTAATAAAATACGTACAAAACTGATAGTCTTGAAAATGTACCACAATCAATGAATTTCATCATTGTCAAAATCACAAAAAAGTTATTTACGTAATTATTATACAATTAACACATAGACTTCAATTCTCAAGATGGGTTGTGGCATACATGTGATTTCGGCAACCACTAGACTAGACGGGTGGTGAGGTCGTTCACTCATAAAGAGCATATATTTTTTAGTTTCTATGTATTACTATAGCCGTTCTTTGCTTGAGTTTTACCATTTCATTGATGTGAAATTAAAAATACTCAATCTTTTAGAATATGTATCAATTTTATCTAGGTACGCATTTAAGGTGCACAGCAGAAACCTATTATTAACTGATGTGAAGCAGTAATGCGTTTCGGTTTGAAGGGTGGGGCAGCTGTTGTAATTATACTAAGACCTTAGAACTCATATCTCAAGATGGGTGGCGGCATTTACGTTGTAGATGTCTATGGCTCCGGTAACCATATAACACCAGGTGGGCTGTAAGTTAGTCCACTCATCTATGCAATAAAGAAAAAAAAAACGGTCTGATCATAGAGAGTACGCATGTCGTCGGTTACCTTGGTGGGTTGGTACTTGTATCCCTCGCGACAGATGCAGCAGACGGCGCCCGCCTCCTCGGCGAGGTCGGCGACCTGCTGCGTGAGGGAGCAGTGCGCCGTGACCTGCCCGCGCTCGTTGCTGCGCATGCCCAGCGCGCCCAGCTGCCGCTCGCGAACCGCCATCGCCAACCGCTTCTTCTCCTGTGTTCAAATAATCATGTACATGCATCACCTTCGACAAAGCGGCACGACACGAGAGCCCTCTCATCGTGGCCGCCGGTAATTACATTCCCGATCCTGCGGACAGAATGGAAGGCAGTCGACGTCACCCAAAACACGTCATTTCGGATCCTCCCGATCCATTAACGATGCTTTTAGGTACCACAAGCACCGGTCATCGTTCTTCTCGAACCCGTCGCTTGCGACGAAGGACTTGACGAGTAAATTAACCCATAGACACAGCCCACTGAGTTTTCAGCGGGTCTTCTCAGTGGATCGCGTTTTCCGATCCGGTGGTAGATTCTACGAAGCACTACAACATCGACTGTTGATCATTCGAACTACAGAATCGAATATAAAAACACAACGTAAAGCTAATCGAATATATACAAATCCCCTCGACAACCACAGACCTGTCTGGTAAATTCTCGGACTTGTTGTATTTTGGCTGCGCACTGCGGCTGGGACCGCAGCGCCTCGAGCAGGTTCTCGGCGAGGGATCCCACGTGTTCGCCCGAAGACACTTGTTCCAGACGATGCACAATCGGAATAACTTTCTCGCATACCAGCATCTGAACAAATTGTAATTTTAGCAGCAATGTACTTAAACAAGGCATAGCCTTGTCATACAAATAAATAAAAAACTTAAGTTTTATATTTGCATGAAACATAATAAAAATATGTAAATTACAAATACATACATATATTTTAAATGCAAACAAACTTTCTCTTTATTTATGATTACCATTACATTCAGTTTTCTTTGTTTTAGATATACGACAAGCATGTAACGAACTTAGTCAATCTCCATTCACCCAATCTAATAAACGTAATCGATAAAAACTTACTTGAGTCGGTTCATGATCAGCAGCAAGTCCGGTGAGGAAGCGTAGTATATATTTGAGAGCGGGACGACTGATGAACTCCTTAAGATCGTCCGAATCAGAGCACACTAAGGTCGGCTTTACGCATGGAGCGTGTTTCTGGAAATGACAAATAATTACGTAATCTATATCTATATATATAAAAACGAATTACTGTTCGTTAGTCTCCCTAAAACTCGAGAACGGCTGGACCGATTTGGCTAATTTTGGTCTTGAATTAGTTGTGGAAGTCCGATATGTAAATATGAAAATTCTCGGAATTAAATAAAAATAACAATTTTGTTTTTCCTTTGATGTCTCCCTCGTCGGACGGATTCCTTTTGTTTGCTTTAAGTTTATTTTTTACAAAAGTTTAGGTTTTTTATTTATCGATTGAGGCACTACGAAGTCTGCCGGGTTAGCTAGTAAACAACAATTACCTATTAAGAGTTATTTGAGTTTCTTCTCAACAGCCATGGCTAGCAGAGACAGCAGTAGTTAGCAGCTGAATACAACGGCAACCATAGATTATGTTTTTAAAGTAACAAAAAAAAACCTTACCACAATATACTCGAGTGCATCACGAACAACCCCAAGCGATATGAGGTAGTCCTTCAAGGTGCCTCCGATCGAATTCCGCTCAATGTTCGCGCAGAGCACACAGAACAGCTCCATACGGAATTCCTCCTCTGTCCATTGTTCAGAATCGAGTTTGTCGAAGTCTAGCACGGGCTTGAAGTGATCGACCAGCATAGCCATTTTGAGGTCATTGCCGTAGACGAGTGCGGCTAGGACACGAGTCAGATGTCCGAGGGCTACTGAATTGTTGCGTATTCCTAGAAAACAATTTTTTTTATTGCTTTGATGTGTGAACGAGCTCACAGCCCACCTGGTGTTAAGTGGTGCCCATAGATGTCTACAATGTAAATGCACCACCCACCTTGAGATATAAGTTCTAAGGTCTTAGTATAGTTACAACGGCTGCCCCATATAGGCATAAAAATAGACAGGCTGGTGGTACCTACCCGTGCGAATTCACAAGAGGTCCTACCACCAGTAATTACGCAGTAATTTTTTGGGTTTCATTTTTATTACACGATGTTATTCCATCACCGTGGAAGTCAATCGTGAGCATTTGTTAAGTACGTATTTCATTAGAAAAATTGGTACCCGCCTGCGGGATTCGAACACCGGTGCATCGCTAGATACAAATTCACCGGACGTCTTATCCTTGAGGCCACGACGACTTCAAAATTCACGGGTTGATCATATTTTTTTAGCATAGTTTTATTTAGTTGTGGAATATATTTTTTTTTAATTACCAGGGCATTCGGTGCAGTTGAGCAGTGCTTGCACATATTCGGGTCCGCCAAACGTGAGTGAGAATTGCAAGAACGACTCCAGACTTTCACTCGCGGCGACGGTTAAAATACGTTCCATAATCTGTTAAACGACAACCAATTGGTTACATCTTTTTAGGGCAAAATGGTTTATTTATTTATTTCAAGGTGAAGGAATGGTTGCAGGATTTATCAGAGTATTTCGTTTTAGTTGATGAATAACTAACACCATAAAACTTTTCTCACTAAGTAAGAACGGTTTATTTTTTATCAATGTGAATGTTATAATTGATACAATTGTAGATTTGAAAAAAATATTTGTGATAAATGTTTGCTTTCAGTTTTGAATTCAATTGTTTTCGTATCCGATTTGGTAACATTAAATGTATAAAGTTTAAATTGTATCATTTAACTTTATTTTAATTATACTGCTACACTTATTTTATTTTTGCATAAAAACACAGTGATGCAGATGGCTGAATCTATTATGAGCCTCCAGAGATCAGTAGCAACGTTGTGCGTTTTGCTCTCTCGAAGAAATCACTTCTTTCAGTATGAATTAAAAAGATTATACTTTTAGGCTCCCCGCGCAGGCAGCCAGCCTGGCTGCGGTAATCGAAATATTTGAGCAGCCAGTTATAGCAGCCAATCGACGCCAATTTATGATCTTTTCGTCGAGCGATTTGGACTTTATCTCGTACAAAACGTAAAGCAAAGAAAAGACACTGGATTCATCCTCTCTTTCTAGAACGCTATTCAAAAAGCTTATTCTATAACTATTTTAAAGATGTTTATACACACCCAGATCGGTTTTATAAAATACAAGAGATTGTACAAGCATGCCGTGTCATAACTAACATATGGCAAAATGAATATGCATTGGCGGGGATTGACAGCAGCCACATACATTCGCCAACACTCGCTCTGGCTGCCGTGCAACAGGCGCGTTGTATTGGCTGCCGGAGCCAAGAGTTCCGGGCTGCTTATGTGCGCGGGGAGTCTTAATGTAATAATGAATGTCGATAAAAATAACAATCGCATTTCATAGTCGAGCTTCAGCTACTGTTTTATCAGTAAAGAATCACTAGTAAAACTCTCGATACCTCTAGCAGCTGGTAGACGAGTGGCGCGCGCGGCAGATCCTTCTCGTCGATGGCGGCGAGGTGCAGCGCGTGCAGCAGGACGGGCAGCGCTCGCGTGTGCGCCCGCGTCAGCACCCGCACGCAGCGCCGCACGCGCGCGCACAGCGCCACCAGCCGCAGCAGCGTGCCGCACAGCCCGCGCGCCGCGCCCACGCGACTGATGGCCGACAGCCGCTCCAACATCACCTCGAGTCCGCCTGCACATGACATCAGTCATAATAAATCCAAACAAAAAAACAATACAAGTGTACAATTCACACGTGGTAGAAGTGAATCTTTCAAACTAAAATACAATTATCCTAAATGTCTAAGTATATGTAAAATTTTGTCATTAGTAAATGGTAGTTTTCCAATTACAGCACAAGAGCGCATTATGCGGCATAATGCTCACCTAAGCTTCAGCATAATTCGGGATTGTGCGTCACTTCGTTCTATCTCATTCTCTCGCCGGCTGAATCCTATACATTTATGTGTTTGTGTCTCTATGGACTTATTTTTTCGTTTCATCGAGTTTAAAATCACAACGATTCTAAAGAAGTTTCACTTCAACAACAAAAATCATTTGAATAATTACTTTACTTTGTATTTCTCGACATTTAAGGCCTTCAAATAAAATATATTAAAAAGTATTTCCGCAATTAATACATACCGCAATCCGCCAAGACGTTGGCCATGCGGTACAACTGCTCATCGTCAACTGCTTCCGCATTGGTTTGGCTAAGCGTCTCGACAAATTCTTCAGTAGCGTCACCGAGCAAACCTCTCATTCGGTACACAACTCTCATCGCGTCCACACCTTCGCCAGAGGTGCACCATACCTATGAGTTTATTTATCACATTTACCAAAATCATAGTAGATATTTGATTTTAAGCTTTACAAGTTTCTTCTTTACAAGTTTCTTGTCCTTCTTCAAACGAGGTTTATGGAGAGTATTAAGCGGTAGGCAGCGGCTTGGCTCTGCCCCTGGCATTGCTGAAGTCCATGGGCGACGGTAACCACTCACCATCAGGTGGGCCGTATGCCCGTCTGCCTACAAAGGCAATAAAAAAAAAAAAAAAAAACTATTTACCTTCTTGTAGACGTCCTTGACTGGTAGATCGAGGGACATGATCTTATTACAGACAAGCAATTCCATTCCGTTGTCGTCTTCCAGCAAAGCTACCAGCTCACAGTCGGTGCAAATTTTGTTCTTTACATCACGCATCAATGGTCCCATGCCCGGTTCCAGAGAAGAATAAGGATTTCCTAACATTCGACCCTGTAGACAACAAACAAGCAATGTTTAGTATACTGTAGAACGTTATATATAATAGCCTATAATAATGGGTTACGTATTGATAGTTTAACTGTATTCATTCACCTGCAAAAAGTCCTCTTGTTGTGGATCTTTCTCAAGTGTGAGGAAGAACTCTCCGATCTCGTTCTCTTCCGGGTAGATGATGGAGCAGAGACGTTCGAAAATAAAGACAGGGGTGCGGTAATCGTGCAACGGATACTTCTTTACTGTTTCTATACAGACGGCCATAAACTCTGCTGTTTCTGCTTCAGTTCCTGTTTAAAAATATTTAATATGCTATTACCGAGTCCAGGCAACCCCCGATCGGGAACCAGCGCTACACTATAAAAAAACGAGCCCTCGCTACGCCTTCGATAATAATACATTAAAACGATTGATCTGATTTTAAATTTGCGCTCCTTGAATTCTACAACTTTTGTTATATGTCGAAGTCAACGATAAGCTACAACCGAGGAGCTCGTAAATTTCGTTTTACTGTTGGTAGAACCTGTTGTGAGTTCACGCGGATGGCTACCACCACCTTGCCTATTTCTGCCGTGAAGCAGTAATGCGTTTTGGTTTGAAGAGTGGGGCAGCCGTTGTAACTATGCTTGATACCTTAGAACTTATATCTCACGGTGGATGACGCATTTACTTTGTAGATGTCTATGGGCTACAGTAACCACTTAACACCAGATGGGCTGTGAGCTCGTCCACCCATCTAAGCAATAAAAAAAATTAAAAAATCTTTGACAGGTGGTTCAGGAGACTAGGACCAACTCACCCGTAGTCATCTCCTCGAGCAGTTCGAGTAGTTTCTCTTGCGTGTCGTCGGTGAGACGTGTGCGCTGCACGACCAGGCGCCGCAGCGACAGGTAGCCGCCCAGCACGGCGCCCACCAGTCTGCCCTTGTACGTGCGTCGGGCGCCGCCGTCCTCGAGGAACATCGCCAATAGCTCCGTCAGACGCTTCAAGGCGTAACCTGCACAAAACAAATGCGTGAATCTCAACATCATAAATCCCTTTTTCATTCAAATTCCGCCCTTTTTATTCCTTTTTCTTCTACACTACCATTTTTACATAAGTTATTTGAATAAATCTTATCCTTTGGTACATTTTTAGCTCAATTGAATTTGGAAAAAATATTTCAATAATTTAAATGCCGAGTCTGGGTCTCACTCATATCACTAATTAAACTATGAGATATTCTTCGCGTCAGACAATATACTATAACGGTACCTTGAGCCAGATCAGAAGTTAATGTTGTCTCTTCAAGACGATGCAACTGTTCAATCTCCTTGGTCATTAGATCAGCTATTTGTTGCAGCACACCACGCAACGCGAGGAACTGCTTCCACGGCGCTTCAGAAGCTAAAGCTGAATGAACAATTCAGTTTTAGTTGTTATATTATTTTACTAAAAAATCACGGATTCAAAAGAAATAAAACTTACTTTGATATAGTTGTAAAAACTGTTCACTGGCTTCTCCGGCGTCACCGACTTGAGGTAGAAAACTGGTCAGAAGTATCAGTACCTAGGATGTTTTGTGTTTGGTTTTAATGAAATTCAACTCTTCTAAAATATCCACGATATTATTTATTCACCCTTTGAGCGCGAACCGTCGACAGATCGATTTTCTATTAATGCGTATAATGTGCGGGTCGTCGGAATATCGATTATTGTGCAGTTTGATTTTAGGTATTAGATATCGACCTGTACGGACGTGTCTTAGCACCCGCATTTATAACGTTATTAAATATTTATAAATAACCATTTAAAATTATTTTGCTGTGAATTTAGCATTAATTTTTGTACTTTCTTAATGTTAGTTTTTTACCAGATCCTTTTATCAAAAATACTTTAGCAATTTTTGCATTTTAAATAAAAATAAGCACAGAACTAAAAGGGTTAATATAATCGAACAAATTCAACACAAACATGGACATTGTATGACAAATATATTTAATGTTAACTTTTACATCTGTCTGCCGATGTAAAATATCAACTTACTGCCTTAGTTCTGTCGTAAGAGTCACACAGCGACTTGACCATCTGACACGCCGTGTCTCGGGCGATACGGGAGCTGGGATCGAACATCACCGGACGAAGCCAGCCGCCGTCGTCCAACGAGAGCGGACGCATGCCGTGAGATAACAGCATCTGTGACAATCATATTAATGAAATTAATACTGAGGCTGTGTTTCATTTCTTTGTTATACCATGATGATATTTTGTTGTTGTCATTTGACAATTTGTAGGTTATTTGTTATTTTGCGTAAATATTTAGACATGACATACACATTTTTATTATCATATAGAATAATATAGGTTGTTTCCACGCATTCCTTTATCAGTATTAGCAGAAGAAGTGAAACATAATGGCTTACTTTTGAGATATTGAATCTATTATACAATTCCTGAAAATGTTGATTTTATAATGTAAACTATGTGACAGACAAAACACCCACATATTTTGAGTCTATTGTGTTAGACATCTCATATCTATATCATATATAATTATATCTCAAAAGTTGCATTTGTAAATTTCTATATATACACTACATGATAATATCGCTTTGTTTTTACAATGCGATACGACTTTACATTTAATTTAAATAGATATTGATAGTCATTAAATTATTGGAAGCATAATTGGTTCTCCATATAGAACTAAATCTTAAATTAGTTCGATATTTAACTTAAAGAGTAAAGTGGAGTACACGATTGTTGTTGTTTACCTTCTCCCTCCACTTGCCGACGTATTTGTGCGCGAGATGCAGGTCCCGCGGCGGGAGGGGCGGCGCGGCGGGGGCGGCGGGCGCGGCGCGGCACGACACCAGGCGGCGCCACTCGGCGTGCGGTACGTCGCCCGCGAGCCACGCCGCCAGGTCCACCACCACGTTGCCCACGGACGTGGAGAACGCCGTCGCAGACATGTTGTTCGGGGCCGGACTCTGTTCCTTTAAAAGTAATTACGTTATAGATCGGTGAAAATATTTTTGTATTATTAAAAAAACATGTCAATAGAAGACCCAGCTCTCTATATTCCAAAAAAAATACAATAATAAATATTATAAAAATCTTATACTCGACAAGCCCAGAAATAGGCTGCCTCAATATAGGTTTAATGTAGAAATATAGATTTTTAATGTAAATTAAGTGCGTTTTAGTTATCTACCTTGGCATTCCCGTCCTTGGGTTGTTCTCCCTCGACGGGTGTAGCGGACGCGGCCGGCGCGATCGGCGCCATGAGCTCTTGCATGTATCTGAGGCAAGGCAACGCCACTTGTTGCAATGCGTATTGATGAGCTGTTAATCAAATACATTTTTGTATCAAATCCTTCGTAAGTCAAAATAGTTTTTATGTAAAATAATTTATAATAATGTTTCGCGTTCAATAACTTACAGTTAGGGGACGACGTATTAATTCCTGGGATATCAGCTAAGGCTTCAGGTTTTAGCAAAGAGCTCGCTGCGGGTGGTATCCCAGTTACTTCAGTGAGATGAGGGCAGCACCTGTAAAATTTACAACATGAACAAAATTTCATTACGAAGCTTTGTAAATGACATTTTTCAATGTCAGAACACTACTGTGTACTTACCACACCCAAAGTTTGACTGTGCAGCGAAGTCTAACTTCCCAGCACTCGACCGAATCGTGAACTTTGACAAGTGAGCCCAGAAGGACGACCAAGGGACGTACCTATAAATAAGCAATTAATTTAATAGTAAAATGATGTTTACATACTGTAATTTACATTCTGCGCGCTGTGTTGTTATCTCACCGAATTGTTGTGATCCTGAGAGGCGGCGTGTCCCATGAGCGACAAAGTGATTCTCTGAGTCAGCAGATTACAGAGCTGTTCGGTTGCAGGCAAGTTATCGCGAGTAACTAGGCATATCAACGCACGGACTTCTTCTTGACACTACAAACAGGAAATATTAATCTATACTAATATTATAAAGAGGAAAGATGTTTATTTGTTTGTATTGAATAGGCTCCGAAACTACTGAACCGATTTGAAAAATTCTTTCACTGTTTGGAAGCTACACTATTCCCGAGTGACATAGGCTATAATCTTTTTTGAAAAAAATAGGGAACCTTACTAAAACTCCAATAATGTAACCCAAGATGTAAAAAAATTATCTAAAATATATCGCGTGCCCTGCGAAAACTATTGATAATAGAATAAAATAATGTACTACGACTTTGTAGAACACATTATTATTTACAAAAAGTGTCGCGACAGCATATTTCTAAATATTATAGTCATGCCGCAATAAGTGTTCTTTTATTTAAAAAAAATAAAACAACATCAAATATCGTTGAAATTTTTGTTAAAGAGCCGGAGCGTGCCGCTTGTTTTCAATACAAATAGCAAATAATATGGCGGTGTTGGTTCCGGTGCACGTATGTACCTGCGGGGTCCCTCGGTGCAGGTTGTGCTGTACGAGTTCCTGCACTAGGCCGAAGCGACACAAGCGGTCCCGGTGCTCGGCTTGCGACGCGAGCGCGCGCAGCAATGTCAGGCAATGTTCCGCCGAGGCCAGGGAGCAACCGTAACATCCGCCACCAGATTCTGTAAGCCATATCATAGTACATCAATTTATTTGAAAGATGAATATCGCGTAGACTTTTTTTTTTACTTGGATAGTAGGACGACCTCAAGGCCCACCTTCACACCTGGAAATATGAGTTCTAAGGTCTCAGTATAGTTACAACGACTGCCCCACCATTCAAACCGAAACGCATTACTGCTTCACGGCAGAAATAGGCAGGGTGGTGGTACCTACCCGCGCGGACTCGCAAGAGGTCCTACCACCAGTAAAAAGACGCATATTTAAAGATTTTTTGATAAACTTTTGAAATTACCTTTAGTGAAGTCGCCGTCATAGTTCTGCACAAGACCGGCGTACACGGGCAAGGTTTCTCCGTTCATTTGTTCACTCTGAGATCGGTCGTAGGTCACTAACTCTTTCCTGTAGCAAGATAGTCATCAGACGTCACATTTGCATTGTCAACAAAAATATTATAATACCAAAATTTACGTGAACTCATATACCTGCAAGCTAGCACCTTCTGGATGATCTTGGACAAATCCTCGAAATGTCCTTTGCTATCCACACAATACTTGTGCGCGAGGGTCTGTATGACGCGATTGATTTGAGCCCCACTGAATGCTGTAGTACTTGAATTGCTGTTCTCGTCGCCTGTGCGACTCTCCAGGCGATGTTCGGTTATTTTGTGTAAAAGAGACTGAAAAAAAACATTGTTAGAAATCTTAATAATGCCGTATGTATTGTTCTATCAAAACAATAATACCAATCGTTAAATATGTTGTAGGTCGGCCTTGCCAATTATATTATTAGTAAAATATATTTAAACTAGTTTTTGCCCGCGACTCCGTCCGCATGGAATAGTTACTTTGGCATAACGCTAAATTTTACCCCCACTTCATTTACGTAGAAAGTGAAAATATTTTTGAATTATAGAATGTTAAGGAGCTATTTAAGCCCCTATTTTGAAACATTCTTTATTGGTGCTCCTCTTGCGTTGGCCTTAGCACGACTCGACTCGAATAATTTAGGGCAGGGAGCATATAACATTAATTTTTTACTTATTTAAGAATATAAAGTAGCTCAAACAGATTCTTACTTCAAGTACGGGCTTATTAGAGACGAGTTGACGATAGACCCTATCGGCTTTATCGAGCAGAGCGCCAATGGTCTGCACCATCTTCTTGCGCTCCTCGTCGTTCTCGATGGTGTCGACGGCGCAGCACGGTCGCGCCGTCAGCGTGTAGTCGAACTTCGCGTACTTGCAGAACCCGCACGCGTGACACAGGAACGGATCTTTTTCGTCGTAGTTTATAGCTCTGAACGTAAATGTACTTGTTAAAAAAATTGAAAAAAAAATCATATCTATACTAATATTATAAAGAGGAAAGATTTGTTTGTTTGTTTGTATTGAATAGGCTCCGAAACTACTGAACCGATTTGAAACATTCTTTCACTGTTTGTAGGCTTACACTATGCCCGAGTGACATAGGCTATATTTTTTTTATAAAAATAATAAAAATATAGATAAAAACAAATATTTTCAAATGAAAATAAAGTTAATTAAAATAATAATATTCAAACTATCTTTTTAATTTGCTATTTTTAGAAACCTGACGCTAATATAAGGGTTAATGTGTGTGTATTATAATTTTTTATTTTGAATTTTTTGTGACCCAAGCAAAGCCGGAGCGGGCCGCTAGTATCATATAAATCTGTACACGCACCGACACTTGTGACATTGGAAGACATTTTCTCCGCAGTTACCACACACGCCAGGGTTCGCAGGCACAGATTGGGAACAACGTGGGCACTGTAGTGATTCTCCTATAAACAATTTCATAAGATTTAATTAAACAAAAACAAAAGTAAGTTTTTAAACAATTCAATCTAAATAACAACAATTTTGTAACGAAATTAATTTAAAAAACTACCGGTAGCCTGTTGGTTCTCATAGAAATCAGCATACTCCATCATTAGGTTACATGCCACTATTGGCAAAGGGAAATCAACACGAACTTCCGTCTGACCGGACTGTAGTTGAACGCGTTTAGCTTTATGCCACATTCCTGAAAAATAAAAATGTCAAGTTGATAAACTGAAAATGGGTTTATGAATTAACAAAAATATTAAAAAAAATATGATTCTTTTACGTTATTTCACTCAATATCTTGTTTTTTACTCACCGGGTCTATTTTTAAGTTCCTGCACAGCCTGAACGGTGCGGTTATTGTAGTAGAAATTAATCGTTCGCACCATCTTGCTGCGTTTGATATCGCCGATGCGAAGACTGATGCGACTGATCATGTGACTGTTCACTAGCTTCACGATTTGTGTCGTAGTTGTGAACTTCGAATCAATCTGTTGACATTTTTTGAATATATATTTTGACATAACCTATTTGATGAACACACCTTTGGGATTATATGTTTAGGAATTTTAGAGAATACTCACTTTTATAGTCGGAAGTTTGATGGTAGTCATAGGAACTTCAGGGTTGTTGCATACAAGACAAGGCTCAGACTCCAAGTAGTACCCATCAAGCTCTACATAGGAGCTTAATGCCGCATACAGTGCCGCATTGCCGTGAGAAGATAGTAGCTGGTTCTGTTTCCTGAGGAGTTCTACTGCGCTGGCTACGAAGCTCTGCAATTCGAAGTTTGAAATAATAAAAAAAATCAATTAAACTCATTTGTTTATGTGTTTTTTTGTTATTGAAGTAAAATCAATCACCTCTGTCTCAATGTTTGGTGTCTTCAGAGTGAAATATCCGAGTAGGTCAACAAACTGAGCTGCTTTCCGGCCGTATTGCGGTAGGGTCGGCCAGAGACCCCACATCATCGACACAAGCGAAGCTTGTTCGGACTGTGAAGAGTTGCTGAAACATACCAAAGTCATTAATTTTTCATGACAACAAAATAAAAGTTACAAACCAAAAAAAAAATTTACAAAACTACACTTACTTGTATATGGCAAGGAGCAACCCGTGTGCTTGCCAACGAACAGAGGTCGAATTAGTCTCCAGAAGGAATGCTTTCACAAACATTTTGAGTTCGTCTTGGTTGACTTGTTTCAATATTTGTTGGACGAGCGGGCCAACTTTCTGCTCTTGGAACTTGGAACCGTCGGAAGTGTAACTATCGTTTTCGGCACTGCGTTCACGCTCGGGCCAATCAGTTCCAGCTTGCTGTAATTTGTTTTACACGAGGAATATACAACATTGCAAAAAATTTACTATCATTATTCACCTTGGTGAATTGACGAGCTCAAAAGATTCAACACGATGGAGTTAAGCAGTTAAGATTATTGTGGATTCAACATGATACCACTACAGATTATACACTAATAAAAACCGCAATACTTGTGTCACTGTTCCAATTCCAATGGAATAAGCACTATCATTGCCATAAAACGAAACCAAAGGATTACATGCAGTGAAATATTAATAATACGTAGTGGTCCCGCAGTAGTCGAAATTCGACTATAATTAATTGAAATTATAAGTTTGTACACTATTATGATTCTATTTTCAAGGACTTCTATAATCCCAGATGCCAAGACTGCACTTTAGACAAATATTAATAAAGAAAAACAATATATAATTTATTCTCAATTTGACCACAGACTATCAGCCTGGCCACGGGACATTCGCCGATGCGAATATTCGCGCGGTGCGAACGGCGAAGCGTCTAGCGACTAAAACAAGCGCATAGAAATGTACCTAACAAGCCACGCGCACCGGCGACCGGCGAAGCGACCGGCGAAATGTACCGAGCGAATCGCGCGATGCGGCGGGCGAGCAAAACAAATGCATGAATACGGACGGCGCGAGCCACGGAGTCGAGCGGTAGTCGCGGCGAATAGTGCAGTGATTAAATGAGTTTAGTTGTTTTCGCCGCGAAAAATTAACGCCGAAATTTTTATATTTTTTATTTATTTTTTATTTTATATTTTTAAAGTCGTCGTGGCCTAACGGACGTCCGGTGCAATCGTGTTGAGCGATGCACCGGTGTTCGAATATCAGGCGGGTACCAATTTTTGTAATGAAATACGTACTCAACAACACTCAACGTTCACGATTGATTTCCACGGTGAAGGAATAACATCGTGTGATAAAAATGAAATCTTCAAAATAATAATTTGCGTAATTACTGGTGGTAGGACCTCTTGTGAGTCTACACGGGTGGGTACTACCACCCTGCCTATTTCTGCCGTGAAGTAGTAATGCGTTTCGGTTTGAAGGGTGAGGCAGCCATTATAACTATACTTGAGACCTTAGAACTTATATCTCAAGGTGGGTGGCGCATTTACGTTGTGGATGTCTATGGGCTCCAGTAACCACTTAACACAAGGTGGGCTGTGAGCTCGTCCACCCATCTAAGCAATAAAAAAATAAAATAGCTGAAATACTAGCTAGACCAGCTATTTGGAAGTCTAGCCACCCAAAGTATTTCTCGTACTTCTTGTGGAATTCTCCATCTATAGGTATACTCCGATTCTTATTCAAATCATGTACTTCACAATCTTTTCCAAAGAATAGGTCCTGAACCAAAAAACTATTAATTTGTAAGCAATATCGAGATAATTTCGATATAGACATTTCGCTGTCGGACTTCCTTACTAGTCGCGGCGGCGAACGTGAGTACCCGTGGCCTGCAAACGGTGCTGCGCGAATGGTCGCCTCGTCCACCGCTTCGCTGTTCGCACCGCCGATCCCCGTGGCCAGGCCGTATAAGCCATAAGGAAAGTTTGACAATAAACAAATAGTATGCAAGCGAGTTTGTTCATGTTTCATGTTTTTTTTACAATACATGGTAGTGTGTGTAATGTTCTTTTTAATTGATTTATTGTATTTTTTATGCATAATTTAAAAGAATATTAATCTTCTGCAATCCTTCTCTATATTCTCTATAAGTGTGGGAAATTTCATTCCTCCGTCAGCGCATTTTTCGTAAAAAGGGGGATAAAGTTTTTGCTTCACGTATTAATATATAGATATATGCAGTGACGTGTACCTTGCTGTCCTGCTTGGGCGTGGCGGAGGCGGGCGCGCAGAGTGCGGCCTGCAGCAGCTGCAGCACGGTGGGCGCCACGTGCGGGTGCAGGCGCCGCGCCACCGCCACCAGCCAGCCCAGCGCCTCCGGCCGCTCCGACAGGCACGTGTGCTGCCAGTTGCCAGTGCGCACGCTCACTATCTCTGCACACGCCTAAAGACAATACAATACAATTATTCCACCGATCATGATTTGTATAAAACAGCATACCAATTAGAACGCAGGCAGGTGCGCCCAGTGACGAATTAGCTAATTTTTTTATGTATAACGACTAATGGCTGATTATCACTCGCCATTATTACACATACAATATTTGATAAATATTAAAAGACCCGCAGGCCGGCCACCAAACCGTTGGTCAGATCAGATAACTGCGCTCACTGGACCCTCTGTTGTGACCACCCTGAGAGAAGCCGAAAACCGAACGAAATGGTACAAATGGTACAAAGAGCCACGAAGGGCTTTCAGGGACACGACCTTCAGCAATGAAGTATGCGACTAAGAAGAAGATGCATTCTTATCAAGTTTGCACATTGTAAGAATTGTACTCGTGTATAATGAGCGGTTTGATTTATGACGTGTAAAATGATTTTACACGTAATTCATTTCCCGTTCTCACTCATTAATACTTCAATTTATTTATGAGAGGACAAGCTCACAGCTCACCTGTTGTTGAATGGTTGCTAGAGCCCTTAGACATCACAACCTAAAACCGTCCACTCACCTTGCGTTTAAGGGTCGTTCAACGCTTCAAACTAGGATGCATGTTTCGTGGCAGACATAGATTAGATAGTGGTATCTATTCATGCGGACTCACAGTATGCCCTAACACCAGCTTGTAATGTTATTGATATATCTAGTCAGATTTCCAGGTTACGTATAGAGGTTCACACCTTCAGATGGTCCATGAGTTGCACGAGCTTGTCGTAGGCGGTGTCGGTGGCGAGCAGCGCGCGCGCGGCGCTGAGGTGCGCGTCCAGTGCGTGCACGTCGCGCAGCTGCCGGTACCGCTCGCGGGTGCCGCACAGTAGCAGCAGTAGTTTGCGAACTTGCTTCCTATATTGGACATATCAAAATCTATAGCTCAGCCAGGAGGGGTGGAATTCGCTAACAGCTGCTTGAGCGCCTCCAAAGGAGACCTAACAGCTTAAAAACAATCACACGTGCAAAATAATACGATTAATACACGTAAATAATACGATGGTTAATGTGCTTACTGGCACTCGGGGAACTAGAATGATCGGAGTTTTAATTTTATTAATGTCTGTGCAACTTTTCGTCAAAATGCTTTTCCCAACTATTCGCTGGTAGCCTAAGGGCTCATTTCTGCTACGCTATGGCTGGTAGGTAAGCCCACGAAGCCGAACCTGAGGGGTTTCATCTATCATAGCACTGGTAAATATATATATATATATATATATATATATATANTCACGTTGTTCACAAGCGAAATTTCGAGCTGGCTGGCGACGCCAAATCATCGGTATGGTAAAAGCCAATATACAGCGCTACGTATACACACCCTCTGGCGGCACCGCTCGACACTGCGATATGCTTTTCCAAACGTTTCTGAGGCAATTTGGTGACCATCTCAAAAATTGATATAGTAACCATAACTCCATCTACAGTTGATTGGTGTTAAAAATATTGAGAAATAAAGTGGCGACCGCATATTGGTCGCCAAATGTCGGTGGTCGCCACTTTAAATGCAATTTTGTGTTCATTGGATGCCAAAAGTGTTACAGGATATATATATATATATATATATATATATATATATAAACGAATTGCTGTTCGTTAGCCTCGCTAAAACTCGAGAACGGCTAGACCGATTTGGCTAATTTTGGTCTTGAATTATTTGTGGAAGTCCAGAGAAGGTTTAAAAGGTAGATAAATATGAAAATGCTCGGAATTAAATAAAAATAACAATTTTGTTTTCACTTTGGTGTCCCCCCCGTCGGACGTATTCCTTTTGTTTGTTTTAAGTTTATTTTATACAAAAATTTAGGTCTTTTATTTATCGATTAAGGCACTACGAAGTCTACCGGGTCAGTTAGTAACTTTAATATGTTTGGTGCATGCGGCAGAGATGCGCCTGTTGATATGGATGTGTGGAGTAACGAGAATAGACAAGATAAGGAATGAGTATATCAGAGGAAGTGTAAAAGTAGCGCCCAAGTGATTGATAAATTAAAGAGCGGACGGTTAGCGTGGTATGGTCATGTTATGCGTAGATGCATGTGCTAGGAGATGTATGGAAATGGTAACGCAAGGTAGAGGGGGAAGAGGTCGACTGAGAGAGAAGTGAGTGTTAAGATAAAAGAGAATTTAATAGAAAAATCGCTGTGCCGACCCTACCTAGAGGAATAAGGTGGAGGAGACAAACAAGAAGATTAAATTTTGGTTAAAAAACTCCTTTTTTTTGTTGTCATTCTCACCTCAATGGAGTTTGTTGATTCATCATATATTCACACAATAGAGTCCTCCAGCGTGCGTCAAAGTTTGCTGGGTCGCAGTGCTTGTAGATTTGACACGGCAGACGCAGGGCCATTTCCATAAGTAGTTGTGGATAATTATCGAACACGTCGAGAGCATGACCTAATAACATTATTAATTCAGATAATCCGATAGAAAATACTTAAAAGTAAATATGATAAAATAAATTCTGTCTTTCATACTTTTGACATAGTCCTTGACGAAGAACGGTTGCATATCCGGCAATGGTTGAGGCGGCTGCGGTTTGAGCAGTTGCTGTCCAGACGGAGTCGCACCGGCACCTGTAGGTACGTGGAACGTTTATATAATCATCGAATAGATAAACCTCCGTAGCTCATGTTATTGTGGGTGATTATCGTCGCTCGGATTTCGTACCGATATTGCCAGGGACATAGCTAACTACTACTAAGTTTGAAATACAGATACTTTTTCGTCAAGTGTCCATCCAATTATTCATGTGAATGCTAGCAAATTCTTTTTTTTTTATTGCCCTTGTAAGCAGACGAGCACACGGCCCACTTGATGATGAGTGGTTACCGTCGCCCATGGACTTCAGCAATGCCATTCAAAAATACATAAGCAGCTCTGTAAACAACAAAATTGGACGAGACATAACGACAGAAATATTTATTTGTTTTTACTGTAACTAAATTTTTTGTGTAAATTAGATCGAATTTTTTATGGGCAAGCTGAGGGGAGAAATTATGTGAACGCTTTTACTTTATTAACTTAGTATTTCTTTAAATTCAAATGTGTAATAATGATGCCTTATTTTTTGGTATTTTTAAGGCACAATATTTTCAAATGTTTTTTTTTTTATTGCCCTTGTAGGCAGACGAGCATACGGCCCACCTGATGGTGAGTGGTTACCGTCGCCCGTCGACTTCAGCAATGCCAAGAGCAGAGCCAAGCCGCTGCCTATCGAAATCCAATAGTCTCAGTATTTCTCGCCATTTTACTAGAATACGTACTGTTAGTCTTCTCTTTCCAATAAGGCAGCAGGTGAGCTAGCACGCGGTAGCAGTGCGCGGGTGCGGCGGCCCGCTCCAGCGCTGCGGCCGCCAGCCGCGACACGTGCGCCGCGCTCGTCGCGCCCGCCGCGTCCGCGCGCTGCGCCGCACCGGTCGACGTCGAAGTCTTCCAACGTGCCATCAGTACACCTGACGACACAAAACTTTGTCTTGCTAAGCAGTTTCTCTTTCGGTGCCTTACTCTTAGTAGGGGTTGACCCAGAGGGACAATACGGGAAACGTAAACTTCACTGGTGGTAGGACCTCTTGTGAGTCCGCGCGGGTAGGTACCACCGCCTGCCTAGTTCTGCCGTAAAGCAGTAATGCGTTTCGGTTTGAAGGGTGGGGCAGCCGTTGTAACTATACTTGAGACCTTAGAACTTATCTCAAGGTCGGTGGCGCATTTGCGTTGTCGATGTCTATGTGCTCCAGTAACCACTTAACACCAGGTGGACTGTGAGCTCGTCCACCTAAGCAATAAAAAAATTAAAAAAAAAAAATAACACGTTGACTGCCATGTAGGCCAACGATGCCCCTACGCGGCGCACTGAAGTATTTATATCCATTACAATTTTCAATATTCTTACTAAGGCATAAGAATATCTACTAGACTCTAGGAAAGACGAATCCGAACGTGCTGAGAATGAATCATGTCTAAGAGACTTAAGTATAAAACATACGTTAAAAACAAAAGAGGGCAAAGTTAGGCAATCCAGGCTCTCGCTCAGTAACAGAAATCGACATAATTACTTCAGTGCACTACATAGGGCACCGATGACATACATTGCAGTCAATGTGTTTAATAACATAATATATAAGGTTAAATCATTAAATATTTTTATCATTTCTGTGAATAACAAAAACTTAAAGAAATACATAGATATATCTGTAACTCAAATTAAGCTCGAAACTTTTTAAGGCAATTCATTTTGAAATTTTCTGATTTTCAGCATACTTGAATTTTCATCTTAGATTATAAATAAAAAAAGGGTGCGTGTACTTATGTACGCGCGTAAGAAGTTATACTTTATTTTTTTTAAATATATTATATTTATTTTTTATTTAAATTTTAATCAATTTGAAAAAAAAATCGATTAAAATACATCCTCAAACACGCATATTGGACATCCCTTTTCTTGACATCGTATAAATTCGATAATTCTCGGTACGGTTCGGAAAGTTCACCTGCGGCTTTATTCAGACTCGCCAAGTTACCTCGATCGTTTGTAATGAGCGATTTAGTGGGCAACTTCATTCTGTTAATTTTGTGTCACGGTGCGCGCGCATCGTAAAATTTCACTCTCATCAATTTTTCATAACGCGCCTAAAGAAGTATAACTTCAAAAATACATTTATTATAACTACTATATTACAGTAATTGTTCCTTCCGTTTCTAATCACGATTCCTATATGCATAGTAATTGTCTCTTATCTACTCGCAATATTGCAAACTGTAACAAAAGGTTATTATAAAAATATTATTCCAAAGAATAACAAACTCACTGAGCAGTCTCATTATAACGAGTTGTAATTCTCTTCGATTGGTCCTCTCGTGGATCGGTGGCAAAGTTTCCTCTCCCTGGTTGTCGAGCTCCGACACCAACAGTTCCAGACGCATGATGGCTAGCTGCAGTTCACCTCGCTCAGTACGGTCTTCAGTGGGGGCATTCTCTTCAGGTTTCATGTCCAATTCTGCTACTAGAAGCTCTAACAACCTGTCTAGTACGGCTCGATCGCGTTCCAAACTTGAATCCAGGTCGCTGGCTAGCATTAGGACGACCTATAGAAAATATATACCCGTAATCAATTTTTATTTTTAGATGCAATAGATTACAACGTAAATGCGCCACTCACCTTGAGATATAAGTTCTAAGGTCTCAAGTATAGTTACAACGGCTGCCCCACCCTTCAAACCGAAACGCATTACTGCTTCACGGCAGAAATAGACAGGGTGGCGGTACCTACCCCTGCGGACTCACAAGAAGTCCTACCACCAGTGATTACGCAAATTCTAACTTTGCGGGTTTGATTTTTATTACACGATGTTATTCCTTCACCGTGGATGTCAATCGTAAACATTTGTTGAGTACGTGTTTCATTAGAAATATTGGTACCCGCCTGAGATTCGAGCACCGTTGCATCGCTAAATCCGAATGCACCGAACGTCTTATCCTTTAGGCCACGACGACTTCAAATATACAAAAATACAGATAAATCGAAAATAAATTACTGAGACGTGACAATTTAATAAAATTCTTCTTAGAACATACCTGGAAGAATGGTATCGCTCGTACTCCAGGCAAATTCCTCAGAGTGGGCAGAGCGTCTAGAGCAGCCGAGAGCATGGACAGGCGCAGTGCGTGAAGCTTACGGCTTTCACTTTCGGCTTCCACGGTCTTTGAGGTTGACGCAACCGGTTGGGAAGAAGACGTCGATGGCCCAGCTGTGAAGTAATAGTATAAATTTAATACTGAAATCAAGACAAATTTCACATTTTATACATAAAATTAATACCATTTAAAAATATATCATAGACTATGTTGTAGCTTATTTTGTAATTTATATTTTATATAGTTATGAGTCTCAATTTGCCACTATAGTGAAGTTTCAACAGATGCCCGCGTGCTCGAGTAATAACGTATAAGTATACATAATGAAAGCATTTGCTTAAGAGCATACGACAAGTTATGCGTGTCATTCTAGTACTAGCCTGTAACAGCGACAGGCGCAACGATGTTAGAAGCCGGCATTGTCCCAGCCGTCGGAGCTGACATCGTGTCTCCTAAAAACATTCACCATTTCAAAATGCTTCGAAATAACCAGAGATTAGCACTAGTTCGTTTAAATCTCAACATCAGAAGCGTGAAGTCAGATCTACTTTTAGCAAAAATCTTTACAGACCAAATCGTGGGTTTTTTTTGGGATGATTATATCAAATCAATCAAATCAATTTAAAAACTATAGAATAGTCAGTTTTTCTTTCAAAACGTTAATTATGAAACCAAAGAACTGTATTATACAAAATTCTTTTAAATCTTGGGGTATCAGTGATTGTAGTCGAGTTTCGAACGTCGGGCGAACACTAGTGTAAATGTAAAGAAATGTTTATCATGACAATGACGCGTAATACATTAGAACCAAAAAGAGAGATAGACGGAGTGAAAGAGACAGCAACACTTAGTCAACAGGCGGGTATAATTTGTAAAGTGACCATCTTTGCTAGAAATCTGTTCCAGATAACCTTTTTTGCATAGAGATTTTGAAAAACAGACGGCAGGTATAAATACAATACAATATGCCTAACAATTTTTTAATAATTTTAACGAAATGTACCGACCCTAGTAATAAATAATAAAGAAAAAGTGATAAATGAACACAATAATACCTAAATATGAAATGCAATGCAATGCAATGAAATGCATTTAAAACTTTGAAATCATGAATCTCCGACTTCATACCTCTAATGTCGGGAAACTTAGAATACATAACAATCCATCATGCTTTAAATTTTATTGAATGTAAAATTATAATAAACATGCAAAAGTGTAAATTAATTATAATAAAATATTATTATATTAGCTATTATTAATATTAGCTAACTTCCCCATTCAACCAATATTATCCAAATACCATAAGCTACCAATGTAAATAAAAACAATTGAATACAGTACATAACTGAAAACAATTGAACAATTTCCATCATATTTTCAATATGAACTTTTTCCCAATTTAGTCAAATAAATCTCATCTAAATTGCTAATCTTTTACAATTTTTTACTACTAACCCTTGCCATGCCGTGCTATCTGTCAACACAATAGTAAATATTGCAATCTGTAAACCTAAAGTAGAGGAAATTGGCGAAATAAACAAAACTGTATATGAAAAACTTGTTTTTTCAAACTCGTACTCAACAGTCGATGCAAGATTTTATAGAAACCGTAAAAGATTGGCCAATATAGATAAGACTTATTACTGACATAGAGTAGGACAATAATGTAGGAAGTGGGGGGGTTCATTTATTATAAAACTGTTCTTAAATGAAACATTTTTTAGGTGTAAGTATTATTAATAGAGTGCGCTACTGCCTATGACATGCCCTAGCCCAGATTTGTTTGTTAACATTTACGTAATGATTAACAAATCTTTCAGATCAGATGGGCAGACTGTCAACGTACCCAGAGGTTTTGGTTAACGGTGCCCACAAAGACCACAATGTTAACAACGAAACCCCATACCTCAATTGTATTTTTATTTTTCTTACGCAGTACTCCTTTATTAATAAATAACAAATCAAAATTATTTAACATAAATCGACTCACACAGTAGAACAAATCTTCCAATGCGCTTGAAGGAGGCACAGTTCCCAAGATACTGGCTACGTTACCTCGTTGGGAAGCCAGACTCACTCTCTGTGCAAAGTACCAGCCAGCCTTGGCATCACGTGTAGCCTCCTTCAAGCGTTTGGAAATTTCTGATAACTGTATTGTAATAACGGTTAGTCCTTCAAACCGGAACTTGTGACTATCATAAACACTTTGACTGCCGTGTAGGTCACCGGTGCCCTACACGGCGCATTAATTCTCTTCTCTACTCTTCTTATCTACTAACTGAGGCGCCGGAATATCTAGTAGACTCTGGGAGAGAAAATCCGATCGATACTGAGAATGTATCTATTTCTAAGAAACTTAAAAGACTAAACCATACATTAACCAACAAAAGAAGGCAAAGTAAGGCAATGCCGGCGCTTTAGTAGCAGAAATCGACATAATTACTTCAGTGCGCCGCGTAGTGCACCGGTGACCTACACGGCAGTCAAACGGTTAAGTAGGTTGGCAATTTTAGAATGGTACTGACCATACGCGCTACTGCGTCCAGAAACTCCGCCAATACTGTCCGCGCCGGAGCCGCCGCTCTCGGAGCCACCTGAGCCCGGAACCTCGGCCGGTGACGTCCTCAGGGTGCTGCCGTCTGTCGCCGCAGTGCTGCCTTCATCGTCAGACCTGGGCCCCAACAACGAAGAAGTCAGTTTTAAACTCTATATTATTTTTATTGCTGTAGTAGATGGAAGAGCTCACGATCCATATGGTGTTAAGTGAAGACCGGTGCACACCGGTGACATTAATCACGTTAGTATTTAAACATGTATCCAGCAATCTAAATGTATTTCTAAATCTGTGTGAAAGACCATAGATTTTATTATTATTATTATTTATATTTATTTAAAATCTTATTAATTACATAATTTTGTTTTTAAAAGATATTAAAAATACCATTGCCGCTGATGGCGGTGTCTACGACACAAGCCACCAGCGGCAATTATTATTATTTTTATTATTAATGCCGCCACCCGCCTTGAGACCTAAGTCCTAAGTCTCAATTCTTATAGCTCACCCACCCTCCAAATCAAAACGCATTAATGATGCACGGCAGAAATAGGCAGGGTGGTCATAGGTCGCGCGGGCTCGCAAGGTGCCCCACCACCGGTAGAAATCCTAGATTGGGAACGTTGAGATTTAGACACATAAAATTTGTTCTCATTCTTTTTGGTAGTGTCAAAAAATTACGATACTTCACTTCCAAAAACACTTCTCTTCAGATTTTGTTCGACTGCAGCTAGTATATTATTGTAAAATAATGGTAAAAATGTGAAAGTTACAATCTTTTCTGGTCCCACCAGTGCTTGCAGAGATTAGTCCATTATGTAATACGTAATTTCTTATGTCACATCACTAAGTACTTTTAAAATGGATAAAATAGGCATATGTCAGGCTTTTCGATCACATTTAATAAAGATTTTAACGTAACGTCTGAAATTGAACACCGGCTATAAGTAGGTTCCGGTGCTAATTACATAATATTGTGGCGTGTATATATTTTGTATAGTTTTAAGTTTCCTTTATTGTATATTGTTGTTGTATTTAGTGTTTAATATATTTTATGTTAAATTATATAATAATATTTCCGGACAAAAAGATAAATTTTATATATGCATAATGGCGGCTACGCATCCTCGGCGCTTGCGGCCCGATGGAGCGGCTCCGCTGTCCGCATTTCAGTTGGCTCGCAACTACGGACACGTGCGACGTATATGTTTTTAAATAACGCTGCTTTCGCTTCGCTGTAATTTTTAATCTAACTTCAGCTTTGGTCTGTGCTTTCTCGTTAAAATTATACTCCTTCGGTATGTTCTGAATTCTTGTGGTGTTGACTATTATTGTGATAAAAGTACAAATAAACTTTAATCTTTTGTGAACTATCATTCAGTTCTAACACCCTGCGAACTAAAACTACAATATATACAAATATTTTGTGAAATTGTAACACACCCGGGCGGTGAGACAGTAGCGTCGCTGTAGCCGGGCGCGGAGGGGGGCGGCGCGGAGGGCGGCGGGGGCGCGCGGCGCGGCTGCTCCTGGAGGGAGAGCGCGATCGCGAGCTCCACCATCGTGTCGTCGTCTGCGTCAGGCGGGATGTCCAACAGGGCTTCCAAGCCTACGAAAAATAAACAATATTATTATTTGTAACCAGCGACCCGCCCTCGCTTCGCTTCGGAAACATTAAATTTTATTATTGATAGGCGAGTCCCGCCATGTTGGGCGCGGTACGACAATAACTGCGGGTGACGCCGCGGGGCGAAGCTAGTCTAAAAAAAGTAGCCTAAGTTACTCCTTATATCATCAGCTACTTATTAGTGAGTCTCATCAAAATCGGTCCAGCCGTTCCAGAGATTAGCCGGAACAAACAGACAGACAGACAAAAATTGTAAAAAATGTTATTTTGGTGTATGTACCGTATATATATTCATATGCATGTAGTAAAAAGCTGTTATTTCAATATTACAAACAGACACTCTAATTTTATTTATATGTATAGATATTTTTAAAAAAAACTGCAAATTGAAGGATGGCTCTATAAACCATATCTGCCATTTCATTCCTACGTACATATGAGTTACTTATGTAATGAAATCATTAACGACTATTTAGCTTACTTAGCACTTTAGAGTATAATACATTTTTGGGTGTTACCACTGGAACTGGACCATTCACTTTGATAATATACACTTACGAGTATTCTAACGCTAAAATATCGACAATTATTTAAACAGATTAGCAAGTCATGCTTCTATTAAAAACCACCAACCTCCATCAGGGGCGAGAAGAACCATAGGCTCGAGCGAATCATCGACGTCCATGAATTGATTGTCTTGATGTTCGTCACGATTAGCACTGAGATCGGACTCGGAGACCGCGGCCTCCGTTATGGAGCTCGTCGGCTGAGCTGTGGTCACCGAAGAAACAGCACCTAAATCGAAAAAAAATTTTCATTTTGTTATAATTCTGTTATACAGTCTGCAAATTTATTCAGGGCGAATTTTGTTCATTTCGGGCTCAAATGACTCCTGGGTTCCATGCAACCACTTTTATCTTTATTTATAAAATTCTTCTGTATATTATTATGTGTTTATCACTGCACCCTACAGCTGAATCACCACCACCAAAGTCAGAGCTCGGATAGTAAAATTATCATTACATATGAGGTGGAGTTATGTTCAAATTCCATTTTTTTTATAACAGGAGGTCTGGCAGCCCTGCGTGTAATGCATAAAATAATAAAATTGGTCTCATCTAGAGAACGCCAATGAAAGTGATGAGCCTGCTGGTTTAGGTGGGTACAATTCATTTTACTTACCGGGTGTATTCGGTGGTGACGGAATGAATACGCGACGCCGTTTAACTCTCGGTCTAAGAACTCTCATCAAGGCAGCTTTAGTGCCGAAGCTGATGCTTTGATCCTCGGCGAGTAACAGTGACAGATAAATTTGATTCCCAAATTCAATCTGCAAAAGTATCGCTACATTTAATAACGCTCTTTTAAAACTCTTGGGCCAAGAATACAATTTAAAACTCTTGGGCCAAGAATACAATTTAAACGGAACTACAAGAGAAGCACCAGCTTTCAAATAAGAAATGTCCAAATTGGTTCACCAAAAAAAAATTCTAACACACATAAAAAACAGTCGAATTCAGAACTTTTTTTTTTCTATATCAATTGGGAACTAATATATAGTCTAGTTGTATTCTAATATATTATTGCTCTTACACATTCATGATCTCCGTGGAGTTGGAATGCGTGTATTGTATCAGCGAAGGCGTGTAATGTCAGCTCAGAGTGTCGAAGACCATAGGAAAGAATCCCAGGAGGTCCTCCAGCTGTAGACTTGCAGGCGGCTAAGCGCCACAGCACGCTCGCAAGTAATGCACACAAATGTGGCTCCTTATCTTTTTCGTCTTGACTTGTATTTTTCCATAGAGCAGACCATTCACCTAAAAGCAAGTCATTTAATAGTTATGTAACGAAGTTATCTTTGAAAAATTCAATCGGTTTCAATTGTTGTAAATTTCTTCTTACCAGTAGATGGTTTCTGCGGCGTAGGAGCGCTATATTTAACTAGATGAACTGGTCTCGCCACAGCGACACCTCGGGCTAGTAGGACCAGCCTGAAGTACGCCTCCGGGTCTATGTTATGAGGGTCCGCCGTGTCACGCAGCTCGCGTAGTGATGTACATACGTACTTTAGTATGGCTTGATCCTATCAAATAAAGAAAAAAATACTTTAGCTGTGTGCGTTTTATAAGAGACCACAACAAATGGTAACTGTACGCTAAAATGTATGTATAAACATACAACTCTCACAAATAGCCAATGTGAATGGATGAAAACGACTTGCTGTAGTTATAATCTAAAATTCAATTTATGTATTGATTTCAATCAATCTATGCATTCGCACATCTTGTATTTTTGTTTTTGTACCAAAAGCGTATGACAAGTAAATTTAACAACTGGGTGTTCTTCGTGGACTTTACCTGCCGTCACTACGGAGCGGTCACCGTCCTCGTCGAACCCGTCGTTTGCGACGAGGGGCTCGACGAGCGAATAAACCAATAGACACAGCCCACTGAGTTTCTCGCTGGATCTTCTCAGTGGGTCGCGTTTCCGATCAGGTGGTAGATTCTCCGAAGCACTGCTCTTGCTAGGGTCAGTGTTAGCATCACTCCGGTTTGAGCCACGTGAGCTCACCTACTAGTTAAGGTTACGCTGAAATAGCCTCTCAAAGCTATCAGCACAGGTAGGAAAATAACACTATATAGGGTTCCATCTAATTTAACGGTTATCAGATTTCAGTCTCAAAATGTTTGCAAGATCATCGTAACGACAATGCAGGAACATTTGATGGGTAGAAAGTATAGGTAGGTAAGAAAAAAAACTACGGAGCGTATCCGCGTTACTCGGGTCCTATATAACAATAACAAACATGAACCTTGTACTGGTGATAGTTGGCATTGTGCACGGCGCGCAGCAGACACTGCGCCCGCGCGTGCAGGTGCGCGCTGGCGGGCGCACACAGCAGCTTCCTGGCGGCCTCGGCCCCGTCCTCCGCGCCGCCCGCCGCGCCCACCGACGCGGGCGTGCCGGCCCCCAGCTCCAGCGTCTCCAGAGCCGCACAAGCGAGGCGCTCTAGAGGGCTCGGCTTCCACATTCCGCTACTGCCTTCTGCCTCCTGATCATTGGAATAAGAAATTAAAGTTAATAATTTTACTGGTGGTAGGACCTCTTGTGAGTCAGCGCGGGTAGGTACCACAACCCTGCCTATTTTTAAATTTTTTATTGCCCTTGAAGGCAGACGAGCCGACCTAATGGTAAGTGGTTACCGTCGCCCATGGACTTCAGCAATGCCAGAGGCAGAGCCAAGCCGCTGCCTACCGCTTAATACTCTCCACAAGCCTCTTTTGAAGGACATGCCGTACCGTGAAGCAGTAATGCGTTTCGGTTTGAAGGGTGGGGAAGCCGTTGTAACTAGATTTGAGACCTTAGAACTTATATCTCTAGGTGGGCTGCGCATTTACGTTGTATATGTCTATAGGCCCCACTAACCACTTAACGCCAGGTGTCGTCCACCTATCTAAGCAATAAAAAATAAAAATAAAAAAATCATTCAGTTGTTTAATATATTATATGATTGAATCCTACATACCTGTACGATTTTGCTAGATGACGGACAAGCAGAGGGATCCTCGCTTTCATCGGGCCAGCCAAATTGTTCCTTGGTCTTACCGTAAACCTAAAAAATTAAGGTACGACATTAAATTTAATTTCACCGAAAAGTACAAGTCGTATAAATTGTATTCGTAATCCAAACACCTCACCTTAACAGAATCCACCATTGTTACAGCTTCAGCGTCCGATGAAGGTCCGAAGTTTATCACCAACTTTTTATCTGACTGAAGTGATTCTTCACGAGTCAAAGGCATGTCGAACCAGCGGTTGCGAGTAACGTTCGTAGTTTGTAAGGAACGACCCAGTATCTGTAGTATTAAGAACATTATTAATAAGTGGTTCTATTATTGTTTTTCTGATCAACTAAATATTACTTACTTCTATATAGGCGGGAGTTTTCGTAACATCTTGACTGCCCAGCAATACTCGGAAGCCACAAATCACCATATTCGGGTCTGAATTTATGACTTCCAAAGAAAATCCAGTCACTTTGGTAGACACTACGTACAAACCTACAAAAATAATTATTGTGTACTTAAGTCATAGAATGACTATTAAATGATGTAAATAAAGTAGTCCTTGTATGAACCTCACCAGTTGTATTGAGTCGGTGTTTGATTAACGCAGTATTGTATACTTGGAGAAGATCGTTTCCACCAAATTCGATGTCATTCATTACAACACAATGCTCAAAGAAATCTATAGGGAACTGAGTTGTTCCGTTGGCACCCGACTTAGATACGGCCTGTAATTAAACGTTGATTGAAATTAGTTGTTTGACAAAAATGGTTTTTTTTTTTACAATGACGAGTACAGATAAACTAATAATCATATACTCAATAAATTAGATATGTGTCAAATTCCTTATTTTAAGTGTTTGGTGACATAATAAAATAAGAATCGTCCAAGAATCCATAGTGTATGTACACCCTACTATGATCGCACAAAGGCTCGTCACTGGTCGAAAGAAACCTACTTGATGCGATTTCCGCGGCGCGTGGTGCGTGTTGGTGCGGGCGCGGCGGCGCGGCGCGTGCGCGGGCTGCACGCTGGGGGCGAGCCAGTACCCAGTCTTGTCCGGGTTGGCCGCATACATGCGGAGGCTACCGTCTTCACACAACAGAATCAACGTGCTTTTCTGTTCGCCTCCGCCGCCGCACCAGTGGCGCACCGCCACCATGTCCGTTATCTTGGCTTTGGCCGGGACGACCTGTACAAACGTTGATTTACATGTTTGATAAAAACAATATATACGTTTCTGATGATGCAGAAAGATAGCACTTACAGCTGTTGAAAAGATTGTGAAATAAAAATCATGAGAAAAGCTTTTCTATGCAATTAGTATTTTTTAAATGTATAATTCACCTAAAATCCACAAAATTATTATTACTATGACATTTCCAAGAGGATGGCCAAATAAGCTCCACAGCAGCTCCAAGAGACAGAAATTTTTCACTCATTTTACGTTTATCCAAGCGGTCGGATGTTGATTTTATAAATTAATTTGCTTTTAATCAACTAATTTAAACTTCTGTAATGAGTTACAGGATAAGATAAGTCTAATACGTGCCTATACCAAAAAATACTCTGGAAGATAGGACTGTTTTTTTGTTAACCCCGTATTGCATTGTGAATATTTCAGTCATATGTACCTTTATTTCTTGCACGAAAATGTTAGTAGGTGTCAACATAAGCACGACCGGGTTGTTCGACGCTTGCATGACCGCTGTGATCAGGCCGGGATGTCCGGGTACCTCCGCCCACTGACACAGCGACTGCACGCCCCCCTGCTTGCCTCCGCCGCGACCGCTCCCTTCCTTCTGCGTTGCGGCCGCCGACAACGTGATCATCGCTGTTCCTAATATAAAGAAATAAACTAGCTTAATGCATATGGTGTACGGTATCGGAGAACAAAAGATTTATACTTTTTTTCTGTAAATTATTACCTTTTAAGCTCTCCTCAACAGTGTTCAACGGAGCAAGGAAGCTTTTGCCTTGAGCGTACGAAAAGAATAACATTTTCAATGTATGCGAGTAGTATATGGAGACTCCACCACCGCCAACCAGTCCGGCCACGTCCTGAACGAAAAACATTATTAGCGTTATCAGTAAAACGACACTATTGTTCTCTCTATCTCTCTCTCTCAATATTGTTATCTCTTTTTTAAATAAAAAAAGTACCTGTATTTCAGGATGGAGTACTTCAAGAGTGTTGGTAACATAGAAGGTTCCGAGGCTCGCCCTGGACTCTTCACTCATGGGCTGCCAGTAGATGTGGCCGGCAGAGCTCATGCAAAGCATGTGCATAACACCGTCTTGGTTCACGAAAGTTACATCTCGTACCTAACATGAAAAGAATAGTTATCCTTGTCTGCTAGCCAAAGTAATTCTAATAAATTAATAAAACTATAATGTACTTGATACGTTTTGTGGTAGGTCTCTGGGGATCATAAAAATCATAAGCAACAAAGTCTCATTGCTATTGAAATAACGGTTACCCTTTGAACCATTAACTTAGTAAGTTGAACTATGATGATAACATGGGGGCTCTCAGCACAAAACCACTGCCAATTGTGAAAATGTATTATGTTGCGGATTTTATCTACAATCAATCCTTAGCAGCCATTCGTTATTACAAATTTTAAAAAGATACCTATTTATTTAGAATGTTAAGTTAATTTTAAGCTAGTTAAAAAATAAAATAAAAATACTCACGTTTCCACTAGGCACGAGGAAATGATGCATAGGGTTGTTCAAATCCTTGCTGAGGTCGTAGATCTTGACAAAATCCGAAGTTATCAGCGCAAGTTGCGTCTGTGATCCAGGCAGCCATATTGCTTTAATGACATAGTTGTTACCCTCTAGACCGGTGTTGAGAACTAGGTGATCTGCTACTGCACCTAAATAAAAAGTCTACTATAATATCTACTGTGAAAGTATTAAAAGGTACTAATTTTAGTCCATTGATAAAAAGGCCTTTAACGAAATTGAAATTAGATAAAGTGCATATTCTTACCTGCACTGTTAAAGGTCAGTACATGACATTCCTTGAGACCGCAGACTGCGAGCAAATCTTCATTCCACGGGTTCCCGCCGAGACTTAGAACCGTGAACGGTATCGGCGCGGATGACAAGCGCGTTAGTGTAAGTTTATGTTTCGACGAATCAGCTTGTTTCAGTAAAGTTGATAGCTGGAGAACTGTGATCTTGCCTGTAATTAAATGAATCATATTTATCTATGAAGAGTAATGTTTTTAAATCGTTTTTTGCAATTGTACTTGTAATATATGTACAGTCAAAACCGGTTACTGCGACATCGTTTAGAACAACATGCCGGTTATAATAACCTAGCACAAAGGTCCCGGCTGAATGCTATATGAGCGCCTTATTAAAAATATTGCTTTATACGACATTGCTTATAACGACATACCTCATAAAACGACCACATTTAACTAATATTTCGGAGAATTAGATCTGTTAGAGCGACCGGCTAAGCTGTATTGTAAACAATTTGAATAGGTATCCACATTTGTCTTCAATGGCTATTAAAATCAGGAAAGAAAGCAATAAGATTTAGTTTAGTGTAGGGTCTTTTCTAATTCTTAGAAACAAAACACGTGCATGCGGTAGAGTCAAAGCCCGCTTCTTCATATTTCTTCAGTTAGTTTGTTACTTATCTATACACAAGATGCACCAAAACTTTGAATGATGGTATAAATGCTGTGTATTAAGAAAGATTGTTCTTTTTAATGAACAGTTCCAAATCCACAGCAATTATGACGATACGTTAATTAAAATCCAACGTGAATTACAAAATATGTATGCACAACAGAAGTGTTCCAAACAGATCAAAATTACAGATTTTATGCTCACAGAAAAATAACATGCATGGTACTTGTGTGTAATAAACAAAATGTACATAGTTGAATAAATATATTTTTCAATAATTCCCTATCGATTTGTTTGTACTTGCACGATACACATTAAACATCACCGGTTGTTACGACTATCGGTTTTTACGACTGAATATGAGCAGTCCCTTCGATGTCGTTATAACAGATTTTGACTGTATTTACTTATTTAATATTTTATGCTTTTCTAAATGTTAGCAATCTACGTAAAACTTGTTTCCTTATTTATGATTATTTTAAACAAATAGTACAGTCAAAACCGTTTACTGCGACATCGTTTAAAACAACATGCCGGTTATAACAACCTAGAACAAAGGTCCCGGCTGAATGCTATATGACCGCCTTATTAAAAACATTGCTTTATACGACATTGCTAATAACGACATACCTCATAAAACGACCACATTTAACTAATATTTCGGAGAATTAGATCTGTTAGAACGACCGGCTAAGCTGTATTGTAAACAATTTGAATAGGTATAGTAATCGGCAAACTTCTTGAGCAAATGACCTTGACTGCGCAGAACCGAATTTTAGATCACTTTGGTGGTGAGGGTGAGGCGCGACGGCAGGGGAAATCGTATCGAGCGCGTTATTGGTAGATCAGTCGAACCTTGCGTCCCGCACCCCGCCCTCATTCCGCTTGCTCCCAAAAGTACGCTTGCGTACAGTGGAANATATGTGCCTGATGGCTACATGCGCGGATGTATGTGTGGAGGGGTGCGTCGCCAGCGGCAGCTTCTTAGTACCACGCACGCGCGTACGCAGCACACCGCTAACTCCCCGACGCATCGTGCTGTCTCGCTACTCAATGGCTTGCTAGCCTATGCTCCGGAAATGGATATATTCCATGATGGTTTGCAGCGATTTATTGTTGTTGTTAGAAATTACTTAAGCTAATTATTAATACCTTACAAATGTTTTGGTTTATACTGTTAATTTGTAACTAGACTAATTAAATAAATAAATAAATAAATAGGATTTAGTTTAGTGTAGGGTATTTTCTAATTCTTAGAAACAAAACACGTGAATGCAGTAGAGTCAAAGCCTGCTTCATATCTCTTCAGTTAGTTTGTTACTTATCTATACACAAGACGCACCAAAACTTCGTGGAGTTATTCGCGAAACTTTCAAAATGTCGCAAAGAAAAAGAAAACAAATTAATATTGAAGAAAAATCGCGTATTATATAAATATGTTTTTCCAATAATTCCCTATCGATTTGTTTGTACTTGCACGATACACATTAAGCATCACCGGTTGTTACGACTGAATATGAGCAGTCCCTTCGATGTCGTTATAACAGATTTTGACTGTATAGTTTTAGTTTTAGTGCGACAGTCAAACCTTTCTCGTGAGATACAGCTAAATGTTGCCTGCGTCCTTGAGGCGACGCCAGGCAACACATGGCAACACGTCTTAGTTTATGTGCAGTCATCAGTTGCCTGATTGTTTGTCCGTTTTCTCCAGTGTATGACATGCGCACGTTCTCGAATGCGCCCTCTTGTGAACCTGACAAAAAAAAAACAAAGTAAAGTAAAATTCATAAAAAAATATATTTTTTCTTGCCCTCTTTGAACGTTATGACGACTATATATCGACGCGACGCTTGAAAGGCAAACGTGACTAAGCGACAATAACTGCTTTATACATAAATGATAGGCAATAACCATATTCTACGCGCAAAAAAAATATATTTCTAGGTCTATTAAAATCATTTCAATCCTACAGCTAGATTCGTTAGAATAGAATTTTTTTCAGGTATTTCAACTTTAGTCAACTGTAAAGTTCACGCATTGTCGCTTAGTCACGTTTTCCTTTCAAGCGTCGATATGTACAGTGCGGGTGTACCTAACGTGGGCAGCATGAGGTTGTCTGTGTGCGTGAAGCGTTTGTCGCCGAGATGCAGATGTGCGAGTGCCCGCATGGCGCGGCCGTGTGCGCCCGTGGGTGCGTGTCGCTGGCACGCCGCGCGCACGGCCCCGCCCAGCGCCTCCAGCAGGCGGCGCACGCGCTCCATGCACGCGCCCCATCCGCCGTACGACGACAGAAACGCGCGACACCCTAGTACGTCAACCAAAATAAAATTAATAGCATCCGATCTAGTAAATACGAATTTAAAATTAAATAATTGTTCAACTTTTTTCTGTTAAAATTATATATCGTCGTTAAACCAAAATCTGCTATGAGATTTTGATTACTATGCTTTTGAGATTTTTACTTTTTGACCTTTTCGTATAGATCACAGCCCTATCTACCGTATAAAAAAACTGTTATGTGTCCCTATAGCTATATAATATTTATCTATAGCTTTCATTTGATATAGTTCTTAAAAATTCACCTTCATATAAAATTTTATACGAAAATGTTTTTACTCGTTAATTCAAAATAGAGTTTTTGCACATAGCAGATTTTGATTTGACAGCGACGATATATTATATTGCATGATGTAATTTCATAATGTAAAACAATACATATGGCGTGCAATTTCACTGGCATTAGTATAATATTACAAAAAATACCATAGCTTTTTACTATTTTGGAGATAGAATCCATCACCTCATTAGCTCAGTTGTTAGTAGACAGGAACTACTGAAAATGCTACTTTTTTGAGGACATTTGGTATCCGAGATCTGACTGTACTTGTTTTGTTCCGTATATGCTTTCAATACACATAAAACTAAAAAACGTACTTTAGAGTAGAAAGCAGAAAAAGATTCAGATTATTCATCGACTAGTAATAAAGGAGTACCTTGTATGTTGTGTGCGTGCACGGGTCGTCTGGGCGGAGTCATGAGCGCGGGCGCCACCGGGCTCGAGGGCCGGCGCCGGATGGACGGAGCCGGAGTGCTTTCCTCTGCACCTGTTCTGGTCCCCGCGGCGCCGCTCACTGAACGCTTCACCAACGCTTGACAGCTGCAACAACGTACTCATACAATATTTTCCAACTATTCTAGTAGACTCGAGATGTTATTCTAGATTCACCAAGCTTGTAGATGAGCTTACGGAGCTCAAACCGGGAGTGTTGCTAACACTGGCCCTAGAGCAGTACTTCGCAGAATCTACCGTCGAATCAGAAACCCGACCCACTGAGAAGATCCGGCGAGAAACTCAGTGGGCTACGTCAATGGGATTTATTGGTTATGTAATATTGTAAAATTCAATATGCATGCTTTTATTTAGGAGTTATATCAAAGCAACATTTTTTATTGTTTAAACGCGCGTGAGTAGCGCAAGACATATCCGAGTAAATGTTATGTTACAGTCATTACGCCGGGCAGTGAAATACTCAGCCTTGTTCGAAAGAAAGAAACTCCATAGAGGATACAATCAAGTACTTAAAAGCTGAAAACAAAAAACTTACTAGACGTTTTACTTGAAACTTGAGAATTTTGTTCTTTGTATTTATATAGAAATAAAAATAAAAAAAACGGTTGTGAACAGTTACCTGGAGTCGGGCTTGGCGCCGCAGTCGCAGAAGAAGTTCCCGAACTTCGCATAAGATACATCGTGTCCTCTGTGACAGACTCTTGCGCACACAGTACACACGCCGACGCCATCGACCATCTTGCACGTATGACAGTGATACCAGTGTTGGTTCATGAACTCGCGTTGAGTCACCGTGAACGTGCACAGCTTGTACTGGAGCATAGCATCTTCATCCTAAAAACAATTGTAACGTTACATTATAAAGGAATTCCGGAATCGATGTGATTATTTATACAACGGCAACACTCGTAGGATACGTTTCACGGAAACTCACCGAGTCGTCGGCGCTAGTGTCGTCTTCGTCTTGTTGCTCGTCAGTATAATCAAGATCAAAGCCAAGATCAGCAGGTGATTCCCATGTTGGACTGACTGAACGCCAAGCTAAAGGAACAAAATCGAGTATTAAATTTTCAATTTTCTTATTTGACAGATTCTAAAATTAAATTAAAATCTAAAATTGTTTTTTTTTTATTGCTTAGATGGGTGGACGAGCTCACAGCCCACCTGGTGTTATATGGTTACTGGAGCCCATAGACTCTAGAACGTAAATGCGCCACCCACCTTGAGATATAAGTTCTAAGTTCTCAAGTATAGTTACAACGGCTGCCCCACCATTCAAACCGAAACGCATTACTGCTTCACGGCAGAAATAGGCGGGGTGGTGGTACCTACCCGTGCGGGCTCATAAAAGGTCCTACCACCAGTAAATTATATATAAATAATAAATAAATACTTTTTTTATTTGAAAATTATTATTATTTTTATTTATAATTATTTATTTATTAAAAACTATACTTACTATATGTTTACTATATGAAAATTACTATATGTATATATAGTACATGTTTATTTCAGTTAATGATATATTCTTACATTGCGGCGGTGAAATGTTGATAGAGTGCAAGGCGTCAGTTAAATAAGACAACAGAACGCAAGCTGATTCGATCTGCGGTGCGAGAGTACCGTCCACTTGTCCTTCCTCTAACTTCTCCAGTATTTCCGGACTGCTCAGGTTGTCGACGCTGTTAAAAATTTTAATTTAAAAAAATATTAAAGCTAAACTAGTAACTGACTGGATAGTATTGTAGTTTACGTTAATTTTCCTATTCTTAATTATTTACAAACTTGGATGATAAATTTTGATTACAACAGGAACTAAAATTTAACACTATTATCGGGAGAATGAAATCGAATTCACAAATTGGAGGAGAGTAAAGTGAGAGTGGAAACACATTCTATGAGGACTTACGGAGAGGGTACGTGGAAATGGCAAAGATGAACGTCTTTTGACTGCATTATACGAGCGGACGAACCCACTGCCCACATGATGTTAAGTGATTATCTGAGCCCAAAGGGTATGCCTCTGCTCACTTCGAAACATATGGCCGAAGTCATTAACTTTTCTTTAATATTTATAATATATTTGTTCACAAACTACTCACGTGTTGTATATTAACTAGTAGAAAGTTAATTGGTTTTATTTACCTTAACCTATCTTTAAATAAACTATGTATCCACATTGTTTGATTAGTTTCCAAAGTACATTATTATAATAAGTTTTTTTTATGATTATCTTCAACAACAGCTATAATTTTTAACGATTTTTAGAAAGCAATAATATATAATAGACCACAGTAAGATTATATTAGTTTAAGGAGTGTAACACTGACCAGGTGGCGAGCCAGCCCACGGCCGCCGGGAAGAGCAGCCTGTGGTCGGAGCCGGCGTGCGCGTCCGCCAGCCGACACATCTCGCGCAGCAGCAGCGGCGAGCACGCGCTGTCCCCGCACACACTAATCAGCGCGGTCAGCATCCGCTCACTCACCTTCTCGTTGCTGTAAGCGTAAGAATGTTAATACACCATCATTATCACCTCATGAACATGAGATCGATTTTTTTATATATCTTAATATATATAAATCACGTGTCACGTTGTTTGTCCGCGATGGAGTCCTAAACTACTTAATCGATTTTAAATTAAATTTGCACACTGTGTGCAGTTTGATCCAACTTGAAAGAAAGGATGGTTTTTATTTCGTTTATTGGCGCAATATTTATTAATTAACAATAAAATTATTTCTTGTTGATTTTTGTTATTAATTGTAAGTTTCATAAGTCTACAACAGATGGCGCCTTAAATCAGTTTTTACAGACAATTGTAATACTGTCTGACATTAATATCCCATAGATGGCACTGTGTTAAAAATACCAACGTTACACATAAGCTACAATTTAATGGCAAAAACACCACGTGTTGCTGAAGCTAAAGTATAAGTGAAATTTATTTCGTAGTAAACGCAATACAGTGAAATCCAATTATTCTTACTTTGTCAATTTTTGGTATTAGCATAGCCGGCCGCGTGTTATTTAGAAACAAAAACCTTAGCCACAGCAACATGTGGCCGATTCTGTTAGTTTATAATAAATTTTATCTATTTCTTTTCAGTCATTTGGGATTTATCCTCTGTACGTATGTTTATCTTTTGATTTGTAAAGTATATATTTCGATATTAAGGCAAAAGGCTGGTTTCAATTTTAACAATATTATGAGACTCTCGTTATTAAATCTCTTTCGTGTTGTCCTAATCTGTGCAATTTTAGAAATAATGTAATAGGTACTTTCTCTAAATTTTTTGTTTTAAAGACTACAGAATGAAAGTCGCATACAGCAGGTAGGTCATAATATATATAAATATTTAAAAGGCATTTTAGTTTCGACTAAATATCAAATTTACTCACCAATGTAGTACGACATGTTTGCAGAGAGCAGATAGTAGCGTGGCATTGTCATTGGCCACGTCGGTGAGAGGGGCGGGAGGCGTCTCCACGGAGGCGGTGGGCGCGACACTTGTGGCAGGAGGACCGTCTTTACCCTCCGACCAACTACTCGTTTCTAATAAACATTATATGCTTTATTAAAAAAAGATAACAACTAGATTAGAATGTTACTATATTGAAATGTTCTCACCAATGAATAATTCAAATATTTAATAAGCAATTATCATCTGTATTTAAATTCCCTGGATAATACAGAGAATAAGTACACATAAATTATGGATTGATAATAGGCGACTTACCCGAATTACCAGACTGTTGAGCAATTTCTGATTGTGGTCTCGGTGCTGGAGAACTAAAACCAAAATAATTAGTGCAATTTCTTTTCTAATTGATATAATTGAAACTATACTGATGCATATTTTTTTTTGTATAGTTGGTGGACGATTTCACGGCCCGCCTGATATTAAATGGTTACCGGAGCACTACCATTACCGGTAGACATCTACAAGGTAAATGCCGCCACCCACCTTGAAACCTGAGTTCTAAGGTTTCAGTTTTTACAGTACAACGGCAACCCTACTTTTCAAACCGAAAAGCATTACTGCTTCACGGCAGAAATAGGCAGGGCGGTGGTACCTACCCGTGCGGACTCACAACCCGTCCAACCACCAGTAAAAAGTACTAGAATTTTAGTACATAGTAGAATCGTTGATAAGTTGACGCAAACTTACGGCGTGTCGAACACATCGACGGGCACGTCCGCGTCGTGGCGCTGCGGCGGCGCGTCGCTGGCCGAGCGCAGCACGCGGCTCAGCGCGTTGTGCAGCACCGTCGACACCGGGTTCAGGAGCGTGTCGGGAGCTGAGGACGTGGGCGTCGCCAGCTCTGTTTCGGTCGGAGTCCCATTCGCAGTGGCCGTATTGCCATTTGTCGCCACTGCAACCGAAAAAAAAAAAACAATAATTTGTGTCTTTTAACACGTTGACTGCCGTGTAGGTCACCGGTGCCCTACGCGGCGCACTGAAGTAATTCTCTTCTCTACTCTTCTTATCTTCTTACTGAGGCGCCGGAATATCTAGTAGACTCTGGGAGAGACAAATCCAAACGATACTGAGAATGAATCTATTTCTAAGAGACTTAAAAGACTAAACCATACATTAACCAACAAAAGAAGGCAATCCGGGCGCTTTAGTAACAGAAATCGACATAATTACTTCAGTGCGCTGCGTAGTGCACCTGTGACCTACACGGCAGTCAAAGGGTTAAATGTCGTTTATAGCAGCCGAGTAAAATTTTGAACATAAAAACAGGGATAATCTTCTCAATAAAATATTCTGAACAAAAAACATAACGTGAGCCCCGTTAACCGTACTAACCTGGCGCTCCCACACAGATATGAGAGAGGAGAGTACCTAGCTCCTGCTGGTCGGCGACTCCGATGAACTGGCACACAGACACGCACAAGCTGCTGCTCAGTTCGGAGCTTTCACATCCACTGAATATTTTGATGAACAATCTGTGACATAAAAAACACTTTATTATGTGCTTTGCAAGGATTCGCAAAATGAGACTGGTGTTAGATTAATATTTTTTTATTATTATTATTATTATTATGTAAAGCTTATGTAAAGCTCTCCCTCTTTAAGAACGGTTAGCTGGTAGATAACTCAATTGTTGAGTTAAGCTCGCCTTTTTATAACTTTTCGCAAATATTTTATTGTCTTAACTGTGTGTACAATAAACAGTCGTAATAAAGAATAATTGTTTTATTTAATAGAATCGAAACTCACTTAATTACTCTCTCGGAATATGTACTCCTTGCATTCGGCGATGATATTAATATTCTTCCTAGAGAATAACCGGAGTTTTCACAGAACACGTACTCATACGCGAGTCGGCCAGCTTGTCGATCTAGAATCTTCTCCCAGTACTTTACCTGGTCAACAGAACAAGAACCAATAAGAATGAGGAGATAGTTATTTCCGACAACGCCTACATATTTATTTATTTTTTCATACATCATTGCAATATCGAACATAATACATGTAATAAGATAATTGAATAGTTTTAAGCTTACCATATGTTTCAATATTTTTTCCGTCGAAGGCAAGAGATATTCGACAAGTACAGGGTATGTTGTCTTTAAAATGTGTTCATGGATTAGCTGTTCCGCTCTGACAACTTGTGGCACTAGTATGTTGATAGTGGCGCCTAGTGATTCCGCCATGAATTCCAAACGAGCGTCAGTCTATGAAACAACATCGACAATGTCATTACTAAGTATAGAATCAAATTACTTTATTAGCGACCCGCCCTCGCTTCGTTACGGAAACTATAATTTATTATTGATTTCTCCACTATTTAATGGATGTTATTATACATATAAACCTTCCACTTCAATCACTCTATCTATTTAAAAAAAACGCATCAAAAGCCGTTGCGTAGTTTTAAAGATTTAAGCATACATAGGGATATAGGGACAGAGAAAGCGACTTTGTTTTATACTATGTAGTGACGGGAAAGTATTGAAAGTTTGAAAACGTACCAGAGCCGGGACAATTAGCTCCAATGTCCTTCTAGTAAGTTCGAGGCTATCTGTCAGCTTGTTCGCTCCCAGCTCGAGTAGTTTAGCCGCGGAGTAGGACAACATCATAAGGGACAGTCCAATAGAGTATTTCGTGTTGGCACTTATTGACTCGCAGTGCTGCGATACTAGCTTCAGGACCGCGCTCTCAGATGGTATTATGTGGGAAGCGTAAAATGCCTAAAAATAAAAGAAAACGTTAGACACAATCGCATATTAAAAATGTAAGAATCAGATGAATATTAGTCGTAAGTGGTTTACATTGGTCCGTGGCATTTCGATGGCGTTAGCCATGAGCCACGGTCACTACTTACCATCATAATAAGATCCGCAAGGTTGTCTGCCTTTGTAAGCTAATGAATAAAAGAATAATTTTCTCTTTTAAATGAAAATGTATGATAGTGAAAACAAAATACTAATTTAAGCTAGATCACGTAAGATTGAACTTGTAAGATGCGTGTGATATCTCCACGGAACTAAGATCCACTGAACTAAGCAAACTATTAGATATAATCAGTCGTTTTGAGTCTATTTAAACATTTATGTAGACAAGCAAAACTGCAAAACAGCATCGGAAATCGATCTGAATAAATCTAACATAAATCACCTCAGGATATAAATGTAAATTATTATGACTGTTAACAGCAGCCCAACTGGTATTCAACATAATATACAATAAAAGCGATTAACATGTTATATAAAAGCTAACGAGCACAAAAGCTCGATCCTATCAAGCTGCGTTCCAAAAATTTGCAGCAAAAAACGAAACTGCAACGAGTTTTCTTATTAGTATTTACAATTTTTATTATTTTATTACACGAGGGCACATAAAAGGTAGGCATAGGCATATAGGGTCCAACAATACAACATACATAGACACAACTAATCTACTTCAACTGAGTACAACTTGCATTTGATTCAACATTTTAAATGAGTTATTAGCTCAACTGAACCTCAATCAATCAGGAGTTCGAAATAGGATCTACTATAGTGGGTAGGGGTTACGGTTTTTTTTTTTTCTATAATATGAAGTATAATGGATGTAGCGTGTTGAATGTAGTCTGAGCATATGTGAGAATGACTCAAAATACGAACTGAATGGAAGTGTAAGGCACATTGCGCTCGTGTATATATTATATACACATAAATAGGTAAACACAAAATAATTCAGATTACTTTTCTGCTGTTTATAAAGCGATTTAGTAAATAAATGAAATATATATTGAAGCTAAGTCTAATGGTGTCGGTGATTATAGATCTACCTTTGCTGTTTAAATCCTGGAACTTTTACACAGCACATGCAAGGTTTACACTTCAGCACATGCTTTATGGATTTTACGAAGCAAATAGCATACCGTGCTATGGAGTGACGTAGAGTTAAAGGAGGACTATCATAAGCAGTTGCTTAACTTGTAAACAATTCTGCTGTTAAATTATTAAATAAAAGATCAGAGAGAGTCCAAATTGACGCTCGTGTTCTATTGAGACTATGATCTGAATTATTACCCACTTTATAATTTTATAATCAAAATGCTGTTTGTAAAAAAAGTATTTTTTAAATCTATTTTTTTCTTCAAAATCTCCTTGTTTTCGCAATATAAAAATTAAGGAAAACCTGTATAAAGAAAATACAAGCTCCCGATCGATTTGGACGTTTCATTCAAGAAATCCAAGCCATCCAACACAGCCCTCCTTGAACTCTACTGTCCATACACGGAATGTGGCAGCGGCGGGTGCAGATAAGGGAGATGAGTCACCAGGTTGACGAGCGGCGGCGGGTTGGCCATCTTGTCGAGCGCGGCGGCGGCGGCGGGCGGCAGGTGCGCGCGCAGCCAGGCGCCCAGCGCGGGCGGGGGCGTGCTGCCGGCCGCCGTGCCCAGCGGCGCCGACGTGCCGCACACCTGCAGCCGCACGTTGTTCACGTACGCAGACCGCGCGTTGCACACGACGCCCTCCATCAGGTTCTCCAAAACTTGTCCGGCGCTCAATCTGAGAACAATGCCGTCTGGTGTAGTGGCAAGTGAAGTCGTCGTGGCCGGTAACGGATAAGACGTCCGGTGCATACGTGTTGAGCGATGCACCGATGTTCGAATCTCAGGCGCGTACCAATTTTTCTAATGAAATACGTACTCAACAAATGTTCACGAATGACTTCCACGGTGAAGGAATAACATCGTGCAATAAAAATTAAACCCGCAAAATTATAATTTGCGTAATTACTGGTGGTAGGACTTCTTGTGAGTCCGCACGGGTAGGTACCACCGCCCCGCCTATTTCTGCCGTGAAGCAGTAATGCGTTTCGGTTTGAAAGGTGGGGCAGCCGTTGTGACTATACTGAGACCTTAGAACTATATCTCAAGGTGTGTGGCGCATTTACGTTGTAGATGTCTATGGGCTCCAGTAACCACTTAACACCAGGTGGGCTGTGAGCTCGTCCACACATCTAAGCAATAAAAAAAAAAAGCACGGGACCAGTTAACGTAGCGTGATTGTAATAAAAAAAAATATAAGCATTTTATCCTAATTATACAGAACTCGTTGTTGCTGTATGTTCCGGGAATCTTTAAAATGGCCTACAAATTGGACGATCTTGTGAAGTCTGGTACCGATTTAATCAGTCATATCAAACATCCGCCAATAAAGAAGGTAGGTTTATAAACATAAAACATTAGTAATGTATGAAATGCTAGTGCAATATACAAGCTCAAGCTTGCACAGGGACAGGTTGGTATATCCTATTTTTATCCAGAAGCAATCATGTCCATTTCAATTTTAGATGTAGGATAACCATTATTGTAATCCAACTGAAGCTTCTAGTGGTCTCTAGAATCACTAGATAATAATCGGACGACTCACCGACAACATTCCATCAATGTTTCCAGTAGACTCAACAGGTCCGGCATGAACTGATGAGCCTCTACTGCGGCAGATTCACCGAGACACGTTTTCAATCTCACCAGTGCAGCGTCGCACGATATTACATCCAAGAGCGAAGGTAAGCCGATAGCTATAATAGTAATAGAGCTTTTTAATGAAAGGAATACGTACTTGACGCTTAATAATTCCAGACTTCCACGACAAAGTAACAACATCAAACCAGTAAAAATTCTAATTTTGCGTCATTACTGGTGCTACAGTGCATTGTAAGCCAGCAAGGGTACCATTCATTACCTTCACATTTTTACGGCTATGCAGTGATGCGTTGCGGTTCGACGGCTGAAATAGCCACTATACAATACTATTGATATTTCAACCTCATCTCTCATTGGCTTCGGTAACCACTTAACATAAAGCTGGTGGTGAACTCCTTGTCCCAGTTGAGCAATACGAAAAACATCTGCAAGGATTACTTACTTGTAATATTCTGTTTTAAATGTTTTATTGTTTCAGAAGCCAGCCACGTTGTATACTTTATATTGTCGCACGATGCGCTGACACCGGCCAATAAGTTCTCAGCGTACTATTAAAAATAATAAAAACAAACATTTATTTAGCAGTATTGGTATTATTGTTTGACTTTTGCCCGCGGCTCCGTCCGCGTGGAATAGTTACTTTGGCATAACGCTAAATTTTACCCCCACTTCATTTATGTAGAAATTAAAAAAAAAATTGTATTATAGCTATTTAAACCCCTATTTTGAAACATTCTTTATTGGTGCTCCGCTTGTATTGGTTTTACCGTGATGTTAAATAGCCTATAGCCTTCCTCAATAAATGGGCTATCTAACACTGAAAGAATTTTTCAAATCGGACCAGTAATTCCTGAGATTAGAGAGCGTTCAAACAAACAAACTCTTCTGCTTTATAATATTAGTATAGAATATTTTTTGTAATTAATTAGATTTACCTGAGTATACATTCCTTGTTTGACAAGAGCATCCTTGAGCCAGGGGTTGAAAACTTTCTTGTTGTCTGCCCGCGGAGCCCATATGATGGCGTGGAGTGGAAGTGGCGACGGCAAGTCAGCGTTTGTACCCGCCTGAAGCTTGTCCATGTGAGGAGTGGCGGGTGGCATGCTGATGACCAGCCTATAATAATTATTCATTTTTATTTGCTGTTAAAACTTACACAACTTTAGCTATTCATGTTCCAGCTTTAAAACTTACCTCCAAGCTGTTTGAAAACAATAGTGTGCAGCCGACAAAGCCACTGTCGATGCAAAATACATCGGATTGTCGCAGATACAAGCCGAATTCAACAATGACAATAGAGCATCGAGTAGTAAAGGATATTTCAATTTGTGGGGAGTACCCAATACAAAGTTGCACGCCAGACCATCAAATTTCGGGTTTTCCTGCAAAGAACCGTATTAACTTTTAGCAAAGAACTAAATAGTAATTTAATTGATAGGTACTTAAATAGTACATTGTGCACCAAAGGAGACAAGTTGGACATTTCCTCCCGCATGTAAAAATTTAACTGTTTTTTAATTTTTAAATAAACTACTACATACTACTTGAATAAGAACTGTCTGATGAACTCATATTTGTTTAATACTTCACTATTAAATTTTATTGCCTTTGGTTTATTTCACTTTTACACTAAACACAATATCGCAAATTACCCGAGCACAACAGTGGCGGAGAATTTTAGGTGCGTGAGAGCAGACGTAGACACTAACGCGCATGCGCACTTGTCAGTACCCAGGGTGAAAAGTTGGACTTTCTTTCCTGTACAGCGGGACGAAAACCGAACTTTCGGCGTAGGTAGGAGAAAAATGTATATTACCTGATTATTAATCTCCGCACTTGTTAATGCATAAAACTTGGGTCTCATAGAGGTCTCGTCTTGGGACAGTCTTCTGTATGCCTGTTCGATAAGAGGCACTTCGCAGTAGATGCGAGCCTTTAGGAGGCCGTTGGTTGTATTTTTATTGCCGTTAGCATTGGCTTCCGGGGCTGGTTGAGCTAGACCCGGTGCTATTACTAGGTTCCATTCAATCTGAAAGTCAAATGATCATCCAGTTAGTTATTCACTAAACTTGATAATTTAGAATCCATTATCTTCTAAGTAGTTGAGGATTACGTTCTGAATTATTTTTCGGTTAGATAGTAATTTTGATTTTCGGCAAATTAAGGAAATTGATAAGACACAATAAAATCATAGATTAAAAATGTTTGAGTCAGCAGATTACGTATTAAGCCGTAAGTGGAAAAAAAGTCTCAAAAAAAATAACATTCACCTGTTGCAACAACATCTGTGGTGCATCATACAGATGTCTCATGAGATACTCTAGTAGCAGCATCAGTCTTGTGGCCAACATCAGCTGATGCGGCAACGTATGCATAGCCTTTTTTCTGTCGTTTATACCCAAAGTTTCCACCACCTAAACACAAAATTCGACAAAATTAAACGATATTTTAAAGTTATAAAAACGATTCGATATGACTAGATATTTTTTTACCTTTATGATCGCATTGGAAGTCATAAGCAATACCGATTTCTTCTGCATTAGCGTTAATGAGTGGAACAGATAAACTAGCAGTTGTGCGTGTTCAACATTCAGATCTGCAAATAACAAATAATGCATGTTAAAAATGAACATTAATTTGATCATGAGTATATAGATATTCTTCGGTATACTTCAAAAGTAGTTTCAAAACAAAAATGCTCGGGTGCAATAATGTCATCAATATGTCATTGAATAAAATTGTAAACATTATATTATGATGTTGGTATGACGGTATCTTTATGAGTCGAAAACTTCCCTATAACCTTGTCTAATATGATAAAGAAAAACCCTTAAATTTAAAAGTAATCATAATGTATTAACGTACCCTCATAATCGTGGTCCTGTGAGGGTTGTGGCTGCAGAGCGCACTCCTGCAGTGTGTTCACGATCTTGTGCCACATAGCTAGGATAGCATTCTCGCGCTCCGCCGCCGGCTTGCTCAAGATCATGCTTCCCAAAAGTTTCACCACACGAGGACCGACCTAAGTAAATTAGTCAATTTCTATTTTAAATCTAAACAATATGTAAAATGTCTATATAAATACTACTTATATAAATCTCTAATAAGGAATTCCGGTCACAAAACATTAATTGGTACTTTACTGTATTAATAATTCAATTAACTTTGTGTCTATCAAGTCATCCACTGCACAGATACTCACTTGTAATGGGGTCATGTTATTTCTGTCAGATCCACCTGACAACAGCTGCTGGTGTAACGCAGGTTGGAGGGATGAGAATGCAGGCGATCCAGTCAAATTGTGTAAATAACGAACTAGGCTTGCACTAAACGCAGCATACCGTGTCCCGAGACGTGTGCCGAAGCATGCGGAAATCGTTCCTGCAAAATATAAAATGTAATTATTTCTACAGGTACTTCAATGCTATATTTTACTAAAGTGAGTCACCTTTAATCGATAGTACCAAAATCATAAACTTCTAGAATATTCTTTACCTGTGTCAGTACGTGCAGTTTCTCGGTCTAGGTCCTTAGCGAGTGCGGCCAGCAGGGCCTGGTGAGCCTCGTGCAGCTGTAGTGACTGCTGCCCAAGACGTTCTGAACCTTCGCTTATTATCTCGTCGTTTAGAAGTATGAAGACTTCCGTGGCCAATGTTATGTACTAAAAAATATAAGGAAATTAATTTTAATTCAAAACTATAGTCTGCAAAAATATTTAGTATTGCTATTAGCATAAATAAAATACGCAAAGCTGTGTTAAGGCCGCTAATTTTCAAACAATCAAACATACTTTCACCAAATTAAATGTTACTCACAGAATAAGGTTCTGCTTTATCAGGTACAATAGCGAGGGATTTTCCGTTTCCGTCGGTGTCGTCTCCGTCCGTGGAGGCGCGGACGAGTCCGCTGTCCACCGCGTCCGGCGCCACCAGCGTCGACTCGAACCACAGACCGAACAGAGGCTCGCTGTCTTCTGTGTATGAGTATGCTGGTGTCAATATTTTAACAAACGATTCACAGTCAATCACCAATCACCACTTATCTAACATGCACACAAATATGTATTAGAAAAAACAATCAGTAAATTACTATATTTTTATAGGTTGACTTGTTAAAATTATAACAATTAATTAGATTACCATTACTGAACCTATGATTACTATTACTTTTTGTTACATATAAAGCGTTAATATAGCAAAGTCTATAACAAAAAAAATGTGTTAAAATATTTTATGTTTTTTACATTTCTATTGGAAACCTCACAAATTATATTATGATACATAGAAAAATGAAAATGTAACACTGTTTCGGTTATTTTGGTCTCAATATATTTGTAATAGCGCAAATGGGGCTCTTATGGAAAAAAAATTGGACAAGATTATGAAATATTTTTAAATAATAAAAAAAAACTTCTTTCGTATACTTTAGAAATTAAAAGCATATAGTCGGATTTTTAATTAGACGAAGCCAGCTGACAGTAGCTAATGTCACTTTGTGAAATAATGTTGCTATATTTAAAGTAATAGTGATGCGTTCAGTTCTCGTTCAATCACATAAATGAACAATGAGTGTGAAGAGTTAATCATTAATTTCAAACTATAAAAGAATATTATTTATATTTTACAATAATATTGTATTAAAGTGATCCAATATAATAATATGTTACTAGTAGTATGTAACTACAATCAGTTTTTTTTATTTTCATTACCTATGTACCTATAATTGTTATATTTTATACATCTATAGTTTCAACTATATGATGCATTGGAAATAGGACAGTCTTACAAGCTTCCTCGCAATGTTTTTCTTAATGTTTAAAACACTCGGTATTCAGTACAGGTAGATACCATAGGAACATAATGTTTCGTCGAAAACTCGTTGGTATGTACAAAGCACGGCTAAAATTCGAACCCCGTGCCCGATATCGGCAGTTCGGCATACTAACTATTCACTAGACAATCGAGGCAATTTCATTAATTCAGGAGTTTTTTCAATCGTTCACTTTGTCACAACACTATTTTTATTTCATCAAAAACTGACAACACAGTAAACGTCAGTTTACTTCGTCTAATAAAAAATCCGACTATAGTTCCCGATTCGACAGCGAATATGTCCATGATGATGAAGTCGAGTAACAAAAACTTTAATTTTTTTTGGAAAATGCAAATATATATATTTTTTTTATTATTCAGACAGATCAAGGGATGTCATATCTTACAGCTAAAAATAATAATTTATTATCCATTGGTCATCATACCATCGTCAGTTTCAGAGTCCTCTGAGCACAGTATCATATCCTGGAAGTATACTGTGGAGTCTGAGCGGTCAGGATCGGCATCAAGTTGTTGTTTTTGTACCACAGCACGTTTCAAGTTAGTCGCCTTGCGATAACATACAACACCAAGAGCAACCAGAAGCTGTAAAGTACATATTTATTGAGAATTTAGATTTTAATACTTGTTGTATTTATTTAATTTTTATTTTTTAATTATTTATTATTTACAATATTTCTATACATATTTCCATTGTCAACTTTACAAATGCATTATTTACATTTTGGAAACAAAATATGTTTGTTTTAAAACTTTAGTGGTGTATAATCTAATTCTACTCCCTTAAATCTATGTCATGAATAAAAATTTCCACATGTATGACGGTGAAGCACTTGGGAACAGCTTGATTGATGTGGCTGTTTCAAATTATTATTTTTCTGTTTTGTAAGCAAAAAATAGGATTAGGTACGTTTGACTTATGTCCAAAGACTTTTACAAGATCCATTTTGATGGTTTCACTAAGGACAAAAAGTTGGTGAACCGTGAGTACATCGGTTCCTTTCGCTTGATAAAATACCTGATGTAGAGGTGCGGCGGCCGCGAGTCTCAGTTCCCGCTGGTGCGCGGAGTGCTGCGCGAGTAAACGCAGCGGAGCCGGCGAGCCTCCCACCACGCCCCCGCCCAGCGCCTCAAGCCGCGCGTCCGACAGCAGCGCGCCCGTCCAAGCCAAGCAGCGCCCGCCCAGCGCCACCCAGACTGCACTGACGCCTTGTTGCCTGCACGCACACTTACTGTAGAGCCACTCACCGACCTCACCATAATCACACAAGGGAGGCCTCATTCAACATATTCGTTATGGATTTACACTATTTTTTAAAAAAAAATTATTTCCTAGATAGGTGGACGAGCTCACAGTCCCACCTGGTGTTTATTTATTTTTTTATTTTGTTAAGTGGTTACAGGAGCCCATAGATATCTACAACGTAAATGCCGCCACCCACCTTGAGATATGAGTTTTAAGGTTTCAGTATAGTATTATGACAGACACTTGGTTAACTTCCCCTGCACTTGGGGATATTAGGCCTTCTATTGGGCAGTCATTATAGGTATTTGCTAGAAGATATGAAAGCAATCAAGCGCTGTACATAGAGGGCGATGGTATTCCATGTAATATTTCTTTGTTGGCAATCATTTGAATCGGTGAATGTATAATTATGCTCCACGCGTAAGCACATATTTCAAATTCGGAAGTACTTGATGTGTTACTACGTTTATATATTAATTAATCACGTTCATATTGTATGTCTCATTTTTTTTCGATTTTTGAACTCCGAATCCTAATTTTATTATTACGAAAGGATAGAGAAGTAGTAGTAGTAATTGTTTTTTCTTCTTCGTCGTCGTTATTAGTGGTGCCCGACGTGGAGCCCCCAGAGGCCCATGATGAGGGATAACAAATAGAGATGTACACATTATAACTTACATTTTAGTAAGATTGTAAGGTCTGGACGGCACTTTAGCTGGGCTCTTCCCAGGTACGACGGAAGGTATAGGTGCACCACCTAACGCGTGATGAAGACCGCAGAGCAATACCCATGCGCCAATCATGAGGTGGTTTTGATATACCTAAATTGATAAAATATTAATAGTAAAACTGGTTAAGATGAAAAAAAAAAACAATGTGTTTCATTACTCATATATTATACTATGTATGTATGTATACAACTTACATATCCACCAGCGCGGGTCGACTGTCTGAATGTTTCTCCAACTGTGTTGTACAAACTAAGGGCACTCTCAACTAATGTGGCAATCTGCTGCTCATATTCTTCATCTTTGGGATGAAGTGATGCCTGTTGAAAAAAATAAATTTTACCTGATTAAATCATTTAAGTAACGAAACTGATATAAATGACATCAAATTATATAATGGTAAGCAACGACTTGACTTGGCCCCTGGGATTGCTGAAGTCCATGAGGGACGGTACACACTCACCATCAGGTGGACCATATGCTCCTCTGCCTACTAAGGCAATAAAAAAAATAAAAAAAACAATTGGTGATACAAAAAGATATATGTATCATATTATATGTATTGACGTGACAAACCTGTGCAGTAGCGCAGAACAATGCTGAAACACTGACATCACTCAGAGTCGAGATTCGTTCAGCCGTGAACGGTTCCAGGCACGGTAGAGACAACGCTAGCCGACAGACGTGAATCTCGTTCACTAAGAAGTGAAGGCTGAGAAGGGAATAATTCTAATTAGTTTTAAATGAAGTTGATTCTAATTTTTGTATTAATAACGACATCAAAATAATGTAATATCCAGTTTATTGAAAAAAACTCACAGTGAAGCATCAGCAGTGAACTGAGGTGATAAAGATGTCTCCTTGGCTGTTTGCCACCTGTTCATGTACCGCTGTAGACACGGTAGTGATGAGCACACTTTCAGCACAACAGCACCCGCTCTCAGCTCCATCAGCAGAGAGGAGCATGTTGATGTCATCCATTTCTGACAAACATTTTGTTTTGTTACTTTACATTACAGTTCTTACTTAGACTACTTCGTGATATGTAGATACTATTAACACAAGACAACAATTAGTATAGTAACCGGCAAACATCGTGAGCAAATGACCTTGACTGCGCAGAACCGAATTTTAGATCACTTTGGTGGTGAGGGTGAGGCGCGACGGCAGGGGAAATCGTATCGAGCGCGTTATTGGCAGATCAGTCGAACCTTGCGTCCCGCACCGCGCCTTCGTTCCGCTTGCTCCCAAAAGTACGCTTGCGTACAGTGAAAAGTCTATCGTTATTAATCGTTAAGTTATATTTTGTTATAATTGCTTGTTGACTTTGTTGCCATTGCTATTTGTTGAGTGTTTGTTGATTTTTTATAAAAAATACACTATGCCGCGACAAACGGGTGTAGTATTCAAAAGAAAGGGTAGAAAATTTGTGTACGACGTATATTGCTTCATTATAAAACAGGGGAAGAATGATATTATGGAAAAAGTAAAACAGACTTCGGAAGCAACAAAAACATCAGTGAGTACTGTTAGGTGCATTATTAACGAAGCTAAAGGCTCTGGCTTGCTCATCGTGCTTGGGACTCCGGGTAAGAAAAGATCAGGGAAGAAGAAAGTTACCGGAATGGATAGTTTCGTTCAATCTGTAATAAAAAGATGTAATCATAATAACTACATAACAAGCAGCGAAACTCCGTACCGTAGAAAGGCTTCGAAAATTTTAAAGAAGATATACATTTTAATGGCTCGGAATGAAGTTTACGACGAATTATGAAAGAGCTAGGCTTCAGATGGAAAAAAAAAAAAAAAAATAATCGGAAGCTGGTAATTGAAAAAAGTAACATTCGATTACTACGAATCGAATATCTTCAAAAAATAATTAATTATAGACAAAAAAGAAGATCGAACTGACCGAGTCGTAAACTACACCGATGAGCCCTATGTCGACTTATCATGATGATGGCGACTCGGGTGATGAAAACAGTGATGATGGTAATGGTCAAGATTATGATAACGGAAAAAAAATTACAAATACCAGCTTCGCTTCAACTGAACGAAGACCTGGCAACAGCTCTAGTTTTGACTTAATAGAAGGAATATCTATTTTACCCCAAGATTAAATTATTATAATTATTAACCTATATTTTTTGTTGATGTTCTAATAAATATATAAATAAATACATATGTTGATTTTAATAATTTAATTGCATTATGATGCAGAGTAAATAATGTTTTTGCATGTGAGTGTACCATGCGCAAACTTACCCCCACTACGTCAACAAATGCTCAAGAAGTTTGCCGGCTATTATAAGTCCAGGTGTTGATTCTCGCTAACATTAAATTGTGTTTCAACTGCAAATACAGCATGGAACCTTAATCAAGAGTCAGGAACACTCATAGCTAGACCAACATGTTGAACATTACCTTAAGTACCTATATTTCCGTTCGTGTTTACAATAAAATATCACAAAATCTTACTTTCATGTCAATAAAATTCTGTTGAGCATTGCCATCTTTATTGCTTTCCACACTGTCCTTGCTTCCAGGTGACGCGAGTGGCGCAGACGGGGCGGAAGAGGACGACATAGCCGAAGTTATGGGATTCCGCAAAGGTGCAGTCAACTGTTCCAATAATGCATCAGAGCGACGCTGAGCACTGGACGGGGCTTGTTTCTCTGATGCAGCAGTTTGAGATGTCAAAGACGATATCGGTGTTGAGATCACAGAACTTTTTGTTGTTTGATTGTCTAAAATTATAAATGAAACTCATTGCATTGATAAAGGTATTTTACAAACTGAAGTTGTTTAATGAATTTTATGACTACTCTACTAAACTAAAAAAAAGTACTGTTCTTTGTAAAAATTTTTGTAGTGTTACAATGGCATAATTAAAATTGAATATAAAATATATTTTCAGATACTGCTTTCAAACTGCAAACTAAAATCAAGTAGAACTGTTTCAACTACAGTAACATTGTATTGTTTATAAATACCTGGTACGTTGACATGTGCAGGTAATTTTGCATTCTTAAGTAATGAAGTCAATATGACTAAGTCTGATTGGGGGTAGCCTCCACCATCAATCCCGCATAGTCCCACAATTGGTAAAAGGAGCTAAAACAGTTAAGTTAAAGTTACAAAGAATTTTTAGACTAACTGGTTAATAACTACCTTCTACATTTTCAATTATTATAACTGATTGGAACTTGGCCTAAAATGAGTTAACAATTTAATTTTGCGAGTAAATTAACATTGTGAATTCCAGTTTGAAGGGTTAGGTCAAGTTTAATGTTAAAATTGAGACTTTAACCTGATTTCAACCTGAACATTGCTGAGGGCACTTATATTAAAGGCTATGCGATCCAGTAATAATTTAATACTAGTTAAGCTCTGAGCTGCCCATCTAGCACAGTGAAAAATATAATTATAAGGATATTGTGAGCAATACTAACACACAACATGTTTAATTCAAAATTGAAGCAGCAAGAACTTCTATTGTGCTATTGTAAACTATAATACAACATTTCAAATTGCTTAAAAAGTACATTTACATTGTAGATGTCAATGGGCTCCAGTAACCACATAACACCAGGTGGGCTGTGAGCTCGTCCAACCATCTAAGCAATAAATAAAAAAAACATTTGACAATTTTTTCAGTGTTCTGCATCCATTTAGTAATGTAGAAATAAAAGTTTAATTTAAAACATTAATTTGTATGTTACAAATACATATGTTATAATAAGATGGACCTTGGAATAAAATACTAACTTGCTTAACAGAGACATTAGGAGCAGCAGTGGTGGTAGGATTATTCTCATCATTGCAATCACCAGCTTCAGAAAGTTTCTTTAAAATTTGTTTGAGAACCACTTTAAAAGCATCCTGAGCTGTGCCTAACTGGTCATTTGGTACTGAAACAATTACAACCAAAAATTCTTAAACATTTTAATTTGATGTACATTGTTGATACTTTTCCTACATTTCATTTTGATATAACCATTGTGGGACCCCGTGTTTTAAGAAGTAATATGAGTCATATGCAGCCAAGTAGAGTAATTATATATGTACAGAAACCAGTAAATAGTAGAGGAGGAGAGCCAAAAACCAAGATGCCACACCAATTTGGATAGGCTTGTGTCCAGCAGGTGAAATTCAGTTAATCTCAGCTTGAAATCGCTAGTATGTTGTTTCTTCTTCTTGTTCATTTGAGGAATATTTCTTACATAAAGGACTTTCATAAAAGAATAAAATAATTTGTTACTTACAATTATTGGCATTGATACTGATGAAATGTGCAGAGAGACATGCAAAACATGTGTAGAACAAATCATACATGTCTTCATGATTCTGGAACTCATTCTCACTGGAAAAAATATTTCATGTACTGTCAAAATTGCAAAAATTTTTTTTTGGGCCTCTTTCTGGCCTCACTTGTATTATAAATACAGTAGTTGAAATTTTAAAATTCACAAATTGTAAAGTTCAATGCGTTGTAAAGTATAATGGGTTCAGGAAAAAATTCATTAGTGATTCAGCAATAAATAATTTTCGAACAATGTTAGATTGCGGGTAGTCCCAAGCACAAGCACAATGGATTTTCTTGTAGCCTTAAGATAATAACTCATCTCATATTCTCATATGGAAGACACCTCATATTGAACTAAAATTCTATTAAAATAATGAATAATGCACAATGAATGGAGCAACCAAAGCATCGATTTCTTCAAAAGTGTGAAAATTATGTTCAATACCTCTTAATAACTGCTTGAATTATCTCTACAGCATCGTTTTTATCGAAAAAAGGACCGTAGAGAGCTGTTAAAATTGGTTTCACTGTATTAGCCCATTCAATGTTTCCTCCCGAAGCTGCCATTTTCGAGAAGAAACTGTAATCAAATTATTTTTCTGAATTACTCCAGTTACTGAAACGAAAGTGACGTATCGTAGTATTTCGATTTTCATCAGAATTTGACATTTCTGACAAATACATATTTTTTTTTCATCAATGATGTAGGTATGCCTAAGTGTTAAAATACTGCCAGTCTCTCACTATCTATGCTTTTTTAAAAGTAAGGATTACCTATTTGGCAATTTTTTTTACAGGGGGCAGTTCTTCTTTCAGATACCCCCACTGAGTGGATGATAGGGTGGATTGGCGGCTATAGCAATTAATTAAAACGTAAAAATACTTGACACATTGTGTTTACTTGTATATGAGAAAATAAAAATATAATTCCGAATGACACCGCACATCAAAAGAAAGGAACAATACAAATTCAAATATAGTGCATCATAGACAATTACACGTGGACAGCATCACAACCTTCCAACACCTTCTCCTGATGTTCACATGTTTCTATACATGCATTAAATCTTGCACAGTGTCTTTCAAATTTTACTTTTGACAATGGTTTTGACATTACGTCAGCTAACTGATTTTTTGTGGGACAGTAGCTAATATTTATTAATCCATGCACGAAGTGTTGATGTATAAAATGGTACCGTACGTCTATGTGCTTCGACCTTTTGTTGAAGGATCCAGACTTCACAAGTTGAATCGAACTTTGGTTATCAACATGCAGATTTATTTTTATGTCCAAACCGGTTATTTCCTGTAATAGAGATTTGAGATACAATGCCTCTTTGCAACAGTCGGCTGCGGCTATGTACTCGGCTTCAGTCGACGCTAGCGCTACTATAGGCTGCCTCTTAGATGGTCCATCGGCTATCATTAGCACGGAACCAGAAGTGCCTCTTCGCGTCAATGGGTCTCCAGCATAATCAGAGTCACTGTAAGCATCGATATTCTCTATCGGTTTGTTTCGTTTAAACAAAATGCCTTTCTGTTTTGTTCCCACTAAATTCTTTAATATTTTCTTGATGTTTGTAACGTCTTCTCTAGTGGGGTTTTCGACCTTCCTATACTCGATACTTGATCCGTCACATTATCCTTACCTACAATCTCAATGTCAAAGAAAAACAAATGGCTTAGGCCTTGTCCGCACAGCGATATTTCACCGCGAGGTTTTTATTCGCGCGTATTAAATTCCGCGATCGGCATTACACCTAGTACGCACTGCGAATAAAATTTTGTACTATTTTCGTCAGTTTATTTAAGTTCTCGGCTGAGACGCACGTGTAAAATGGACAACCGAACAAAAATTTTAATTTATCTAATGCTAAGATGGCGTAACAAACGTATCAAAATATTTCATGACAATTGGATTCACCCACTTACGGCATTGAGACCCATGAAAGTTTTTTCTACATAAAATATTAAGAGTGCGAAAATATAGCAAAAAGTTTTTTGGCTATTACAGAATGACAAAAATATCATTCGATAATTTACTACAACTACTTTACTACATCTTTTCAATAGCGAGGTTGTAGGACTATGAGCGAAACGCGTGAATTTTATTCCTTTTTTTTTTTTTTTTGATTGAAGGATTACTGGTGGCCCGGAGGCCTTTCCAGTTTCACCAGGACAGGTGGGCGAGCAAAGGCTCAGCCAGGAGGGGTGGGATTTGCTAACAGCTACCCGAGCGCCTCCGAAGGAGCCCTAACAGCTCAAGAGCAGCTGCTTCGCGAATGAATCTACTACCGGATCGGAATCGCGACCCGCTGAGAAGATCCGGCGAGAAACTCAGCGGGCNGCTTTGATGTCTGGGCCGGAAGCTCGGAGGCGGTTTTGGCGGGCGACGCGGCGATTTATTTTCGGGGCTCGGGGGCATCCGCGGTAATTTGCGGGGTGACCCTGTGTTCGACACAGGACGCAGCTAGGCGGTTCTGTCGCGGTTTTTTGATCGCGAGTGCATAGGGCCGTGGCGTGATCGCCTAAGCACTTGACGCATCGGGGGCGAATTTTATTCCACAGTGCGAACATAGCCATACTTACTTTATACGATACAAAATATTCGCGCGGAAATAAATCGCACCGCTTCGCGTTCAATTTGCATCAAGCCACAGATTTTTTTCCCGCGCGATTTCTTTCCCGCCAGTGCGGATACTTCTATAATATTAAATGTGTTACAGAATTACGAGAAAAAAATCGCGCGGTGAAATATCGCTGTGCGGACAAGGCCTAAATATTACCAAAAATTGCCAAGTTATTCTATAATTACAATATTGGCAAAATAATAACTTTTTGGCGGAAATTCGAGGAACGAAGCTTTCAAATATTAATCTATGAGCGTAGCAGTGTCAATTGTTTTATTTATTTTATGTAGTGTCTTTTCAGATTAAAATGCGTAATAATGGTGGTTAATTGACTGTATAATACCTTTGAAAGTGCACAAATGAACGAATATGCAACAAAGTCGTTAAATATAGCTTCTCGGGATCTTTTTAAAAGTCCATTGAAAAAGTCTCAGAAAATAATTCCCATTTTACTGAGACTATATTTCATCTCATCTCATTACATTTCATTTCATGCCAATTGATTATTGTTCCAAATTAATCAACTTCATATAATCATTTATCATAGGCAAAAAAATATATAAGATTAGGCTGTATGGTATCATACTTTTGCCTTTCCAGTTCGAAAATAGAACACATACTCCTACTAAAATATTTTTTAAGGGATTTTATGGCACGGTAACTAAGATCTTTAGGTCAACTCTTAATAAAATTTATATTCTTATTTTTATGAAAAATGATAATATGAAGTGAAATGAGATGAGATGATATGGTATAAAATATAATCTCACTATGATAGTGGTCATTTACTGATACTTTTTAGTGAATTTTTTGGAGGATGGATAAGGTCTCAAGTATAGTTACAATGGCTGTCCCACCCTTCAAATCGAAACGCATTACTGCTTCACGGCACAAATAGGCAGGGTGGTGGTACCTACCCACGCGGATTCACAAGAGGTCCTTCCACCAGTAATTACGCAAATTATAATTTTGCGGGTTTGATTTTTATTACACGATGTTATTCCTTCACCGTGGAAGTCAATCGTTAACATTTGTTATGTATTTCATTAGAAAAATTGGTACCCACCTGAGATTCGAACATCGGTGCATTGCTCAACACGAATGCACCGGACGTCTTATCCTTTAGGCCACGACGACTTCATATTTCATACTATATTATCTCATTTCATTTCATACCACTTCGTATTACCATTTTTCATAAAAATAAGAATATAAATTTAATTAAGACCTGACCTAAAGGTATTAGTTACCGTATCATAAAATCCCATAAAAAGTTCATTTAACGATTATTATTTACATTTTACATTTAGATTTCAGATTCTTCATTTAACTACATTGTCTAAAGTCTATGATAGTAATAAAATGACTGAAGAACAATCTAGAAAACGCAAAATAACTGATGAAAATGGGACTGACAAACAAGGTACTTGATAATGCAATTCTAACCTTCTATGATTCTGCACTCTACTGCTATTTGTAATCAAAGTATTATTATATTTTCAGGACGATATTCGAAAACTCAACAAATTCAATGTCCTTACCTGGATACTATCAATCGGCATGTTTTAGATTTTGACTTTGAGAAATTGTGCTCGGTTTCATTGACTAGAATCAATGTTTACGCTTGCTTAGTGTGCGGTAAATATTTTCAGGTAACAAAATATTTATGCAATTGTCATGGCTTTGGTGATTAGAGGCTTGAACTTTTTTTTACAGGCAAGTTACTTGTTTTCATGATGACGATTTTTATGAGCGCCAGTGTTGTTCCTGGCATTTCATTCCAGTTCTTTGCTGTAGTGATATGTAAGATAGGTTATTTATGTTGACTTAGGCATAAATTTGAATTAATTCACTTGCGAAAAAATCATTAAAATATATCTACTTTCCAGGGAAGAGGCACCAACACTCATGCCTACACACATTCAGTGGCTGATGGACACCATGTATTTTTGAATCTTAACACATTAAAGTTCTATTGTCTTCCTGACAATTATGAAGTTATTGGTAAATTACATATTTTTAACTTGGTTAGCTAAAATAGCTTTTATGTTAGATATAAATTAATTATAAATAAAATAATGATAAGATATAAATTAATTCAGTCAATTGTTGATTTTGTGCATTGAAAATATTTATAACATATGATTAAGAATTGGTGCATTTTACAGTTGTTAACCAATGCGATAACTTAAAATAAATTGTTAGACTTTATTTTTGTAAGTAAATTAATAATAAGGAAAATTTGACTGATTTTTAAAATTTTATACACCAAAATGGAATCAAGTAAAATACTTTTAAGCTTAAATTTAGGTATCAATGACTAGAAGTACAGTAAAGCTTTAAAACTTGTAATAGTCTAATGGAAAAGACACCCAGTGCATTTGTATTGGGCAGTGCAACTGTGGTGGTGTTTGAATTCTGTTGGCAGGTACCAATTTTTTGTTATATTTATTTAACACATATTTAAAAAATTTAACACATTCACAAATTACTTCCTTGGTGAAGGAATGTATCAAATCCCATCTTGTGATTATAATAAAACTTGCATAAATTATAATTTGTTCTAAGGGTGACTTAAGAGCTTGCATTTGTAAGTACCACCACTCTGCCTATTTCTGCCGTGAAGCAATAATGTGTATTGGTGAAGGGGACAGCTACTGTTGTACTGTAAAACTGAGACTTAGAACTGTAATCACATAGCATCAGATGAGCCGGGAGCTAATCTACCTATCACAGCAATAAAAAAAGACAATTTCACATTTTAGACTCTTCATTGAATGACATCAAATATGTTTTGAACCCAACATTCACACCTGAACAGATCAAGCTTATAGATACTAACACAAAAATGTCACGAGCCATTGATGGCACAATGTATATGCCTGGCATTGTAGGCCTTAATAATATCAAGGCCAATGATTACTGTAATGTAATTTTGCAGGTCAGTATATGTTCTTATTAAATACATTTTATGATATGTACTGTTTTTATGGTATGGTAAATTCGACTTATATTTTTGTTGCCGGCGATCTGTGAAAGTAGATGTGTTACAGTCAAACTGATTCTGTTTTAATCATTATGTATATCTGTAGTGAATAATTACACAGTGCCACAAAGTCTTTATACTAAATTCATTTTATGATTTTAGTGTTTGTCACAAGTACGTCCCCTACGTAACTACTTTCTGAGGGAAGAGAACTATGCTAGTGTAAAAAGACCACCTGGGGACTCGTCTTTTTTACTTGTACAAAGATTTGGTGAATTATTACGCAAACTATGGAACCCCCGTGCTTTTAAAGCACACGTATCTCCTCACGAGATGTTGCAGGCTGTTGTGCTGTGGTCTAAGAAGCGATATCAGTTTATTAAGCAGAGTAAGATTTTAGTAGTTTTTTGGATATACGAACATGCTTCCTTAGTGTAATTTCTGTATATTATGCTAAAAAGTATGAATATTGATTGATCAGTTTTATATTTTAATTATATATTATTATTGTTTTATAATAATAACACAAATTTATATTTTTGCTCAGGTGATCCAATAGACTTTCTGTCTTGGTTTCTAAATTCATTACACATGGCACTGAATGGTACAAAGAAGCCAAATAGCTCCATAATTTATAAGTCATTTCTGGGTCACATGAGGATCTACACAAGGTAAGACTTAAGCATCTGATTTTTTAAAGTTGAAAGTATTTAACATTTAAACTATCATTATATGCAGTCAAAAATTTGTGAACAGACTGAAATTTTCAGAAAGTTGCCACCGCCGGATGCTGATGATGCAGCTAAAGTCGACCTTAGCAGTGAAGAGTACAATGAAATGATCACTGAGTCTCCATTTTTGTACCTCACATGTGACTTGCCTCCAACGCCATTGTTCACTGATGAGTTCCGTGAAAATATTATTCCACAGGTGAAAATACCTAGTATTGTTGCAATTTAAAAATCGTATTCACTAACTTTTTTTATTTTTTTATTAAGACTGGTTTTTTTTATATCAATTCACATCCACTGAAATAGTATTTAAAACCAAAAACTTAACATAAAAACTATTTGAAATTTCTGATGAATATTTTTAACATTCTTGTGATATTACAGGTAAATCTTTACCAGCTGTTGTCGAAATTCAATGGTCAAACATCAAAAGAATACAAGACTTATAAAGAAAACTTTTTGAAAAGATTTGAAATAACACAGCTGCCTCCTTACCTAATTCTTTACATAAAAAGGTTTACGAAAAATACTTTTTTCGTCGAAAAGAATCCTACAGTTGTAAACTTTCCTGTCAAGTGAGTTTTTATTGTTCAGACCTTATTTGATAGAAAATAGTAGATTTAAGCTTGTATTGAATAACAAATTTAACTAAATTTAAAATTATCAAAACAGTTGAAAAATCGCGTTTATTTATTAAAATGATATTGGCATTTTGAACATTATTATTCGCAAAACGCAACGCTTTTCTGTTCTGGCCATAGAAGTGTTTTAAAAATGTCCATCATTCACAACAATGTTAGTTGTCTAAATTAATTAACCTATTTTATTTTAGAAACGTCGATTTTGGCGATATACTGACTGCGGAAATTAAGGCGAAACATAACGGAAAAACAATATACGAACTGGTTGGTAACATTGTTCATGATGGAACACCTGAGAAAGGGACATACAGAGCTCACGTTTTGCATAAGCCTACACAGCAGTGGTAATTATTACATATTTACTCATGGCAGGGGTGCGCTATCCGCTTGAGTGATGCCGAGTACCAATACAATTATGCCAACACTTTACTTGTCTTTTAAGATATTTCATCACAAAAAAATGTTTTAAAGAGTCCACACCCATCTTTAATTTATGTATTTTTCAATGCTTACTAATATTCACGTCAGTATTTTAGAGGTACCTACCTATTATAGAGGTTGTTTTTTTATTTTATAGTCAGTTTTTTAATGCAGTCAGGTTTTTGTTTTGTCAGTATCTACCACGCTGGATATTCTGTAAATATCCGTATTAATAATTTCAAGACCACATGTTTACCTTATAAGTATTTTCCGAGAATTACGCTATTATTCCATAGACCTATATAGTAGGGACACGACATATTGTTCTATACGTACAATTGCTTATATAAATAGCACCCATTTTGAAGGCACATACATAAACATATATCTATCTCGTTCTTACTCAGCACTTTAACTCGCAGGAAAACAATATAACAGTATTTCAGTGCGTACATAAAATGAAACATGAATATACGTAAATATCTCCGTCTCCGTCTAATGAGGCCGAAAATCCGCCATGTTTAGCGCGCCAAATGTCATTGTCACGTCAGTTCGGCCGTCTGTTTTGGGTTGTACATTATTTATTGACTTTGATATCGATTTAATATGATTGATTATATAAAATTTCATAATTTATCATGCTTAAAACATACAAAAATAATAATTAAAACGTATTTTATAGGATCTCAAGAAAGTCGATGCCCTAAAACTATTATCTATATGTATTTAAATTCATTATGGAGCCCTCATCCGAAAAATCCATTTTTCGGTCGGAATCTATTGATCATGACACTAATCATAAATACCACTTTAAAATATGTCATCAAAACATATTTAGACATTCTGTTTAGATATTTCGGGAAAAAGGCTACCGACAAAATCTCTTCGGAACTATTTAAATAAAATAGTTTTATTCCGCAGTGAGTAAAACACTATTGTAAATTTGTTAAATATTTAATAATTAAGTGATTTTAGAGAGGAAGTCACAAGGAATGACGTTTGTAATTAATGAATAAATGTTCTGTAGGTGTTTTTTTTTTCACGCGGTCCCTTGATAAGTTTAAAATTTGAATCACTCTCAAGCGAAAGTGATTCAAATGGTGCGGCGCACCTTCCTTGGGGTGCGCTGCGGTAGTATGTTACGGACTTTAGAGTCAGCAAAACAATTAAAATAGATTGTAATAGTCTAAGAAAAACACGTACTCAAAATACGATAACATTTAGCATGCTAGAAATGGGCTGATGGCTTTGAACTACGCCATATCTTTATGTTTTGCGACAAACGACAACTTTATAAAATCAGTGTAGCAACTTTTAAAAATCATCATATCGTTTACTTGGCAAATTCGAAGGACGAACTTGTCTTAGATTTCACCCATCTAAATCATATCATATTTGCACATAACAATATACCTACTTACTTCCCATTAAAGTATAAATTCTACAAATAAATAATACTCAACAATATTTAAAATAAAATGAGCCAAGAACGTTTATCGATAAAACCTGATAACATTGAAATCTTTTGTACAGCACTAAAGCCGCCATGTTTTGTGGCCAGATGACGTCACAGTGGCACGAAATTTTGGTTGACGTTTCATTTCCATAGGTTTCCTACTTCATTGTATTATTCCCATATTTCTAGGAAATTGCATTTTAGAATATATCAAAGTTCTGTTAGGTCTTTCTTATCAACTTCTTCAGTCATAGTCCCACATATTCGATGCGCCTCCTAGTTTCGAAAACCTAGGGGGAAGATCGACACTAGGCCTGAAACTCCTTCCAAGATTTTAATAATTGTAGTCAAGATAGCCTATGGCACGGTTGTAACCAAGAATAGCGTGTTTCCCAGTATATTAATAAAAACATTACTGCCAATTTCACCGGTCACCGTTCTCGTCGAACCCGTCGCTTGCGAGGGCTCGACGAGTAAATTAACTCAGACACAGCCCACTGAGTTTCTCGCCGGATCTTCTCAGTGGGTCGCGTTTCCGATCCGGTGGTAGATTCTGCGAAGCACGGCTCTTGCTAGGGTTCGTGTTAGCAACGTCATCAGGTTTGAGCCCTGTGAGCTCACCTACTAAAGTTAGGGTTACGCTGACATAGTCCCTAGGGCTATCAGCTTAGGTAGGAAAAAAAAAAAAACTGCCAATATTGAAAATTATTTTTTTGTCACAGGTATGAGATGCAAGATCTTCATGTTACCAGTATTTTACCTCAAATGATTACACTTACTGAAGCATATATACAAATATATGAACTAAAGCAGGACTGAAATGTTCATTAATAATAAATAAAATAAGTTATACATTACATACATTTCTTTTATTGAAATATACAAATTTGTGTTAAGAATTGTGTTTAACCAACTGGCCTCTGGAATGACCTCCTTACTTATAAAATATTTATTAAATATGTGGTAAAATATATTATTATATAATAGAAAATTCATACTTTACTATTTGACACAGTTTTAGAATAATTTTCACTATGCTGTGTTTCAAATATTGTAATTCTAAATTACAGAGTGGAACTGTTACTACACAATATATGTATTTTGCAATCATTTTTGTTTTATATGCAGTAGATTGCAAAATATAATAATCAGTAATAAAAAGGCAATTTCTTTATGGAAATAAGTATATAAAATATTTGTTATTACTCTACATTGGTAGGTTTGCTATGAATGAAATTTATTCAACCACCCTTTTCTTTAGAATGTTGGGTAAAAGATGTCTCTACACAATACCCATGTCTTCAATAAGATTTTACATTTTGTACAAAGTCGGATTGTTAGAAATTTTAAAAACATTGTCCAGTGTGCCAAAATATAGTACTACTGCAAACAACTTAATGGCTTTCACCTTTCTTGCCAGCTACTCTTTTAAATTCACCCATATTAGTTGTTGAGATTGGTGACCCATAGAAGGCAAGGTGATTGATTTGTGTCACTTCATCACCAGACTGGTTGTCTTTTATAAATAGTTGAATGTTTTGAACACTCTGGAATTTGACGAATTTAAGTGGTACAGGATTGCCTTCCAAGTCGCTCGGAGTTAGCCTGAAAATAAATATGATATCAGTCTTGTCTTTCATAATCATTTTTTTGCAGATTGTTGATCTTACGTGATTAAATTAGCATTAGCTACTTAACCTACTATTTATAAAAAGGTATGAATGCTATTTCCTGTATCATTGTATTTATTCACCTTGTTTTTCTATCAAACTTATTTACTCTTGAATACCAGTTATAGGTTACAATCCTCCATGGCTGGGCACTACCATTAATTCTTTAAGTCACGTCTTGTGACTTTCATCACAAAGGTAGAGAATCAGAATTGTGAATATTTTAAGGTGGGTAGCAGAACTCATCTTGTGATAACTATGCCATACTAGTATAATAGAATAAAAAAAGAGCTCACTCTAAGTCTTGCACTGATGAGTAACCAGCAGCCTGATCAAAGTCCAAAGTTCTGGGTTGATTGATGAATAACTTTATAGATTTGGGTCCTTTGTCAGCTGGACCTTTGATCTTTATTGAATGCAGTTTTACTAGCTGAAATTTTTAAGTTATATGTAAATTACTAATTTAAGCTTGTCATATTATGTTTAGTTTAGAATAATGATGATGTAGGTGTATTGTAAAATTTTATGAAAACTATTTTACACATAGACGTTTTCAAACCATACATATACAGTCGCTGACGTTCAGCAAGCAATCTATGTAACTCACTCATTATTGGGCTAAGGCTTTGGAGAGCAAAAACGAAGTTCTCGCTGTGAGCCTCAATATCCTGAATGTCTTTGACAGATCTTAGCATCTTTTGACCAAGTAACCAGCTTACAGAATTCCTGGGGGACTTCAGGTGGATCACCAAAGTTCTGAATAGAAACAGTATGAAAGTTGGTCGGAGCAGCAAAGAGGATTGGCAAAGTATACTCGTCATCAGTTTTTTTGAAACAGGCCACCACATCTTGTGTCAAAAGTCAAGAATTATCTGTGGTAGATCTGTGAGCGGTGTGAATTAACTTTAGTTGTACAGCTGGAACCACTGCAGTAATCCACAGTGCATTTCCAAACATCTTAATTGAAATATAATCTTGTCAATGACTGAACCTACCTTACCTATGACAGCTCTTTCTTTAAATGAGATTTAAGAATTCTCAGCAATAGGCAGAAGTTTACCTATGTCCTGGCCATTACTGATGTTCATGAGCAAATATGTATTACCACCAGATGGAAACTAATGACTTTTATGTAAAAATGAGCATGAACAAATTTTTATTGGTCATATTGATGGTTTTTTTGCTATTATTTTTTATATGAAACAGTTTAAATACCTAATTTAAAAACCTACTAATACTTTAAGTTTTTTTGTCAAGTATGTAATTATTCTACTACAATAAAGTAACTTATTGAAGATATAATTTTTTTAGGAACAATATATTTGCAATTATTACTATTAAAAGATATGTTTATATTTTACTGGTGGTAGGACCTCTTGTGAGTCCATGCGGGTGGGTACCACCGCCCTGCCTATTTCTGCCGTGAAACAGTAATGAGTTTCGGTTTGAAGGGTGGGGCAGCTGTTGTAACTATACGCAAGACCTAAGAACTTATATCTCAAGGTGGGTGGCGCATTTACGTTGTAGATGTCTATGGGCTCCAGTAACCACTTAACACCAGGTGGGCTGTGAGCTTGTCCACCCATCTAAGCAATAAAAAAAAAAGTACTTTGGATGATGACCTGATGCTAGACTTTTTTATGATTAAACTAGACATTGTTCTACAATTTGAGAATGTAAGACCACAATTTGTTCCATACTCAACTTTCAAATATTTCATTTTTTTGGTTGGACAGACTTAAAATTAACTCATTTCACCCAAGTTGTACTATTACAGCACACAAAAAGTATAGTGTAATAATTAACAAATTTTGTTTTTTATATCAAAAATCTTAATTGGTGAAATTTCCTTATTTGTATACCTTTGTTTGTTATTGTGAAATGCATGCATAAAGTACCTGATTGAATGATATATTGATTATCAATTGTTCATCACAGTAACTAGCAAGGTATCCCCTGTCATTTGTCAGTGCTTGGGCAAGTGGATGATCATCAGCCTCATTTAAACATTCACACTCACTCTTGGTAATGAATGTAATAAGATCCATCTGAAAAAATTTTAATGTTTTAAAAAGTAGTAAAATGAAAATTCTACATGTTTTTGTTAATTTCATAAGCATTTTCATCACTTTTCATGAGTTTTAGTAATTATTAAAAAAAAATCGTTTAATCTGGCATCATCATATCATTTTTTATTTAGATTATTTTCGCTTATGCAGTATGTCTCAAGGTTTGCATTTGTAAAGCTTGCATATTTAAACATAAAGCTATCAGGAAATATATGATGCTAACCTGGAACATTTCTAAACACAGGTATGTATCCCATCTTGAGCCTACATCCTTATAAAAATACCACAGAATTAAGACAACATACTGAAGATTATGTTGAAAATGATGTGATGATCTTAAGCTCATCTGTGCTCTTTTAAAAGTTTGACAGGTAGAACAACATGATACAAAATACATATTTGATACATAATCTTTTTAAAGTGATACAAAACATTAAAATAGTAATAAAAGTTTTAATTTATGTTCTAACTTTGGGTATGTAGATTTTTGTCTATTACTTATATGAAAGGGTTTTAACTCAATTCTATACATTGAGAGGATAGTCCGTATTTTGAATTGTAATAAATAAGAAAGATAATATGAAATTTGAGTAAATATTTTCAACTAACATGTCCAGCAACAGTATTGTCTTCATCTTCTTCTGCAACATCAGAGCCATAATACTGTCTAACTTTGTTTTCTAGTACAGTAGTATTGCCTCCTTCTAGTCTGTCGATTTTGGTCTATAATGAAAACGAAGTTTTGTTTAAGCACTGAGGAACATTTCTAATGAAACAATAAGTGTTATTTTCTTGCTAGTTAATTCTAGCTTAGATATTTCTAGAACGTACCCTGTTTCTGTAGAAAATGAATGTGGGCATTGCACTGACGCCCTGAGCACTCGCTGTATCGGCGCATCTGTCTACGTCTACTTTGAGAAATACTGCTCTCGGAAACTTTGCTGGTAGCTGCTCGAAAAAAGGGGCAATCCTTTGGCACGGTGGACACCTATACAAACCATATAATAAAATAGCTTACAAATACAATAGGCAATGACTCGAAGTTTTGATCAAAGTTTACTTACCAAGTTGCTGTAAAGTCCACAACGACTAACTTGGTTCCAGCGTTAGCCATTTCAGTCTGGAAATGAGCATCATTTTGAATTACAGTGGCTAAGCCCATGGTTTAAAACAAATTCAATCGGAAGTGCTGATAAACTCGAAATTAGGCTATGTATATCGACGTCTCTCTGACGACGAGAATGATATTTCAAAATGGTTGAATTTTGACATATAAAGCTTTTTTTGTTATCGGCCGTTTGTAACTTGACTTTTTAGCTCAACTTTGAGAAAAACACAAAACAAATTGCAATTTCTTTTTAGAAAAAGACTGAAAAGCTTTGATTTTTGAGCCTGTAACAATACATACAATAACGGTTAGCATTTCAATTTTACGAAGAAACAATAATTATATAGCTGGCAAGAAATTCAGAGATCAAGCTTGAATTTAGTGCTGCTTAACCAAAACTAGAACTCGGAATTTACGATCAGTTATTCAAGTTGATTTACATCATGCTTGAGTAGCAAAACGAATTAACAATTAATTTCTTTTTTTATCCGGTCGATAGATTACGAGTGATAACATATGGTACTGAGACGTGGTCGCTCACAATGGGCCTTATCAGAAGGCTCAAGATCACCCAAAGAGCAATAGAGAGAGGCTAGGCTTGTAGGTTCCCTGCGATATCAAATCAGGTATGAGGAGATTCGCAAGAAAGCCATAGTATACGACATAGCCTAAAGAATTGCGACGTTGAAGTGGCAGTGGACATGGTACATTGCCCGTAGAACAAATGAATGATTGAACTGAAAATTTCTAGAGTGGCGACCGCGTACCTACCGAAAGACACAGCGTGAGTAAGCTTCACATAAGATGGACTGACGAACTTTTGAGTTTCGTGGGGATCCGCTGGATGCAGGCAGCACAGGACCAGGCGTCGTAGCTAGGCTTGGAGGAGGTCTATAGCCAGTAGCGAAGTAATCTAATTACTGTATTGTCATCAGTCTACTGGAATATTAATTAATAAGCAAAATTCATAGCACGAAAAGGTCAATAATAGTCAATTACGTGAGGTATTTTCACATTCGACAACAATTCTAAGTTGTTTTTTGGAATATTTTATGGCTTGGTTACGAGATCTTTATGCCAAGCGGTTTTTAGAATACAGTCTCAATCCGTGCGGTGGCCTTCAGTGTTGTGTAAAATGGTATTATTGTTTAACAGTAATCCAAAATTATCTCCAAGCTGTAGGAAGTATCTACTTACAATTTTGAATTCTTATCCCATCTATTGCATAATTATAGTTTAAAATAAATTTGGACAAATTGAGACTAGATTATTGATTTATTTAACTAAAAATTTAAAAAATACGCTTATACACATAATATAAATGCTGCTACATAGAATTATTTTTAGAAATCGAGCTTAAAATTATACTCTCTATTACAGACAAATTGTTGAGACCATTTTCAGAATCTAAAGATTTTAAATAATGCTTCAATGTATTGACCGCTTGAAGCGCCGTAACTGATTTGTTATCAATGGTTTCACCATTGTTAATGATGATTTTATTAACTTTTTCTTTTATATTATTATCTGTAAATGTTGATTCTTGGTTAACGCCTTTTTCTACTTCACACGTCGCTAATTCATAATCAACATACAAATAGTCTTGGTATTTCATCAATATTTGTTCTTTGTATTCGTCATCTTCGTCATCAACCTCATAATAGTCTCCGAAACCGGATTTCTTAAAATAAGATTGAATTGTATGAGCTTTAATGGACTCAAATACATCAGTGAGGTATTTCAAGCACTGTTTAAAATCAACAGCTAGTCCCTCCTTGTATTTTTCAATCAATTTAATCCTATAATTCTGCTTAATAACCTTAATAATGCCTTGAGACATAGGCATTTCATGTTCAGCTTCAGGGGGTATGATAACCAAGTTTATGTTATTCAAGATTATGTCCTTTGGATGCACTGGACTCTCATCAACGAACAATACCACCAATCTCCCCTGAATTTCAAAATATTCGTCAAGAATGTATAACCAGTTTGTGAAAGCCAGTTTTGTCATCCAAGACTTAGGGTTAACTTGATATTGGCAGGGCAAGTCTTTATCTGAATTTTCAGTATTACCAATAATGAGTAGTGGTAATTTTTCTGATCCAATAGAATTCGAACATGCCAATACCGTGAACCGTTCTTCTGGCATTGTACCATCTTTACATATCTTGTCTACTGTAGTAGACATGTCGTTTGGCATTAGCTTGTAAAACAATCCGAATTCATCAGCATTAAAAACATCACACGGTTCATAGTCTTTGACTAGTTCTTGATAGGATTCGTAAGTAAGGTCGGAGCCGTCATCACTGTCAAAGTCATTGTTTAACGAGAACGCGTGGCGCTGCTTAAAACGACTGTACCAACCACTGGAAGCCGTGAAATCGTAGACTTCTAATTCTTTAGCGATTTCTAAAGCTCTTTGTTTCATCATTGGCCCGTCCAGGGGAATATTCTGGGCGTTCATACTGACGATCCAGTCGATCAAAACATTCTCAATTTCAACATATTTACCGCTTTTATTTTTCTTTCGTTTCAAGTATGCACCACTTATGTTTTTGCATCTATTTTCTACATCAGCCCTGTATTTTACAATCGTCGATAGTGTTGAGACAGGAATTTCAAGTTCAGCTGCTATTTGAGATTTTTTGTAATCTTGTGATTTTTTGTCGTAATATTGTAATATTTTCAATTTATCGTGAAATGAAAATGCTTTGCGTTTAGTCCTGAACGCCATTTTGTCGTTGTAACAGTACGTCCCAAGCCTTCGTAAACTTAGTTTGTCACTTAAGTTTATACAAAATAACGTATACCCAGCACAACGTATTAAGCGGCACTGAAGTATACGGAGATCGCGATCGAATACAACGGAACTGCTAGCGACTCCAAGTGAACAACGTATTAAACGACCCAACGTCATTACCTTATTAGTAGTATGGAAATTATTAAAGATAATAATTAAAATGTATGATTTTGAAATGATAATCTATTTTTATAATATTCAAACTATTCATTTTAATCAATAAAATTATGTGTGTGTGTTTATTTTTATATTTAAGTGCCATCTGTTGGCTAACCTGAAAGCTAACAGTTACAGATTATACATGTTGCATACCTACAATTAATTATTTATTGTGCATTAAAAATGAAAATCAAACCCGTTAAAGACACAAGTTTGCGCGTTAACTGCGAAGAACGACCCCTTTATCATGGGTACCGCAATTCCAAGGAGTATCCCTGCAACCTTCCGAGAGTATCGGGATACTTGGGGTCGACATTTCGAGCGATGTCCAGTTTCGGAGTCATTTGGAAGGCAAAGCCAAGTTGACGTCCAAAATAATGGGATTCCTCAACAGAGCGAAGCGGTACTTTACGCTTGAACAAAGACTTTTGCATTTTAAAGCACAAGTCCAGCCTCTCGTGTAGTACTACTCCCATTTCTGGGCCGTGGCTCCGAAATACCAGCTTCTTCCATTTGATTACATACAGAAGAGGGTCGTTCGGATTGTCGATAATCTCATTCTCACGGATCGTTTGGAACCTCTGGGCCTGCGGAGGGATTTCGGTTCCCTTTGTATTTTGTACCGTATGTTCCATGCGGAGTGCTCTGAGGAATTGCTTGAGGTGATCCCCTCATCTCCTTTTTATCATTGCACCTCCCGCCATCGAAGCAGAGTTCATCCACATTATCTGGAACCGCTGCGTTCATCGACAGTGCGTTTCCAGAGGTCTTTTTTGCCACGTACCATCCAGCTATGGAATGAGTTCCCCCCCATGGTGTTTCCCGGGCGCTATGACATGTCCTTCTTCAAACGAGGCTTGTGGAGAGTATTAAGCGGTAGGCAGCGGCTTGGCTCTGCTCCTGGCATTGCTGAAGTCCATGAGCCACGGTAACTCACCATCAGGTGGGTCGTATGCTCGTCTGCCTACGCGGATAGTAAAAAAAATATATCGCGAGTCGCGGCCATCTCAAATATATGTGTATATAGCTATTTTGTATGTTAAGAAGATATTATAGTCTAATTTAAAATCGGTATTGCATACCGAGAAGAATAAGTTTTCAAGTGTCTTAACTTAAAACATACTATTAATAATTTTTGCATGAAGTCGTCGTGGCCTAAAGGATAAGACGTCCGGTGCATTCGTATATAGCGATGCAGCGGTGTTCGAATCCCGCAGGCGGGTACCAATTTTTCTAATGAAATACGTATTTAACAATTGTTCACGATTGACTTCCACGGTGAAGGAATAACATCGTGTAATAAAAATCAAACCCCCAAAATTATAATTTGCGTAATTACTGGTGATAGGACCTCTTGTGAGTCCGCACGGGTAGGTACCACCGCCCCGCCTATTTCTGCCGTGAAGCAGTAATGCGTTTCGGTTTGAAGGGTGGGGCAGCCGTTGTAACTATACTGAGTCCTTAGAACTTATATCTCAAGGTGTGTGGCGCATTTACATTGTAGATGTCTATGGGTTCCAGTAACCACTTAACACCAGGTGGGCTGTGAGCTCGTCCACACATATAGGTAATAAAAAAATAAAAAAATAGGTATGAGATATAACTTTATACGCAAATTGTTGAGTGCCCCTAGCTTTTATTGCCAAATCGCTCCCGTGGCTTTTCGTAAACTGATTACGTTATTGATGTTCCGAATAATAAAAATAATAATCTCTCGACCTGTAATAAAGTTATGCCGGTGCGAGTAACGCTACCTGTGGTCAAATATCAAGAATAAATATCGAAACAATTAGAAATGTTTATTGAATGCGATAGAAAGTTCTCGAATGTTCCAGTTTTATCGAGAATGTTCTAATACTGACAGAAAGTCAGTTCTATTCGAAGCAAATCAACAAGCAAAGAAAAATAAATTGCCATACTGAAGTCTATTTTTATTTAATCTGAGAGCATTTGCTACATTCTTCGTAGGAAGAGCAGAGCTTCGCAGAATCTACCATCGGATCGGAGTCGCGACCCAGTGAGAAGATCCGGCGAGAAACTCAGCGGGCTGTGTCTGTGGATTAATTTACTCGTCGAGCCCTTCGTCGCAAGTGACGGGTTCGGTGAGGACGGTGACTGGTGCTTGAGGTACCTAAAAGCAACGTTAATGGAACGGGAGGATCCGTAATGACGTGTTTACGGCGACGTCGACAACGTGACGTTTGAATAGCTGCCCCAAGCATCAGGACTTTTTCCCTGACTTTGTGGATATCTATGAACGATGGTCACCACGCACCATGTAGTGCATGCATCCTATGCTGCTCGTCTGCCTTTAAACACAAAAAAAAATATACGAAAAAATTGTTCGACGAGAACGATGACCGGTGCTTGGGGTAACTGAAAGCACCGTTAGTGGATCGGGAGGATCTGAAATGATGTTTTTTGGGCGACATCGACTGTATACCATTCGGTCCGCAGGATCGGGAATGTAGTTACAGGCGGCCACGATGAGAGAGTTCTCGTGTCGCTTTCTCGAAATGGCGCATTGATGCCGACTGTAGATACTTACTGACGGACTCTAGGTCCATGTCGTCTCATTTCTAACATATCATGGGGCTCCGACAGCTATCCTGCAAGACCCCTGTCGAGAGTGACACTTAAGTACTTAGCCTTCGTAGCACATGTTATAGGTTGGCCAAAGATTTTATGGCGGGAATGGAGTTACCGCGCCTAATTGGTGATGAGACACTAGCAGCAGTGTCGAGAGGGCGACCCCTTTTGAAGAGCACGGCTGTGCTTTTCATGCCGTTGATGTCAATACGCCACTTCTGGAACCACTGTCCTAAATTGGTGGTCGCGATCCGGAGTTTACTATGCATGAATGACATCTTCCTACTCGAGTAGTAGATATCGGTATCATCCGCGAAAAAGGCTAAGTGGGTCGCCGGCGTCCGGGGTATATCGTTAATAAAGCAAAAGTAAGCAAGTAAAAGTTCAGCATTTTTCAAGTAATGTGATTACCAAAGTACAGCGTCTCATCTTTATATATATATAACCATAGGCAGATGAGGCCGTGGCTCCATTCGATAATAGCCTATCAAAGGAACCTATAGACGCAACGCCTTAACTGCTTCACCCATATGTTTCGCCTTGGTGCAGTATTTATACAATACAATTTAAATTTCAAACTTATAAATATTGCAAATGGTGGCGATTCCTCCATCCAGGGCAAAGCCAATCGTTTAGAAATAAGAAATAGAAATAATGCAACTATTATTTTGAGAATTTTAGGTATTTGGTTTAAGTTTGACCCGAATATCCAATGATGTCATGATTACGAATGAAAACAGCATTACGTCAATGACGTAGAGTTTGGAACATTGTAAAATGTAATCATAAAGAGGTGAGAAAATATCCACCCGTGATTGAGCAATAAAATACATATAATAATATTATAATACTCGTAATAGACTCACTTCTCAAGGCTAGCCGTTGTATTCACAATGTGGTGTTTTTCAAACAATTTTTCTTGTTCAAGACATTTGCTGGGAAAATATAAGCAGAGAAAGTTTTCACACTTAATCATTATTTATAGCAATATCCAATTTTAGTCAAGGCACGATTTGCACCACGCCACCCGCGGCGGTGCTTATTCACGGCTTATCCCGGCAATAATTTACTCAAAGCTCTCAGAATGGGCAGTGTTTTTTTTTATGTGAAAGATTGTACTGGTGGTTTTATTAACCTTTAATAATAAAACGATGTTATGTGTTATCTGAATTATAATAATAATAAAATCAACTTTTGTTTTGCTGACTTGTATTAAAATTAGAGTTTAAATACTTATCATTTTAGGCGTTGGTACTTGGATTTTATTATCCACTGCCACATTAACCGTAAAAATAATTTATAGAAACAGTGTTTAAAAGTTGCATTACAATTTTAGTTTAATATGTAAATACATTTAGACGTCTATCTATTAGTAATATTGAATACTGTTAAGTTGGTTTAAATTTATGAGAATCAGGGTATGTGTAGTTGGTTTTTAGAATTTAATCTAAAATATAGGACATAAATAAAATTTGAAAAATTAAGCCTCGGGTTTTTTATTTTACTTTATTTGATTGGGTAATACTAGTAATAGTTACTCATCGACATTTGAGTATTTTGATACTATATATGTTATATACCGAAGCCAATATGAAATAGATAATGATACTAAAGCCCTTTTGGATTAATAAGCCCGTCTTTTTTATTTTGCAAACTACCCGTTTTCTTAAAGGATCCGGAATTTTACATTTACTAGTACATATTTGTAGTTCTAATTCGATAATTTAAATATGTGGTCAGCTATTTTAGAACGAACTGAGCTTTACCGCTTTTCCGCGGTGCTATGTCATTTCCAACTTCAAAGGAGGCTTGCGTAGAGTTTTGCAGCCGCAGATAGCGTCAAGCATTGCTGGCATCTATTAGCAACGGTGAATACTCATCTTCAAGTGGGTTGTATGCTCCTTTGCTTACAAAGGGAACTTTTAAAACGTATCCTTCGAAAATTACTTCTGCGGCTTAATATCCCGTTTGTTATTTTTATTATTTGCGATATTTTTTGATATTTTACGGGTTTTCGGGTCTCGGTTGACCAACAAGTCACAAGAATGAATGATTAATTAGTTATTTTATAAAAAATCTAAACTAACGCTCACTAATTCATCACAGTTATATAAGATTAGCACAATGAAAACGAATAAAATCATCTATATAATCATTCGAATATCAAAAGCTTGTGTCAAATAAATGTAGCTATAATATTTTGACTAAACAACCTTTTGTCTACGACAGTACAAAGGCTTGATTCATCTCGTTCACATTTAACGACAAATAAAAAGCGTTGCGGTCGCGGGGAAACTACAGTTTTCATTACGATTTCAGCCTGTGACTGAAACGATACATTTCGTGCGCGGAACGGAGAGTTTACTTTCCGACTTTTGTACGATGACCTTTAGAATTTACATTTTCGTATGTTATTATCTGTTAATAAATTTATTGGAGCGATGCACAAGTTCAAGAGTTATTGTACGTCGTCACGCGGGTGTAGCCGATGATCTGCCCCTTCAATATGATTTACAGGATTACATAGATTCGTTGAAAAAAATTATAGAATTCACGAGTGAACATAAATTGGATTTGGATTTGAATTATTTGTTCGGAATGTTTTTGTTACAAGGTATGGTTATTTTTTATATAAATCTCATATAATTTCAATATAAATGTTACTTTTATGTATCATGTTTAGGTGTGATAATTCTCCTAAAATATTAGTTTGATGGTAGTTTGATAAGTCCAACAATGATTATTTATTTAAAAGTTCGTTTATTCTTGTCCAAGTAACATACATTTTGAAATAATGTCTGTATATGACTATGATAAATGATCTTTGAAGCATTTTCGGGATTCTTAATAACATAGAAAACAAAATAAGACACGTACCTACGAAAAGTCGAGTAGCAATTTCTTATGGTTATAAATATAAATATAAATATATAAAAGAAACTCAGTGGGTTTTGTCGCTGGCGACGAAGGGCTCGGCGAGGACGGTGACCGGTGCTTGAGGTACCTAAAAGCACTTAATGGATCGGGAGGATCCGTAATGACCTGCTTAGGGCGACGTCGACGACATGACGCTTGGAGAGCTGCCCCAAGCATCAGGACTTTTTCCCTGATTTTGTGGATGTCTACGAGTGATGGCACCACGCACCATGTAGTGCATGCATCCTATGTTGCTTGTTTGCCTTTAAACGCAAAAAAAATATATAATTTGAATATTTCAAAATAATTGCAGCATTTTCAGAGGCCAACCTATTTACAATTTCGAATAGTAGCGATTGTTTTAATTGCTTTTAATGAAAAAAAACACTATAAAAAACTACAGTGAAATTACATTTATTTTTGCTCACTTGTTACTATCTCCAAAAATGTCACAATTGAACACTTGTTTAGAAATAATTGAAGTAGGCTTTTGATATAGTCGACCACTAATTAGGACCCACTAGAATTAGAAATAGAAAACCACTAATTAAGAAAAAATCGCACATACTCATATCTCAAGGTGGGTGGCGCATTTACGTTGTAGATGTCTATGGGCTCCAGTAACCACTTAACACAAGGTGGGCTGTGAGCTCGTCCACACATCTAAGCAATAAAAAATTAATAAAAAAAACATACGTTTGAAATCAAAATTGTTCTTAATATTCAAAATAGTTTACAAGCTCAATTATTTATACCAAATAAACACTTGTACAGGCATTGTCTTCATTTTCAGTTAACTTGAAAATTGCTGTCAAATCCCAGAACTCCTTAACAGAATCTGTGAGCAATGAAACGAACGCTATGCTAGTAGAAAACGAGAAACTTTTGAAATATTTTAAATTCAGAGTTGATACGGATTTCAATATAGAGGACAGTAAAGATAAATCAAGTGAGCATTTTTTATTCATCCAAAATGAATGTATTTAATTCAATTGGTTGTTGCATACAATTTTTTTTGCTTTAATGTATATAGGTACAATATATCGACGTACGTTTTTCTTTTAAAAATAATATTTTGTCTATGTAACCATATGTATCGGGTAACCAATCAATATATTTATACTCAGTTTTTTTGTCTTTTTCTAATTTTGTCAACATAAACAAGACTGAAAGAGATAAAAGATGATTTACCTATCTATGCCTAGATTTCTATGTTTATGAATGTAAGCTTTTTATTGTTTTACATAGGTTACAGCCCAGTTGATGTAGTTACCTAGCCAATAGACAAAACAAAGTTAATAATCTTGAAACATGTAGTCGAAGTTCTAATTGTACTGTATCCACCAAACTGGAACGCGTGATTGCTTCAAAACATAAATAAGAACTATGGTGGTGCAAGTATGTATTCAGCAGGCTTACAATGTGTCCTAACCACCATCTATAACCATTATAGGTTAATAATTACAAGAATAGCTTAGAGACCAATCAATGCTACCAGTGGTGGTGCTGTATAATTTTAATGCTGTGGCAATACCGTAGTAGAAAAGTAGAGTAAGTGGTAAAAAGTAAAAATGGTTTTAATGCAATAGAACGAATGATTATTGTATGTACTACCAGGTAAATAATAATAAAAAACCCACCTGATACATAATATTAATTTTAATGTAAAAAATTAAGTTGATTAAATAAAATATATCGTTTACAAAGCTGTGTACCGTTCAGGAAATTTGAGTATTAAAAGTATTAAAATTATTATAGTTGCAAAGCTGTTCGAAAATTGTAAAAAATGGTCTCAACGTGTACCGAGACTGCGGTTGAGGAGACGGCGCATGTCGTCTCGTCATCTTGCACACACAGCCGCGGACTTAAGGTGGAGCGAGTACAGAGCCAGCATCGATAAGTTCGATAAATGGACACCGAATCCTAAACAGTCAGGTACAAACAAAATATTAGTTCGTTATGTCTTATTGGCAACCTAATTGCGTTAATTTGATTCATGAAACAGTCCCCGTTGGGTCCCTGTGATGATTGTTAGGAGCCAGCGAGGAAGTCCTAAGAAGACTACGTGTAACGCGTTTGAGAAACAAAGCAACCGGGTGACGAACACAGCGAGGTAAAGCAGGCCTCGGAGAGTGTCGAATTTTTGTTTCTGTCGAGGTGAAGACTGAAGTTAAAAGCGGTTTTAATTAGTTCGACGAAGCTCGGCAATTTATTCTATCCTAAATAAATACTGTACAGGTTTGAAATGTACTCTGTCTCTATAAGCTAGATTTCTTTTTCTACATTAATACAAGTGATGCCGTTGTATAAGCAAGTCGTCGTGGCCTAAAAAATAAGACGTCCGGTGCATTCGTGTTGAAGCGATGCACCGATGTTCGAATCCCGCAGGCGGGTACCAATTTTTCTAATGAAATACGTACTCAATAAATGTTCACGATTGACTTCCACGGTGAAGGAATAACATCGTGTAATAAAAGTGAAACCCGCAAAATTATAATTTGCGTAATTACTGGTGGTAGGACCTGTTGTGAGTCCGCGCGGGTAGGTACCACCGCCCTGCCTATTTCTGCCGTGAAGCAGTAATGCGATTCGGTTCGAAGGGTGGTGGGGCAGCCGTTGTAACTATACTGAGACCTTAGAACTTATATCTCAAGGTGGGTGGCGCATTTACGTTGTAGATGTCTATGGGCTCCAGTAACCACTTAACACCAGGTGGGCTGTGAGCTCGTCCACCCATCTAAGCAATAAAAAAAAACTTAAGAACATCATCGTTTGTTTGAAAAATTTTCATTTTTAACTACTTAAATGGCTGGAAGAGATCACAGCACACCTAGGATACTGGTCTTCACTTTGAGACGTGAGACCACGGTCGCTACCAGGTGTACCAGGCACTCTAAATAAACAACCTAATCAATCCCTCTCCTGTCCTTGACATTATCAACAGCATAACATTTCTGAAAGAATAAAAAAATTAACTTAACTCACTTTAACCTCTTCTTTTTCTCTCCACCTTATCCCATTAGGTGGGGTCGGCACGGCGACTTTATCTACTACATTCTCTTCTATCTTCATTCGCCATCTTCACAATATTCACTCCTCTCTCTCTCTCACATATTGTCTTCCCTCTCTACCTTGCACTACCATTTCCATACATGTCCTAGTCACATGCATCTTCTCTCTACGCATCACATACCCATACAACGCTAACAGTCTGCTCTTTATCTTTGTTAATTACCGGGGCTATTTTCACACTTCCTCTGATATACTCATTCCTTATCTTGTCCATTCTTTTAACTCATTTTAACCAATTTAACCATTTCAGATTTTTGCATAGCTTCGCTTGGCGATATTGAGGATAAAGTAAACTATTATCACAAGTGCAAAGTTGATGGCGTTTGTCGTGATATGCTAATCAATGGCAGCGACTTTGGTTACGCGCTTCTTCATAGGTAAAAATCATTTTAGCCCCCTGAGGTTTTCGCCGGATCTTCTAAGTGGCGGCGGTAGGTACGTAAGCTTGTCTTTGAGCAGCTAGATTTCTTCTGCAGGCTTTCGGGCAGCTTTTGGCAAACTTTCTCTTCCTGATTGAGCTTTCGAGTTCGCCCGCTGGAAGCTGGAAAACCTTATGAAAATTTTCCTCCCATTTCAAGAAAAAAAATTGCATACAAAAAATGATTACAAAACATACTTTGTTTAAATCAAACCCTGTTAAAACCAAAAAAAATTAATAATAAGATAAACATAAATGTTAAAATCAAACCCGCGGATATTATAATTTGCAAAATTAGGACGTTATTTATACCGGAACCGGAACCTTAAATACTAATGGCTTGATCACTAGTCGTAGACTCCGCTATTAGCCACAATTTATTTTTTACTCATTATTTATTTAAAGGAGACTGAAACGATTACATACATTTTTGGGCCCGAATGTAACGTGATGAAACTAATATGAATTAATAGATTCAGATTTATCAGTACCTTGCTGAAAATTATTAAAGTTTTCTCAATCTGAGAGCCGAGTTAATAAAGATTTAGTAAAAGTTAGGTTATGTTACAATCTCTTTAAAAGAGCTGAATAATAATTATTTAAGCATAAGTAAATGTTTATTATATCCATTGGATAATCTTTTAAATGTCATATTATGAATGAATATCAATGATATATATCAGGTATGGAATATGGAATTGCTATCCCACAATTCACACAGCGATCCATAATTTCAACAGTGTCCAATGCAACAATTTCAAGTCAAACGTGTGAGCGATCTTCGGTGTCCAGTGTAGAAGCAATTGTCGTACAAGGCTGGCAGAGTTGGAATCCGTAATAATAAAGCAGTGATCGTTGAAAATATAAAAACAGCCCGATAGATACACACTCAAAATGCGTCGAAGATACAAAACAAGTAGAGCAGAAAAAACCAACAAGTGCCAAAAAATAATTGTATAATCTATGAAGAACGTCATGTCAGCTTACTGTCAAAGCTGTCATCAAAAATACAATCGATTTTAATCGATTTGAAATCGATAATCATATTACTTTGCTAAGTAATAATAGACTTTTTCTTCATTTATGTATATAATCGCAATTAAATCCGGCGCATACCGCACTTGTCTACAACAAGTATAAATCGCTCATTTAATTACTTTGCATTAATTACCTAGTGCAATATCTTTCTTTTTATAATCCTGTAATCGATTAACTAAATCGATCACACCGTTATACCGACAAAAACTAACTTTCTCATTTTTCTCCGGTCCCAGAAAGAGGATCAAGGTGATTTTTTATATTCTTATATAAAAAAATATGACAAATTTTTTAGACTACATTCCAAGTTATTACATTTTTGGCCCACGATTTTCCGTCTCCTTTCCTATGATATATAATGAATTAATACGTACCTAATGTGAACCTTATTATAATAAAATTAATAGATGCGCCGACGGAACCGTAGGGGGCTGGTTATTTTAGATTTAAATACTAAAAAAAGAAAACAGTTCATTAACATTTTCTTTTTCTTTTGTTAGGCGATTATCTTTCTTTTTTTATTTATTAGACATTTACGAGTTACAATGTTAATGATAACGGTGACAGATTTACACCAACATTATACGAAACAACGACAATAACAAAAACGATAAAAAATATTATATTATGTTAAAAATATGATGAAAATAAGCCTTGGAGTTTCAGTGATTAGGTCGAATTTCGATTATTGGACGAACACTAGTTATTATAAAATGGCCTTTCGATGTATCATATTTCAGATTACTGTTTCTGCAGAGTGCTCGATATGGGCGCGGTTGCAGCATATTCTCTCCGCCACAAGACGACGACTTAAGAAACAAATTCTGCTCCATAGCATACGGCGAAGCTGAGCTTATAGCTCAACACGGCTTTAATATTGCAGATCTGCTATTTGAACAAGGTATGTTAACATTAAAGAACAACATAAATTTTCAAATAATGACTAATAAAAACAACGGTTTTGAATTGGAACGTTTGAAGAAATTTATACTTGTGTGTAACTATACGCACCCCATTTTTTTGACTATGGGATTTAATGGCGCAGAAAGCAAAATATTTTTTTCTTTTTTTCTTTTATTGCTTCGATGGGTGGACGTGCTCACAGTCCCCCTGGTGTTAAGTGGTTACTGGAGCCCATAGACATCTACAACGTAAATGCGCCACCCACCTTGAGATATAAGTTCTAAGGTCTCAGTATAGTTACAACGGCTGCCCCGTCCTTCAAACCGAAACGTATTACTGCTTCACGGTAGCAATAGGGCAGGGTGGTGGTACCTAGCCGTGCGGACTCACAAGAGCTCCTACCACCAGTAATATGTCAGAAGTTCTTAATAGTAGTAAATTTTATGAGCTTGCACGGGTACTAACTACCATTCTTCCTATTTCAGAAGAAAATCTCTCATTCATTCCTATTTGAAGAGCGAGGCAACTGTTTAACAACACAATTGTGCATTTGGTTTAAGTGATACTGCCGCTCACCTTGTGACGTGAGGTCTAAATCTCAATTGTGTTGAGCAACTGCATTGTTGCTTCGCGGCATAAATGGGCAGGTTTGTGGTTGACCGCGGGCGCTTGCAAGACCTCCTAGGACTAGTAGAATTGAAAATTAAAATGTTTCAAGGCTCACGTCTGAACTTCAATAAAAATACAAATCTCTTTATTTCCTATTACAGTTAGTCTCTGCGCATTAGACGGTCACGTGGAGTTCCTTCGACGTTCGTGGCTGTCAAAGCTTCTTGAACACCAATCCACATTAGGCTGTTTTGGTTATCGCCCTCAACAAACTCTATATGTGGAAACAAAGAAAGCGCAAACTTGGCGAATATCTAAGCAAAATCATCAATTACTCGGAGGACACTGTAACGGTCATTTCACATCGGTTGCAGCCGCAACTTTGGCAGCCGCTGTTAGGTTCATACTGGAGAATTATTAAATTTCTAATCGGTGTATTGAGTGTTTTGGGAAGGCTCCTTAAGCCGGAACGGGGACAAGGTACTTAATCTAAGGCGAAACAAATATTAATTTAATATTTGGGTGCACACTATAACGAACCGAAATTCGGGAGTCAACGAACTTGACATTTGTAGTACATTGTCTCCTTTTCGGGAAAACAAAACAACCTTTATATTTAGAAGAAGAAAATCGTGAAAATTGTGTTCAAAATTCGTTATTTGAAAAAAAAAAAAACAATCTCTAAACATTATCGACGTTTGTTTATTGCGATATAAAAATTATATGTATATTTTCGTCCTTATCTTACTGTGTATATACATAATATGTATATGTGCGTATAACATGCATTATTGAAGTGGTAGTTTTGATTTGACTTTCAATTTGGCTGTAAGCAACGGCTTGGCAATGACTTTGATTTGGGTTCTTTTAAAGGAAATAATAATAATTAAATACTGGCTGTAACACAATCAAATGATCCGACCAATTTATCTCAATCTTCGATACCAAGCTACATGATATTCTTCATGAAGCCAAAGACAGATACAGATGTAAGAGAATCATCAAAGAAAAAATAATCTCTCATCGAGCAGTTACGACTTACAGTAATGAGACGGCTGAAAGCCACTGTTTTAGCATACCTATTTATTAGGAAAAATAATGATTTGTTTATTCTGTAATCATTTTTATTTCCCTTCTCATTCGTTGGTAGTAATTGGCTATTTAAGCTACGCTGTGACTGGTAGGTGAGCTCAAGGGGTTCAACTGGAGCGAATGTGCTAACACTGGCCCTAGTAATAACAGTGCTTCGCAAAATCTACCAGCGAATCGGAATCACGATCCACTGAGAAAATCCGGCGAGGAATTCAGAGGGTCGACAGATGAGTGAACTAACCCATTGTGTCTGTGGGTTAGTTCGCTCGTCGAACTCTTTGAAGAGCCTAAAAGCACCGAGAGTTGATCCGGGGGATCCAGCAAGACATGCTACGGACGACAGCGGCTTTGCTTTGCTACGTCGTTTGGATCGGATATGTAATTAGCGGCTTTTTTTTTCTTCAAAGTAGCGGTCGGACGATTCCTTTAAATAAATACGTTTCGATTCTAAATTTAAGTCGTCGTGAAGATCGCCCTTCTTCGCATACCACAGTGCTCTGACAGCTATCCTGCAAAAATGGGATCGGAGGGAGTCTACGTGAATGCGGGCCGCGTGAGTGAACACTATACTTGCATAGGTCATGACGGAACGTGTGTATGTTTTATAGAGTGTTACCTGGCTACGAAAAGACAATTTGCTGCGCTCGCCAATCATTGGGTAGTGTTATTATTTGATTTCGAAAGGCGGTATAGGTATTAAAATAATTAATACATTGGCATTCGTCCGGTCACCGTTCTCGTCGAACCCGTCGCTTGCGACGAAGGGCTCGACGAGTAAATTAACCCTCAGACATAGCCCACTGAGTTTCTCGCCGGATCTTCTCAGTGGGTCGCGTTTCCGATCCGGTGGTAGATTCTGCGAAGCACGGCTCTTGCTAGGGTTCCTGTTAGCAACGTCGTCAGGTTTGAGCCCCGTGAGCTCATCTACTAGTTAAGGTTACGCTGGAATAGCCTCTCAAGGCTACCAGCTTAGGTAGGAGAAAAAAAAAGGTGGCATTCACGATGATATCTTAATAGGTCGATAAACGATTACCCGGCGGGCCAGTGTTTTGTACTGAAACACAAAAAAATATTTATCACACAAAATACTTATAGAAAACAATTATCGTCATCAGACCTTTTTCATAATTAAAACTAATTTTACGGTTAAATCTCGCGTTTTTTATTGACATTGTAATATTATTATTACTGACGTTTCGAATATTTTATAATTTTTATACAAGTAGTAACGGACCACTAAGGTGTTATTCTTCAACATTTATATATTGTACTCAAATCAAATCAAATCAAATAAAAAAAAAATTTATTCAACATAAATGAAAGTACATACTTGTTGAACGTCAAAAGAACTACCGCCAATTCACAAGAACTAGGCCTCCGTCCTGAGAAGAATTGGCAAGAAACTCAGCGGGCATGTCTTTTTTTTTTTACATATAAAATTATTATTTATTTATTTATTAATATTAGATTTTTTTTAAATACGAATTTTTTACACTGAGTATTATAATGTAACAATTACTACAATATTGAAATGCCTGGAGCGAGCAACTCATTCCCACTTTGTGCAATCTTCTAGATAATCATTGACTTTATAGTAAGCGTTATTGCACAGATGTTCTTTAATAGTTTTCTTAAACCTATGTATATGTAGGTTCTGAACATCATGTGGGATTTTGTTGTACAGGCGCACAGACAAACACCCGAATGAATTTCGTATCTTATGTAACCTACTCATCGGCACAACAAGCTTGTGTTTGTTCCTAGTATTTCTATTATTTATGTCCGACTGTTTAGGAAATTCCTCAATATGTTTACGAACATACATCAAATTTTCAAAAATGTACTGGGATGGCATAGTGAGAACTTTAATTTCTTTAAATTTCTCCCTCAGGGATTCCCTTGAGTGCATGTTATAAATAGCACGTATAGCTCTTTTCTGCAGAATAAATATCATTTCTACATCGGCCGCATTTCCCCATAGCAAAATGCCATAGGACATGACACTGTGAAAGTAACTAAAGTAAACTAAACGAGCCGTGTCCGCGTTTGTTAACATTCCAATTTTTTTTACTGCGTATGCTGCAGAGCTGAGCTTACTCGCCAATTTATGAATATGAGGTCCCCACTGCAGTTTGGAGTCCACTGTTATACCAAGAAATACGGTTGACTCAACAAGCTCCAATGATTCCTCAGAAACAATTACATTACTATCTACTTGTTTCACATTTAAAGATGATTTAATACATTTTAAAGTAAATTTAATACATTTCGTTTTCTTACTATTCAATAATAGGTTATTGATACGGAACCAATGAACCACACACGAAATCGCATCATTCACTTCGTCATAGACTTGTAATTGTCGTTTAATTTTAAATAATAAAGATGTATCATCTGCAAATAATACGACCTCGTGTCGGGACTCAATAAAACTAGGCAAATCGTTTATATATATTAGAAATAAAAAAGGACCCAAAATGGAACCCTGAGGTACACCCATTTTCAACGTGGTGCCTGAAGATCTATTACCTTTCACATCTACTGTTTGTATCCTTCCTGATACTCTATCAGTTAACCCATTAAGAGTAGTTATTATTGTGTTTATGATTCGCGAAAACCGAAGAAAGTATTAAAACTTTTTCATAAAGAGTTTTCAATATTAATTTAAGAGGAAATATTGTTAGCTGATATTACATACGACATTAAATACGTTCCTTCCTCGCCTGGTAAGGTCTCGTCCGTCAAAGCCACAGACCAGTCCGGCTGGCCTTGCTATATATCATTTCAGGGCTACCGATGGTAAAATAATAAATAATAAAACCGTTAATAATCTACCATATGCACAATATCAGTAAATCACATTTTTAACGTGAATGACAAGGGCTTCTACGAAAAAGCCATAAGATTCACCTGGTTTCGAATGTCAAGACATGAGGATTATGGCGATACTTAAAATGCCATAAAATGACACGCCTTATGTTTCATAATTGGTTCTGTGTACGAAGTCTCCGACACAAAATCCAGAAATTCATGACATGAGCAATTCCTGGGTTGTGATCACATGTTTTAAATATTTTGTTAGTAGCTGAATAATTGAGATATACGTTTTAAAATTACTAGAGGATGACCGCCATCTTGTTGTGTCTTTAAGGCAGTTAGTTGCCCTCAATTAAGAAAAATAGTATTATTATTCGCCAATAGATGTCGGGAAGAGTTGATTATTCAAAATACGAATAAAACAACATTTTCTGAAAATAAATCGTAGCTAGATCGACTTATCGCCATCGAAATCCCCTGTATACTAAATTTTATGAAAATCGTTGGAGCCGTTTCCGAGATTCGGATTATATATATATATATATATATATATATAACATACAAGATTTATATATATACAAGAATTGCTCGTTTAAAGGTATAAGATAAGATGATAAAAAAATAAGTGCTTTGCGAGACAGCCCTAAATTATTTATAGCGGCAATGTCACAAAACGACGCGACGGCGACCGTCGTCTGTAGGGTTCTTCCGGTTGCACAGGAAGTGGCACACACTTTACAATTAATTATTATTTAGTTTCTCTACCAAAACTTGTATTGTCTAATTAAGGCATGTTGGACCTTAATGTACTTAATAGGTTGGAGAAAAGTTTCGTCGCATTTTTTAAGAAAATGGACAACATTTTTTAATATAGTTTATTTACATTTAAATAATGTATGTAGGTACTATTTTGTTCGATAGCTTTTTACCATCTTGTAGGTGGGGACATGATCCCATTGCCATAGAAATTTTGGGGCTTCTGATTAAAATACCGCGACAGTTGGTTTTGGCAGTCCTCTCGTGATGTACCCAGTTTTTTTCAAATGCGCCAAAACTGTTTTGTGGTCAATTCCCAGTTCTTCAGCTACGTCGTAACTACTGATATGCCGGTCTTGCTCCAATTTTTAAAAAATGGCACCTGTTTAAGGTGAAAAAATAATAATTAAGCTTTATAAAACCTTTGTTTATGTGCATTTAATATTGAATTTTCTTACGTATAACATAATGGTAGTAATAAGTCAACTTATATGTCAGAAAGTCTCGCATAGGTGTGTCGAAATCCGATAACGTGAGGATAATAAATGAGGAGCGCGCAATCGAACGATTTGTATGTGAGAATGTCCTTGTTCAGTGCTCGGTAACGTAGGTACGCTTGTTTCTTCCAGTTCGTACAATCTTTTTTATATATACGGCTTTATTAATACTAGTGGTCCCTTGGTAGTCGAAATTCGACTATAATTATTGATCAAAACTATAAGTTTGAACATAATTATGGTCCTATTGTTAAAGACT